AAAAAACATTAATTAATCTAAGCCTATTTGCCTCATTTTAACGATGACAATAAAAAGTGACTGTATACAGGATGCCGTATTGATAAACAATCGGAGACTAAATGTGCACAAATATCTTGATTAAAAGTAAAATCATTTGTACTTAGATGATGACACTTTGCATACTTTCAGTCCACTCGATTTATATGAGTGTACGTTGACTAACTAGTGTTAACCCCTTTCAAAAAGGCGGGCTATATACATACCACTTCAGATACACCTCAAAATGTAGTAATACTATATGTATAAAATCAGTCTGGGGTGGCTCCAGATAGCTAAAATCCACTTCTGTCTAATGATCATCATCTCGTGCGAGTTTTCAATCACCGATATGTGCAGAGAACTCAAAGACAGATACTCAAATCAAACGAAATGTACGTTCTCTTACAGTGTAATGTTAAGGAACGCTATGAATATATATGTAATATCTTAGCGTACAGACTATGATGTTGAATGATGCACACCTGAGCGGTTTCAGTTTTGTCATCATTCGAAAGATAGATCTTAGAGCAAGGACACAATAGCTGCCTATCATTAGATGTCAAATGTACCAGTCCGAATCTGATTGAGAAGATTTGTAAAAATGGTTATCCTCCGCTTTTCTTACGGCCTCACATTTGCTATCGTTTCAAGCCGTGTAGAGATTTTACATGTAAGTAAACCATAAACGGAAAACCGTGTTATCAGAATAATATGCAAACAATTTCGAGAGTATGCTCCACTGCTTTTTCCGCGATAAAATCTTGCAACAAATACTTCCCTGATATTTTCCTATGGATCAACACTGAGAGCGAATGGAGCTGATCATAATCGACAAAATCACTTCTTTTCAGACTACCCTGATCGTGGGAAATAGTTAGTATAACAGCGTGATTTGATGCGCTAATTTTCGCCCATTCTCTCTTCACTGTGCCATTTAAGTCACTTTATAACACATTGTTTATTTCCAATCCACCACAGAATTCATAGATAACGGATACATACTACTCTCTCCAAAAACAAACTACAAGCAAACATAACACTNGATCATAATCGACAAAATCACTTCTTTTCAGACTACCCTGATCGTGGGAAATAGTTAGTATAACAGCGTGATTTGATGCGCTAATTTTCGCCCATTCTCTCTTCACTGTGCCATTTAAGTCACTTTATAACACATTGTTTATTTCCAATCCACCACAGAATTCATAGATAACGGATACATACTACTCTCTCCAAAAACAAACTACAAGCAAACATAACACTTCATTATCAAGCTCTCAATACATTTAGACTTTGGAATCGAACATAAAACAGCTAGATAATAATGAAACATCTCTGCCATTCAGTGTACCATGGTCTGATAACTTTGCTTGTTACAAGAACTGACATGTAAAATGCATACGTGCTGTACTCCTGTCGATTCTATTCTGCTCTATCTCCAATATAGTCGAACCGCCTGCAGTAATGTTGTCTTATCAATCACACACTTTCACAAACAAATTCCGATCTAAGAGAACCTCTCATATACGCATTGTACCATGGCACCTCTTCCATAAAACACTGCTCGGTTACACCTTCGCAAGTAAAGCACTTACTTCCACTATTTCACATATATTTTCCCACCACAAAAAGCATTCTCATTCAGGCCACATACACTTCTCACAACACCATTCATTTTCTATTCATTCACTACATCCCAATATCACCCAAATCACACACCAAATGATATCGACTAAGTTATCCATCGAAAAACATCCTTTCTACTAAAAGAGTCATTAGATCAACTATCACTTGTTCCCCATTCCATTCAGCGCAAGATCTACACCACATTGACGCTCTAAGAATTAGAAAAATCAGATATTCCCAATTTTGTTCCGGCAAAGCATCAGTCTTACTGCATTTCTACGCAAGGCGTCCGCAATGTGTCGTGCTATTTCAGCACCGATTCTGTTACCTCCAAGATCTAGTGTGGTGAGTGTCTGCAAGTGTGATAGAGACTGAGCTCTTCATCTTCCGTGAAATGAGATCAGTATTACCGTGTTCGTTCGCAACGCATCCGCAATGTGTTGTGCTCCTTCAGCACCGATTTCGTTATTGCCGAGATATAGTTCGGTGAGTATCTGTGGGTGTGAGAGAAACTGAGTCCTTCATCTTCCGTGAAATGAGATCAGTATTACCGTGTTCGTTCGCAACGCATCCCCAAAGTGTTGTGCTCCTTCAGCACGGATTCTGTTGTAATTGAGGTATAGTGTGGTGAGTATCTGCAGGTGTGAGAGAGACTGAGTTCTTCACCTTCTGTGGAATGAGATCAATATTACCGTGTTCGTTCGTAACGCATCCGCAATTTGTTCTGCTCCTTCAGCACCGATTCCGTTGAAACTGAGGTCTAGTGTGGTGAGTGTCTACATGAAAACAATATATTATGAAACGGACAAATACCAAAGAGAGCCTTTGATGACACGTCTGATCGTATATGTGTGATATGAAATTGTCATGTTTGGGGACGATTATTAGGAAGCAGTTGGATCTAGATATTTGTTTTTTGGTGTGGTTGATGATGGTAGCTGTGGCGTAGGAAAGACTGCGTTCAGAGAAGAAGTGCTGTGTTGGCAATATGGACATGAGATTACCGTGAGCTGGTCGAGTGGAAAGAGTAGGATATAGTAACTATCAATAGTTATTGATTGTAGTGAGATATCTCTTCTGAAGGCGCTCTCCAAGCAAATTGACATCCTACTTTTGTGATATGTGGGAGTCGGATTTTGTGTGTGTGAGGGTGAGAATGAATATAGGCATAGGTCCAGAAATTGCGAAAGCCAGTTTGCTTCATTTGGGAGGTTTCATGAAAAGTGATAGTTGATGCACTCTTGTATCGAATAGCTCAACATACATAGCAGAAAGGCGACAGAGTTGAGAAATGCTTGACTTCATATGACTTCGCACTGTGATTGTGTGATTCGATCAAATTATTTGTGGATTATGAGATTATTTTACCTCTTCCTATGAGGAAATTTGCGATGTCAAATATCATTAGGCTTATGTGTAGCACAACCGACAAGAGTGTTAAGGTGCCAAGTAAACTTACTCGATATCGCTCATAGGTGCTCAGGATCAGATTGAGCCGCCGGGAAATATTTTGCATTGAACAAAATAGCGTCTCCTCATTTTGATGATCCATGATTCGATAAACAATTTCGACGGGTAATGTGGAAAATGTGTGCATGTTGTATTTCAATTGTGCAGCAAACCGTACCGTAGAGACTGAAAATTGTTTGATTTTGTTCGTTATGAGTAGTAACTCATGGCGGTGATGCATTTATATATGTTTTTGACGAAAACAAATGACGTGTAACCATTTCAACAGTTACGAATTGTTGGCGTGCGCAGAAAGATGGCGTGAGAACACGAATGCTCATTGAATCCTGTTTTGACGTTTAAAATAGACGTTTCAAGAATTAAAAGTAGAGAATCTTTTATGCCTTTGTCTCCTTTGCAAGCCGAATCGATTTTCTTCAAAAGAAATTGGTACCTCTAAAGTAAGTTTTTAGCTAAAAAGTATAGTGGAAGATAAAAAAACTCTACAGCTTATATTAGAGATTTATTTTGATTATGTAAATTTTGTTTTCAACAACGCTAAATGCTAACCAGTCAGTTTTCACTGATTGATTTGCACTATTTGACGTTGTTCAGTAAAAAAAACACATGATTGTAAAAAGTCTTACGATAGAGTTTGCTGAGAACTTCATGCAGTATCTCTCAGTGTGTTCGTTTTATTCTTCCCAAGTCTTATTCGATGATAGATAGAAGGAACAAGAAAAAATGATTGTTTGTCAATCTGAAAAACCAGTCACCCAGGTCGAACAATCCCATACTCGGATCCCATCGGATCCAGCATCGGATTTGTTGACCTGGGTATTAGCTATCTATTGGATGCTTTGAAATTGAGAAATAAAACAACGTAATTGCAATGTCAGTGAATATTCGCTGACAGGCAAGCAAGATACAAAGAACGATTGGGGAAAAAACCGTCGGTTAACTGCTGGTTTTTCCCGATTTCTGGCGCATGAAATGTATTCAAATAACCATCAATTCTAGTTTTCGTTGCAAAAAATGGAGGAATTCTTTCGAATGTGGACAAATCAAAAGACCAATATATTGAGAAGGTACAATGATGTGCATATACGTTAGTGAAGTATATCGATAGTACGAACAATATCATACAGAATTTACGTACTTCTATCAACAGTAGCTAGTGGAACGTAACAGGCGACAGAGCAACTTTGCCTAACATTTCACCAATATACATCATTCGTGACAATTCGATTCTTCATCGTAGACTTAAGAATAGCAAGGATAAACATGTTAAAATTGTGATTAAACAATTCATTCTCTTCTGATTTGAATATGTATTGATACGCATGTATATATACACGTATTTTTCCTGTATCTTTTCCGCTTTCTTTAAATGATTTCACGTTGTGTGCAATCTGTTTGATCGTTGGAAGTATTTGCTGTACCTTAGCCATTGTCAAAAAATAAAATAAATCGTTCTTTCTCTTCAACTGAACTCATATTGTAGATAATCTGCTCATTGATTTACAAATTAAAATTGAAATCATTCTTGGAAGTTATTTTATCACCATTTGAATCAATCCAAGTCGGATATATTGTCATTTCGCCAGCAATCCAGCGGAATTATCGTCTTATATGATGAAAGAATTTATTAAATTAATTGCAATTTTCTACAGACATATACAGCATAAACAAGTGCAGTGCCTAGGTTTTCAAGTGTTTTTGTATGTCATCATTTAGAGGAAGCTGAAGAGAACGACGAGTTCAAATGTGGAACTCGGTGTATGAAAAAATGCGACAAACCTATAGTGCAATCAATCCTTTCATTGCTTTCAAAATTAGGTAATGACTATTCCTCTGTTGGAATTCATCAATTAAACGATTGTATTGGATTAGTTAGACTCATCTATTGGAATTTTTTTACTTTGATGTGAAAAATACTGTGGCCATTGTATTCACTGACAGTGCAGTGATGATAGAGCACGGAAACGATATTGAGCTGTGTAAAAAGGGAGATGAAGAAGAAACCATAGCGTTGCTCGAGAACATCACTCACAATACTGGAAAAATTGAAAAACGTTTTTTTCTCCAATAAACTCGCATAGATATAATTGTTTGACAATTCGTTCATTTAAATGGTATTTTTATTCCTCACTTGGGAAGTCGCATGACAAACAACGAAATCGATCTTTATGTATTATTCGATGTATCCAGACGTTCAGCGAAAGGTAAATGCTCTTGATTTTTATGAGATAGTCATTATCCGTTCCTTTTTCCCTTCTTCATAATCGATTGAAATCAGATGAATTTAATGTTCTGCTCAACGAATATAGGAAAGCACAGGTTCATTGACTACTGCGTGGAAAAAATGTATTTAATTGTATATCCAATGCTCTACAAGAAGATATCACTGCGATGAGTGTCTCTGTTTGTTATGTTTATCATCGAGAACTTTTTCTTCGTCATTTTTTAATCTGATTTCTTAATAAAAAGAAAACAATAGATACAAGATGTATTTCGTTTTTATTTTTAACTAATTAGACGAATCCTTCTCACGTCTTTTCTCTTTTCCAGCCATGATGGCTTGTTGAAACAATGTCAAATAGAATTCAACTAGTTTCGTTGTATCATCATTACTTGGAACTGGATATGTGATAACGTTTGGATTACAATCTGTGTCGCACAATGCAATCGTTGGTATTAACAGTTTATTTGAATCACTTATGGCTGGATGAAGTTGATTTGGTGGTGCTAATGTATGAGTGAAGATGCATACATCTGGTAGGCGAATATCATATCCGAATAATGTCTGAGTGTTCGTAAATGGGTGATCCCATGTTCGACAATGTGCATATTCACCACAATCACGTGCAGCACGTTCAACCAACGGTACATGAGCTGGATACCGCGTGAGAAACAAAATAATACCTTGACGATAAGCAATATGGGCAAGAAAGTTCAATGCCGAGTGAAGCATTGGTAACGTTTTGTCTAAATTGATGATATCCACATCTAGTCGATGACCATAGATGTACTGAGACATCCAGGGATTTCTCATTCCAGTGACATGACCATAATGTGCACGATTTCTAAAGTACGATGAAATGTTCGAGATACAGAGGTGACCTTAAACATACCTACTTGAAAAGATCTTCGAGTGTGACCATTGAACGGACATTGAAATAATCATCGTGATTCATTGGGTCATCTGGTGTGATCGGTGTATTGTTATTATCGTTTCTTGGTCGTGTCACATCTGTCGAATTCACGAGTAAAGCAATAATAGCGAGATTTGATGTCATAAGAAAGAACGTTACCATCTTCTTGAATAATGTGTCGTTGAACAACGGGCGATGAAGAGGCATATCGGAAAGTTGATCGACTAAAACTACATGTTCGTTGAAGGGCTTGTTTGAGTATCAATGATACCATAATTATATTCTATAAATGACGAAGAATATTTTTTTGAATGATAGCAATTAAAAGGACTTTTGGTAGTTTATTTGATGAAGAGGAAGAGAGAGAGAAAACAGAAACTAAGTACAAAATGAAGAGGATGGGATGAAAGATGAAAATAAAAGAGAGAAGAGAAAAATGGTTTAGTTCAAATATTTGAATGAAGGCCAATTATAGCCGTCGATGATCGGATCTTCTGGAAATGGAAGGCTTTTCTTAACACTATCAATGAAAAATGCATAATTCAATATAATCCATGTTCAACAAAAAGAGGCGTTACTTACCGGTGTTGATACATGTATTGTTGACGAAGAAACTAAATAAAAAAATAGTGCATCGAATGTACTCTTCGTATTTGATGTGTATATTTACTCGTTTCTCTCCATGGAGACATTCACGAACATCTTCTCTTTCATCTTCGCATAGAGAACGGCGAGTACTCGGCATCTATCAATGAAAAAGAACATGTTTCGAATAGCGCTCAATCAGAAGATAGGATATTTCAAAACTGCTAACCATATGAGTGCACATTCGATATTGTTTGAATAGTTTGGTACAAGCATTATCACCAAGACCCATAGCCCAAGGTTCAAGAGCCATATTATATGATGAATACAATGCACCGACTGTAGGCGTTGGCTCAACGATTTTACTACGATACCATCGTCGATGCCAACGAACAAATGGATTGACTTTTTCGATTGGTTGAGTATCCTGATTATAAACAAGTTTATGTTCTTGTTCATCCTCTTGATAGCTACGAAGAGCTGTTTCAGCTTCAGGTGAACCAGGTGCTGGCATCGGTCGACCAGCGTCAGTGTAATGACCAATAAGACGCATCAATGCAGGCATTTGAGCGACATAGGGCCGTGTCGGGTACGATAATTTAGCTGACAGAAGAGGAGCCTTGGGCTCGTTCTTCTCATCTGCCTTCGTATCTTCGACCATCTTAATAAATATCTAGAAGAAAAGGAATTTATGAAAGATACAATCCTGCGACTACATGCTATATGTACACATTCGATTTAACCACTATAGGAAAAAATAAACATAATCTTAACTGGTTAGTGTAAGTAACCAATAGGAAAATAAGACAGAGTGCACTGCGTTCTACGATATTATCATACCATTTGTTCTTTATTCAATTCGATAATTTCTCCTGATTGTATATTTCAGTTTTGTTGAGAACGAATGTGAATCTATAAAAGTAGATTTGTTTTTCAATGGGTAATAAACCTCCTGGTAAACTTCGACAAGCGGATCTCGATTATTTCCGTCATCTAACTACATTTACTGATACTGAAATTCGTATGTAACAAGGATTTGATTTAAAGAAAAGCCTGTCCTGTTTGAATTTCATAGAGGACTGGTACAAATGCTTTCATAAGGATTGTCCAAGTGGACAATTAACATCGGATGAATTTAAAAAAATCTATGCTCAAGTATTTCCAGCAGGTAATTCATCAACTTTTGCTGAACATGTTTTTCGACGTTTTGACGCTGATCGTAATCAACGAATATCATTTCGAGAATTTCTCACTGCATTGAGTATCACATCGAAGGGAAATCTCGAACAAAAATTAAATTGGGCATTTGGTCTTTATGACACAAATGGTGATGGATTTATAACGAAAGATGAAATGCTCGAAATTGTTACTGTAAGTTGATTGAACGAATCGGAAAAGATTTCGATCAAAGTTATTTTTCTAGGCAATCTATCAGATGGTTGGAACTATCATGCAAATGCCAGAAGATGAGTCAACGCCGGAAAAACGAACTAACAAGGTAAAATCGAAAAGTTAATTTTCGATCATTGTATGTTGTTTCGCTTAGATTTTCAATATATTTGATACTGATCATGACGGAAAATTAACACGTGAAGAATTTATTGAAGGTAGTTTTCCTTTTTTGGCTCGCTATTAGTTGAAAAAAGAAGAACCTTGCTTCTATTCGTTGAGTAGGTGCTAAATCAGATCCATCCATTGCTCGTCTATTACAATGTGATGCATCAATTGTTTCAATGCCTTCATCAGAGAATGCTTCTTCTTCGACAACGAATCTACGTACATAAGAATATTTTTCTTTTTCGGCGTCTTCCATATTTATTAAGTTATTTATTTTCATTCCAAACGGGAAAAAATCGGGATAAATAGGTATTTTTCTGTCTGAATAAAAATACGTATTCATTTACTTAAATCAATCCGCGTTTACCAACCAAGCGAATTAAATTTCCCGAGAACATGCCATATTTTGCTAGAGGACGTTCATAACCACTAGGACTGTGATGATGAAGCGGTTGACCACGATAATATACCATTTGTTTATCCATTGGAACACGATATGTTTGCTGTAAAGCTTTTGCTAGATCACCACATGTTGGTTCTTGATTAGTCTTCAAAACGATTTCATGGATGTCACCTGCATAATGAACTTGAAGTTTTGTATAGAAATGTTCATTTTTTGGTCTTGCTGTTTGCATCGGAGTTTTTGGATTGTAGTTACTCATTGAAATTGGTTCTAGAGAATGAATTTTGTTTGCTATTCAAATTCGCTGACTTAACAAAAGACTGTCGTTAGTGAAACTTAACAACTGAAAACATGAGAAATATTTCTTTTTGTGTTTGTTCTCAAGAGTCATCTATTAAAAGCGACGAATCCTGTTTTCATTCACTTTTTCATTTATTCTGCATCAATCTTTTTCATGTTTTTGCAATTCACACGCACGCACACTGTTTCATTACAATCGAAAGAACGTTCAAATGAAAAACAAATAAGTCACACTCAATGCACATAAAAATAACAAAATAACAATAAGAACGTGAAATGCCTCCTTTGAAATTCGTTTTACTCAACGAGCACAAGGTAAGGACTACCAGGCACATGTTCCATATCGGCTCCATAAACAATTGTTAACATGTATTGACCACGTGTTCGCACTCGATAAGAAACTTTATAAATAAAACCAGGTGACGATGGAATAATACGTTTAATTACAAGACGTTCGCATACTCCGAGCGGTGAGTATAGGCCAACTGAAAGTAAACCTGGACCTAAATGAAACGTTGTTAACGAGAAATGAAATTCTGCCGTTTTTCTATCGGTTTACCTGCTTGACTTGCATCGATTTTAAACGTTGCTTTGTGTTGCTTTTTGGCTTCGTATAAACCTGCACCGAAAACACATATTTGAGAAGCTTTACCAGTCATTGACGAACGAATAGTCTCGAGTTCAGTCGGACTAGTACTTTGATGTAATCTCGAAGGACTTGCTAGCAGAGTATCATTGGCTTTATCTAAAAGAATAGTTGTCAGGGAAAAGCATAATGATTTTTTCGAATGCTAATTACCATAAACACGACAAAGGAATGGACTTCCTTGAATGTGTTTACCAGCAGTTTTCATCGTAATTAAATATTTTCCGGATCGAACCGGTTTGTAATGAAACTAAACGAACAATAGGTTGCCTATTTTCCGAGGAGAATATCCGTTACTTCATAGCCATATTCTGTTTCATTTGCATCGAGAAAAACTGTTGATGGTCCGCTGATGCCTACAGAAAATGGTCCTGTTTTCGACGAGGGTGATTTTGATACGAAAAATTGACTCAATTCGCCTAAATAAAAAAAAAAGTTGCATTTACAGAACATTCTGTGTTTATGCTCTTTCTCCTTCCCATTTTCTATGCAAGCTCGGAACAGAATGGGGGAAAATCAAGCGCCACAAGTAGGATGTGAACCTATACGGGAAGATCCTATTAGATTTCTAGTCCCACACCTTAACCACTCAGCCATCACAGCGATTCTCACCAGTGTAGGCATGGAAAAGTTCTTCTTTACTGTTCAGCATTGACGTCTTAGTAGCACACGATTGAACTACTAGTCGATAAGGATTGTCAACAATTGGTGTATGATTGAGATTGACGTTTAGCCAATGATTACCACAAGTCGTTGGAATAAAATAGACTTCGTAACGTTCTAAATAACGGAATTAAACGTAAACTTTTGTTCTTCTCTTCTTCGTTCTGATACTCGATCGGCCGCACCTGTTTTTGCCGATTTATGGACTATAATGGGTAAATTAATGTTTCCCTGTGGTGCTTGTACATAAGCTTGAAAGACATTGCAAGCTACTTCGGGATAAATATTGACTATACATGGAGTATTTACCTAAAGATTTTGAAAAACGAATCAAGATGTTCTAAATCTATTCATTCGTCTTACACAAAATTCAGCAGGTTCAATTTTTGCACGTATTGGAGTATTAGCCGGCGGAACGACTTGTTCTTGGGATGGCCGTGTATGTAAGATTAGATGATAGGGTGATCTATCGATATGATGCCCGTCGTATGTTAACGAAAGATGATAATTACCTAAACACAAGAGAAAAAAATCGTTTATATTGTTGAGTATCGCTATACCAGGCAATTGACACTTATAATACACCCGATAGATTCCCGTTTCGACAATTTGAATTTGAATATCAGCTTTCGATGGACCATCAATTGCAATGACGAGTTTTTGTAACTCAGCGTCGGGTGCATTCAGATCGAAATGGCCTTTCGATTACAATGAAATGTTTAGCACACATTAGAAATCAAAACGTTCTTACAGTGATCATCAACATATCCATCTTTTAGGCCAGGACCACTAGCGCGAATAATCATTTGTTTGTTTTTCGTAGGCATCGAATGATCCGAGAAAAACTCTGGTGGCGGTGGAGGAAATCGTTCAGTACTTCGTTGATTTTGTGAACGAAGTCGACTGTTTAGCGACGACTTTTTCCTTGTCGACGAACCCAATGGCGTCACTAAAGATCAAAGACATATTCAGAATTACTAGTGACATTGTTCACGAATAGTTTACCGTTCAGGTTCGGTGTCGATGTACTTTGTGACGATTTGTCAGCAGCTTTCAATAAATCTTCAAAGAAAAATTGTATAATGGCAAGAAACAATGAATTAGAGCTACAAACTATTTAAACGTCGAAATGGATTGGAAAAACTAAATGATGGTGGTGTCGACGGTGGCAATTTTGGTGTATGAAAATATCGTTGTTGCTGCTGTTCCTGTTGCTCGTTAAAACTAGCCGTTGTTCGTTTCGATACTTTCCGTATAGCTTTATTTGACTGATGTCCATCGACCGTTGTCGATTCAATTTCATCAACATGAACGATATACAGTAAAGTTTGAGTATAAACTATTTGAATTGAAGAGGAAAAAAACGTTTCCTACTGATCAAATCGTTTGAACTTACCGTTGTTTTCATCGTCGGAACTTGTGCTGTGATCTATACGATCGAGTGATGAGGTTAATCGATTATTATTAGTCGTGTAAGAATGATCATGATTAGTATTAATAAATCGATGAACCTTTGATAGCATAACAAATAAAATGTGCAACACGAGCAACAAGCACGTTTCTTTCTTCTTTACAAAGTTAGTTCGTCCGATTTATATATAATTCGGTTAGAATAAATCCTCGTAAAGCTCGAATTCAAAAGATGTCACTAGACAATCAAACAGATTAGTACTTTCTTTTTTCTTCTTTAAGGATATCAGAAAGTAATATGTATCAGACGTCAAAAACAGCGACTGAATGAATCTAAAATCACAGCTTTTCATGGAATCGAATCGTGAGCTTTATTTTCATTTATTTGTTCAGTCAATTGATCTCACGGAAGAACGAGTGACGTCTTTCCGTGCGAGGTAACTGTAATCGTTTCAACTTGGATTGACGATTATTTAATATTTTCAAATAGATGCCGCTAATTATTTGAGAAAACGCGTTCATGAGATAACAGGTGTTGTTTCCAACCGATGCTCACAGTCTATGGTAGTAGAAAAATAAAAAGAGAAAACACAGATTTATTTACAAAATGGCTTCGGGGGATGAAAGTTGGATTAATGATCTCATTCATGATTTTGTTCATTCATCAATATGGTTAGCACCAGTTCAAACATTTATTGATACGAATTGCGCTTGTTTTGATTATGAGGACGATGATCATTCATCATCATCATTGCTCGCTGAACAAAAAAGTATCTATAGGCAATATCGAAGATTAGTCGATTCATTATTAACAAGTCTTAGTGATGATTTTAACCTCGAAAAGAATGCTCTGAAAAATATTTACCAAAGAAATTCATCCGTAGCAATGAATGAGTCTTATGAACAATTATATTCTGCGGATGATTTTGAATTATTCACAGAAATGATGAAAAGGAAAAATTTAATTCTTCAATTACAAGCACTGGTCAATCTTCAGTTGAAACACGGAATTTTAAAACCGTCGGATGCAAATGATGACCGAGTTTTACAATTAGTTCTACAAGCAACGTCGGCAGCGAATAGACCAGCAACAAAAACAACTGCAAGTCCTGCATCAACTGTTTTACCAAATTCAAAACGACAGGACAATGTTGAAGTTAAATCCAGCGGTCGACAACGAGAAGTGCGCGAGCCTAAAGTAACTCATTGATGTTTTCAACGACTTTTAAATGTCATATCTATCTTTTTTAGACAATAAAGGAGCCAGAGACAATCGACTCTGTACCTGAGGATGTTCTACGTGAAAAATTACGTGAATTATCTATTAGTACAACCAATGATGAGACAACTGCATCTATGGTATCTTCACGACAAAATTTTCTCAAACAACAACGTGACTTAATCATTAGTAAGCAACGGCATGAACGTGCACGAGAATTGGAAAATGAATCGATCGATGCTCGACCTCAATCAGCGGCGAATGTGGCGAGAAAAGCAATGGAAAAAGAGCAACAGATTTCCAACGATGAGTTAGAGAAACGAAGAGCAATGGCTGTGAAACTTCGACGAGAAGTTGTTGATAAACAATAAATTTCTTTGTCTTCTTCTTCCTCTGCTTCATTTATCATAATAACAGTGAAAATCGTTCTCATTCTTTCTCAAATAAAACTAATTTACATACCAAATTCATACTATAGTCCTACAGATTCTTTGAAACTGTCACAGTTATCATTTCAACACAGCTCTCATTGGCGACATCTATTACCATTGACATTGGTTCACATATTTACGCGAGGTTGGTTACCTAGCATTTATTAATATCAAATGGTAGTTTGAAAGATAATTTAACACTGTCATATCTATCGAGAAATACGAAAAAGTATGCTTCGTTCGCCAAACAGTCGTCAATCAGCGTTGAATGTCGATAATTATCGAACATTGGGTGAATTAGCAATGCGATCACCAACTCCCACTCGAACATCACGCCAATTATCTTCTCGACAAGATGATGAAGATGATAATAATCGAACTATAAGAAAACTAGTTTCTCATCAACCGATGAACCCATCTCGAAATTACTCGTCAAGTACAACTTCATTGAAATCAATGGTTATCGATGGGCGATGGAAATACCGTGCAAATGATGGTAGCGACGATGACAATGATGAAGTAAATCGATTGCGATTGCAGTCACTTGGAATTGAACATCTGGTTCGTGTTTGCCATGATATAATGAAAAGTAAAACAGAAATATCCCATCGAAAAGACGACCGACGAGCGAAATCACCGATGACAAGCAACGGTTTACCAGTGATCAAATTAGATGCATATAAAAAATTAACAAGTGCTGACCGATCCACCCTGAATCGTGCACATCTATTTGATCTCATGACAATTGTTTATGAAGCTGCATCAACTGATGCGAGTATGGCTCAACTTGTGCGTATTTGGCGTGAAGTTTCTGAACATGTTCGAAATCCTCGTCCATTGGAACGATCTACCGAATCTCACCCATTAATATCTTATGTACAAGCGTTCAATCATCTAATTCGTACACCTAATGACCATATACTTCAAATTGCTGTTCACGCTTCTTTAATAACTCTTCGTAAACGATCTGATCTATTACGATTGGGAAATAAACTGGGTATTGATAAGAATGAGTTCGATATTCGTTCAATTCACACATCATTCCAAGCGTTTCAATATATGGTGAAATTCTTACGTGAACAAAAGTTACGGGAAAAAGAAGAACAACAATTTATTGATAGAAAAAGATTACCATACAAACGAAGAAAAAAACAAGGCCTTCATGCAAATGTAACCGGTACAAAATTTCGTTTGAGTAAGTCAATTTCCTCTGACTTAGCTGAAATAATAATAATAATAATAAAAGGCTGTCATCTTAGAAAAAAAGAAGTTCTTTTTCTAAATACATTAAAAGAATTGTGTTGATGATAATTCGCGTGCCGTTCGAATAATTTCCAGTGTCGGAATGTAATATTCAACATATCGAGTCCTCAATCGTTGCGAAGGTGGATTCAGTGGAATTGTCTGCATATCATATTCCAGAAATTGCGTCGACGGTACATCTAGTGGCTGACTTAGATAGTCTTGCTGGGATGGGCATCCAGAACTAAATATAGCTCTGAGTAGTGGACATTTGTTAAGGATTGTCATGTTGTTAAGAAAACTAACGTGTGACTGTTCCAGGGTACGCGTCTATTTATACACAACGAGTGAGGACATATGATGCGAAGGCGTAATTGGTTCTAGAAAATGTTTTTTTCTCGAAAGAGATTCGCTTGTATACGAGTTTATTGAAATAAACAGTTGTTTTGTTTATATATGTACAAATGATAAAGGTGCAAAAAATATACCTTGAATTAATAGAATATAAATAAAATAACTGTTTACACGTGAGATGATTTTGCGACCTTTGGAAAGTTCTATTCGTTTTTCTAATAACAAATGTATATTCTTGCACGAGAATGACCTTCATGTTCTTGTTATTTCAGTTTGTGAAGCGATGGATGTCGCAGGTTTTTACATTAGCCCAGCTTCTGATTTTACTTGTAATCTTTTATGGAATGATACATTAATCTCAATGGATATTGTCTCTGCACTCAAACCTTATCAGAAAGTGAATCATTTTCCAACTATGAATGAAATCTCGCGAAAGGATTTATTAGCGAAAAATTACGATCAGTAAGTCAATTCTACTGCGGATAAACTTGTACTTTTTCTGCGAGTAGGATACGAAGTTTTCTTCCCAAAGAATATAATTTCGCTCCAAAAACATGGATTCTACCCAATGATTATAATCTCTGGTATTCCTATGCGTCCAACCGACCACACAAAGAATCAGCAACTTATATTATGAAACCTAATAATACAGCAATGGGACACGGGTAATGCACATAGAAAAGCCTGTTTTTAAGACGATCGACATTTTTAGAATCGCAATTCATTGTAACTACAAACAGGTGAAGAAATTAGATAATTACATAGTTCAAGAATATATACGAGAACCGTATCTCCTCGATGGTTTCAAATTCGGTAAGATATTTCTCAATATCAAAACTCTTTCAATAGTTTCTCCTTCAAGATCTGCGTATTTATGCCCTGATAACATCTTGTGATCCGTTACGTGTCTTTATTTTCAATAATGGTCTTGTTCGATTAAGTTCGACAAAATATCAATTACCGACTCCAATAAACGCTGTACGTTTTTTCTTCGTCAGGCAAATAGATCATTGACAAAATTGAATTTATTTCAGTTAAATTATGCAATGCATTTAACAAATTATTCGATAACTAAGAAGAATCCAGATGATTTAGATCTCGACAGTAGTAAAAGAAGATCATTGCAACAATTATTCGATTATTTAAAACGGGATAATCATGACGTTGAAAAATTATGGACTGAAATCAAAGTAAATACTCAATCAATCAAGTAAAACAATAGTTTTTCTCGATTTTCTTTAAGAATATTATTACTAAAACAATCTTTCTTGCTGAACCACATATGTCATCTGCATATCGAACGTGTCGTCCGGCAGCTTTACCAACAAGTGAAAGCGTCTGTTTTGAATTGCTTGGTTTCGATATTTTGATTGATAAGAATCTCAAACCTTGGATTATTGAAGTAATATTTTTCTTCGATGAAAGAGTTCATCGGGATGATTTCTATTGTTTAACTTAAGGTCAATCGCTGTCCAAGTTTTGACACAACTGAACAAATTGAATTTGATATTAAAATGAAATTACTATGTGATACACTGAATTTGCTTCACTTTCAAGTATCCGATCGGGAAAAAAGTGATGCAATCGAGAAAGTTGAAGCGCAACGGCGATTGTATTTAAGTATAGGAAAACCATTCAATACTCAACGAGATCAAGTAGAAGAATTGGTATGATGGATTATTTCTTATTCCGATCATTAAGTCTAATTGTTCTTTGTGCATAGAAAGAAATATTATTTCTTCTTCGCCGAGAAAGAGCACGAGACATATTCGAGAGTCATCATTGTGGTGGTTTCGTTCGTTTGTTTCCAGTTGATGATGACAAACGTATGAATGGACTAATGCATATATTATCCAAGTGTTTTCATATTTTGTCTCCTACTCCATATGATCTATCAAGATATGCAAACTATACTCAACAGTATGATGAACGAGACTTAATACAAAAAATCGAACAGTTAGAAACGACTAAACGACCAGTAAGTTTCGTTTTTTTTATACAAAACAGTCAATGTGAGAGAGGCGTTGTTTCAGACATCGACTAAGTCTGTGGGATTGTATCATGTATCACCATTGACTACTTTTACATACGGTTTTGGCGATGATGAAGAGGAAAAGCCACGAGAATCTTCATTATCTCCCAATCGAACTCAACAATCTTCGCCAGAATCGGATAAATTTAGCAAAAGAGTGGGAACGCAAACGCCAGCAGATATTCCTCGAGCAACATCGGCAGCATCGAAGACGAAAAAACGATCCAATTCATTGGTTTCAACAGGACGTGTTAGTCGGCCAGAATCCGATTCGCATCAAACTCTGCCAGGTGTTTCTGCTAGTCGAATCACAGAGAAAAAGTTCTACACAACACCATCACCATCATTACCATCAGAATATCGTGAACAAGAACAACGAGTACCTTCACCTAAAGTTCGAAGGTCAAATAATAAATCTCAAATGGTGACACAATCAGCTATTCTCCATGCGAATCTACAACAGCAACAGCCACTCAATCAAACTACATCCACTACAATTGACATTACCAAAGTAGAAAAAGAAACAATGTTTCCATTACTTGTTCATTAAATTTTCGCTTATTAGGAATATCACTTAACGGCCGATGATTTGTATCGTCTAAGTGAATTGATCTTCAAGGAAATGAATAAATTGCGTATTCATTATCCAAACAGAACTGATCAAGAAACCAATCGGCTTTGTACCACGGTTTGTTACTGCGATTAAAAAAAAATTGCGTATATGTTGACTAATAAATCACACTATAGATCATGGAAAATTGGACTGAATACAAAGCAGATATTGGTCGATTTTGGTTAGTCGAATTAGACGCAAACAAAAGAGAATCGATTATTCAAATGGTTTGGATTAATATTCAACAGATAATGAAAAAACTATGCATCATCGATGAGCTAGCTCAACACTTACCGTTGAACCGCCATTTGTCAAAAATTGAACGACGATTACTGGCGAATCATGGACAATGTATGTGGGAAACATGTCAAAACCGACATAAGTAAGTTTGTTACATTACTATGCACTAAGTTTTGTCCTATTCAATTTTCACACTAGTTCATGGGAATTGTTGTTCATGAAAGGCAACAATCCATTGTCTGATATTGAACTGAAATGTTGCTATCGGTTCGTTGATCTATGCAAAGAAGCGTTATTTATTGTTTATCGATATTCCAATGATGAACAATTTCAAAAACAAAGACAATTAAATTCACATGTAACATTAATGATTAAATCTTGATATACTTGTTTGATATAAATAAATGTATTTGACGTGCGGGGTTTCGCTTTAATATTTATACCAATGAAAAATAAATCAATGATTTTCATTCACCATCTTATTATATTTGGTTGAAAGCATTTCCAACAGAATGTTCGTTAATAAATAACATCGATTTGTTCAACCTTGATAGTTATCTAGAAAAATGTTTTTTTTTCTCTGTAATGTTGATGTATCGACCTTCACTATGTCTTGTCTAAAGGTGTTATGATATAGTCAAGTATACGGCATATCAAGGTCAGTAATTTAAAAGACTGATTGGAGAAGTATAGAATATTGTTTATTTCGTGTTGTTTTAATTAGATTGGCATGTCTAGGTAACACCTCTTACCGTGTTCGTCTAGTTCTTTTGTACAATAGAAGAGGAATATGTTCGTGCAAGAAAGTCTTTACAAATGGCCTTGATGATCACTAATCTAATGTGTTCAATCGTCAAGTAATCATTCATCTCTTTTAAGATGAATATCAAGATTAAGTTTTTTGATTGGAGGTATCAATGCTCTTCTACGACGGAGGAAGAATATCAGTTCATATATCAAAGGCTCACATACACACGACGCTTATACTATCATGTACAAGTTAATAGTCGAAATCTTCTATCAATATTTTAAATCAAGAAGATAGATGAAGCGTATCGTTCTTGATTTGTCCATATCTCTTGTCATTGAAGCGAACAGTACAAAAGGGTAATGATCAACAGACATATATATATATATATACACATATCCGTTCGTTTTGTCATCATTCAACGATTCTTACCTTGATTTTTCTTTATACTGCTAACACCTCCCTATCCTACCGAGATTCATACCATGTTTGCTCAATATCATTGTGAACCATATCAATTCTCGAGTGCATGTCCATGTGCTTGCAGTGTTGTCGCATTTGCTGCACGAGTAGGTGGAAAAATTGATCCCGAATTCCTTATGCAATGCCAAATACTTGATCCAAAATTTCAAAAAGCAGTTGACTCATTGAAAGCTGTGCCGTTAAACTTCGAAGCTACATCTGATTATTATAATTACCAAGAAAATATCTTTATTGATATAGGCGCACCAAATCCAACACAATTCTATGATCCATGGCAATTCAAACAATTCAATTCATGGATTGGAAGTGGTGAACAATTGCATTCTACATTAGGATTTGATAGTAACGATATTGTCATTGATTTTATATAGACGATGTCGTAAATTAAAAATCGTATATAATCGTTGTCTTTTTCTTCTCATTTTCTTGTTATATTGATTTACAATAAAAAAAAACTGTTAAACTAATTTTCAATTTGACTTTACAGATTGCAATTCCATCATTATAGGCATATATTACTGCATGATGTTCCAAATACAATTGTTCACAAAGATGCTCATTATTTCAATTAAATGAATGAATACCGTTTACATAGTTTGACTGAAAAGATATTTCTACAAAGTATATAAAAAAAAAATTCGTGTCTGGTTGAAAAGTATACCAACGGCGTTTTTTGTGCGATATCAATCGTAATCCAAACACGAAATCTTCACTTCCAGCGGTCACAACTGATTTGCGAGAGAAAAAAGATGTTCGTTTTTCATGATATTCATTCACAAAGCAAGCTTTAGAATCTTGACACGCTGATTGAGAATCGTTCTCATTCGATACTGCCATCTATCCGATCGCAAATATCAGAGTTGCGAAATCTTCTAATAATCTGCTGTACATGTCTTTTCTTTAAAAAACTGTGAATTATGACAATCTCGTTGGAATACATTCAAGATATTCACTGATTGGTTGTTCGAGTATAGGTATGAGTCATCGCTTCATGCGTATACGCAGTACGCGTGATGTGTTGCGTTGAATTGGTGAATTTTAAGATAAACTAACATTGCAACTACTTTCTTATCAGCATTTGTTGTGCTTCTCAGCTTCGATTCCATTTTAACTTGTTCTGCTAACTGAAAATAAAAACATTTGCTTCTCACTAATGCATTTCTTGACAATCGATTAGATTTTAGATCTTTTGTCCTCGTTAAATCATGTCTAATGAACAGCATTCATTAAAAGAATCGTTACCATTACCATTTACTCTTCATTCATCATGTCTTCATATGCAGGTCAAAGCTGGTTCGAGAACGAAAAACTTGGTTGCTTATGTTCGACGTAAATTGTCTTCAGCTGATAATTCAATTGAACAAATCACATGGAATGCAACGGGCGATGGCATAACAAAAGCGATTGCATGCGCTGAAATGCTCAAACGTGAATCTAATCTTACATTTCATGAATATGTACAAATTGGTTATAAGGCAAAAGATGTAAAAATCTCGATAACAGAAAAGACCAAATTGAATAAAGATATTCCGTCAATTTGTGTTCTTCTATCAAAAGTTCCTTTGAACTCAGTATGACATCAAAGATACTCACTCTTTGTTTTCAGATCAAAACGAAAATGTCCAGTATTGCATTTATTTTTAATATTATTTTTTCACTGATAATCACATTAATCTTCCTTTATCGTTGTGGTAACTATCGTCGACAGCATGTGGTTACAACCATCGCTGTATTTATTGCTTGGTTCTTTTCCACACTGACTATTTTCATCCTTCCATTGGACATATCGCTTGTAATTGAATTTTTTTTGACTGATTTCAATTCTTATCTTCATTGTCCTTAGGCAATATATCGAGACTGTGTCACGCACCCAGAACCAGTCACCGTCAAACCACCGACGAGCAACAATTCATTGATAGTAAACTTTGGTATTCTGGTTGAAGTTTTAAGGTAAATTTTTATTTTTCAGAACAATTCAACAGCCGTAGTTTGTCCTCGACCGTGGTCCTATGTTGATCGGAATGTCTATGCGGTGTTATGGCAAGTCGTGTTTTGGACATCACAAGTGTTAACTTGGTACTTAGAACCGTAAAAACATTCTTTTGGTACAAAAATTTGTTTTCTCTTATAGGCTGATCTTGCCATTGATGCAATCATTCCGTGAGACAGGTCAGTTTGATGAAATATGTTTCTGCTCGATAATGTTTCGTATGATTTCTAGGAGAATTTTCCATTAAAGGAAAAATTCGATATACAATTAAAGCAAATTTAATTTTCTATGGCACGCTACTATTGCTCTTCATTATTCTTGTAATTTATGTAGCAACGAAAGTTACGATGGATTCGTCAAGTTTTACGGTACAAATAACTATTCAGTATTCCCTAAATCGTTCTTTTCCTTTGCTCAATTTAGGCAACATTGGTTGCGGCTAGTACAACTTGGGGTTTATTTCTTCTTGTTCTGATGCTTGGCTATGGTCTTATTCAAGTTCCGAAGAATATTTACAATCATTCACGAACAAGTTATATGCTTGCACACACACAATTTAAGTTATCCCGACTTTACAATGAAAAAGTGGATGTTGAAGAGCGTTTAGATTCGCTGATCGATGATGTCATCAAATTTTGTATGCAAATCAAAACTACTGATCCATTACGTCCATGTCTCGAACAGATAATCCAAATCGTACCTGAACAATATTCAAATCGAATTCAATTGACATTGAATGATTACGCAAATAATCGTATATCGATTCCGAATCGTTTTACTGATGATGATGAAAAAGAAAAACAATTAATTAAGTTACACGAACGATTAAAAACCAATATTCACGTCCATAATCGTGTACAAGTGTCATGGACTCGCCAAATCAATGAGGCCTTCTATTTTGAGGATATCGTTAAAAACGCTGAAAATACGAATCATGAATTCGTTCGAACAAATCCATCATCAGCCACATGGTTACGACGAAAATTATTCGATAAACATCCTAAACTAGGTAAGTCGACTAACCAAAAATGAACACTCTGTTCGTACTTGCTGTCTTTAGAATGGTACACTTATTGTGTCCTCCGTCCGTGGGGACTTCGTCTTCTTGGTATTGGACTTGGTTTAATTTCACTGTTGGTGATCTGGTCGGAGATGACCTTTTTCAGTACTTCACCTGTTCTGTCTATCTTCGCACAATGTGTTACAGCTGCCAGTCGACATTATTCATATTTGACGATTGAAGTAAGAAATCACTCATTGGAAATTGAAAACGATTGTTTTCTTTGCTTTAGATATTCTGTTGTTTAAGTATTGCATATTTATGTTTATGTGCATATTATACAATCTTTCGTATTCGTATATTAAATTATTTCTATCTGTCATTGTACCATTTAACGGATGAAAACAGTTTGATATTTGCAGCAACATTTCTTTGCCGTTTAACTGCACCATTGTGCTATAATTTTCTGGGTATGATCCATTTAGACCAAGCTATCACACATAAAATTGATCATGAAGAAACAGCATTCACATCGGTAAATTGAAAAACATGGAATTTCTTTCGATTTCTTTTATGCTTGTTGTTATTTGATAGATTATGGGTCATTTGACAGCAATCAAAATTGTATCGGTCGGATTCAACTTTTATTTTCCAATGTTAATATGTCTATTAAGTTTTGGAACGTTTTTTCGACTGGGCTCAAGATGTTTACATGCGTGTGGTTTTCGACAATTTTTCGATGATGACGATGTTTCAACTGAATATGTTGAAGATGGAAAGAGCTTAATGGCAAGAGGTGACATTATCAGATCTCAGGAGCAGTTTTGTATACTTGAAGATTGTATTTTGTTCAGAGCGTCGAAATTATGGTGGAGTTGATACGTTGGCGAATACAACCACGGCAACGCAACGTCGAGATCGAAGAAGAGAACTGGAAGAGAAATATGGTTTAAGATCAGCAAGAGCAATGGCAGCAAATAATCTCTATGGTGATGATCCAATGATTTCAGGTTTGTAAATTTGATTGCGTCAAAAGAATTTCGTCTGGAAAGAAATACATTGACTTCTATAGAAACTCGTCCACTGATTTCCAATACTGACGATCCTCTGATAGATACTCAGCCGGAACCGTCTATTCGTCCAGGTAAATAGAAAATATTTTCTCACTAACAATAACCTGAAATGTTTTTCATAGCGAGACGATTTTTTCAAAGGTAGTTTCTTTTTGTTGATTATCGCTTTGCTCTTTGAGGAAAAGCCTTTGCAAGACAATTCTTGTTTATATACTTTTTTCCAAAAACAATCCGATTGATATTTTCTTTTAGACTCGTCGGATCCAGCCGATCTTAGTTCAACTATAATAATCGATGCATAATTATTGAAAATACCATGTAAATTGATCTCAAAAGTTTGTTTTTTTTTCATCATTATTATTCATAATATCCTATGAGTAATAAATAGACTTTACACTGTCTTTTTTGTCTCTATATTTTGCTTCAAATTATATCATCACGAAATTTATTTATTCTTTATCAATTCTTATCTTTCGTCTTCATTCGTACTCTCCTTCTTCTTTGTGATACATTTGTCTACTTTTCCTTTTGGGATGGCTGCTTCAGGGGGTAGTCAAGCGAATAAGCTATATGTCTTACCTGCTGATGTAAAAAAAACTACCAATGTGTTAAAAGTTACTGTTGAGAAACTAGTCGAGCGCAGTATTCAGTTAGACATGTTAAACGAACGTGCTGATGATTTGAGTTCATCATCGCACCATTTTCACGATTCAGGCAGACATGTCCAACAAAGAATGAAATGCCGATATTGGAAACTATCGATTGCCATAAGTAAGTTTGCTTTTCTTACAACCAAAAAAAGAAATTCGTGCTCGTTTGATCATTGAATTTAGTTCTAATTGTTTTGGTTCTGATTGCCTTCACTGTTTTAATGGTAGTACGCCCATGGAAAAAAAAATCGTTCTAATTGTTCTTCTTCAAATAATTTCAAATCATCGTGTATTTCGTTTTTAATCTTTTGAAAATAAAATGAGAATGTGATAATATTTTCAGGAATAATTTTATGCTACGCTCACGTCGAATTCCAATTGGAATTTGATTTTTATAGTTCGATCCTATTGCACAAATACTGAAATGCAAAGGCATATGAAACGAGCTTTTTTCCATATTGCTTACTAAATATGAGTCAAACTGATAAGATTAGACTCGCTAGAACTATATTGTGAGCTATGTAGAGCAAAAATCATTTTTAGTACGCGACATTCGAGATGTTATAGGATTTGTATTCAAGAAATTCGATCGATTTCTTTCGTACTGACGTAGTAAATCACTGTTGAGTAATTCAATCAATATGAATGCATAAGGAATGATTGTTCTTTGCCAATGTGGCATATTCTGACGAAAAATGAGTCACATTGACAAATGTTTTACTTTTTGCATGCCAAACATAGAGAAAACGAATCAGTGACGCATGTACAAAATGATGCAAGATGATTTAAATAAGGTCGACTACTCAACAGAAATCATCAATCATTTTTATTTATGGCTGTATCGCAATTATCATCAATCTCAGAATCATTCCAAAAACTTCAAAATCCCGTAGAAGTTCCAATTCCTTACGAAACGCAAATGTAAGTTGTGTCCAATACTTAGTAGTCAACGAAATCGCTTCTTTTCTCTGAACAGATCGAAAAAATCTGCCGTAGCATTATCTGAACGATCATGTACTGTTTGTTTGGAACTAAAACCAATACAACAATACGAAGTATATGCTAACACGAACTGCTCACATCCAACTCGAACAATATGTGATATTTGCATGTATGAATATGTACGCAATACTTGGAATATTGCCATAGATGTTCAATGTCCGGAATGTTCTGCCTCTTTACCACATGTTATAGTTAAACAAATACTTATTGGCAATAATGATGATGCCCTCTATGAACGTTTCGCCAAATTAAATCTTGATCGATCACTCGAACAACATCCGGAATTCATTTGGTGTGCTCATGGATGTGGTTCCGGTCAATTAAATGAAGGTGGCACTATGAATATGACTGTCATATGTACTAATTGTCAGAAATCAACTTGTTTCAAACATCGATCTCCGTGGCACGAAGGAATGACTTGTGAAGAGTATGACATGCCTCGGAATGCTGGTCAACAACACGCTAGTGAACGTTGGATCAATGGCAATACAAAAGCATGTCCAAAATGCCATGCACATATCGAAAAGAATGAAGGTTGCGATCATATGACATGTGCTAAATGTAAACATGAATTTTGCTGGCAATGCTTGGTATCTTATGCAGGTATTAAAAGGCATGGTGCTTATCTCCATCATCGTTCATGCGTTCATTACCCACCGACAGAAACACGTAGCATTTTTAAACGCATCATAGATCTATTCTAAAATCATTTTCTCGTTTTTTTTTGTACAGTTTTCACCAATCAGGAATTGGATTGAGCGTGTTTGATATCTTGTTGCCTCTTTTTTTATATTCATTTTTTTAGAACATTTTTGATACAATACAATCTTTGGATCGTAGACTACTCGTTTATAAATTATAAGTTCGTCTTGTTTCATTATTATCTATCGCTTGCAACGATGAACATGAAAATTCGTCTTTGGTTAAATCAGAAATAATTGCCGAAGAATATTGCAATCATAGTTCTAATGAACAATTTTTTTAATTAAAAGTATTGATTTGTGTAATGAAAAAAAAACAAAATTTATTCATTTCATTAGCACCATCAATGTATACATAGGACACTATTGGAGTTAGTTAGGCGTAAGTGACCGATGAGAGCGAGATTGATTAACTGTTAGACATTTATTGAAGAAAACTAGGTTGACAATGATGACTGAACGAGTCAGATAGTTTTCTGTAGCAGGAAACGACTTCTAAATGCGTGTTATTGCTGCAGATTCGTCTGTCACTGACGTCATCTGTTCGAAACTATTTTTCGTTCAGTTAAAAATAGTAATATATTTGAATATATCTCGGCTCTGTTTCAAGGAAGCGAACACTATGCAATTCCACCCAGTGGCCAAGAACACTGGGGTCGTGTAACTTGGAATAAGATGCACATTAAACGAACTTCACCGTCGTATGTAGATATTACTACTGATTTATATCACAATAGGTGCGTTCATTTTTACAATGAAGGGCATGTTACGGCTGCACAGGTATATGGATGGGATCATATTCACGTTCGCATACCAAAACAAAAAAAGGGGGAGCATCGAACAAAATTTGGCCGTTTGAACAATTCTCAAACTCAGACTACAATGACGAGTAGTAGTGGTGCGGAAAAATCATTACTCATCAACTTGCTTCGTGGCATTCCTGATTTTATACTGTCAGCCGGAAGATTTACTGAAACCGAACATAAAATCGTTAAAGAAACCACAGATTGAAACGTTCGGAAACGTCGAAAAATAGAAGAATCCGAACAAAGTTATATTGATGAAGTTAAAAAGAATATCACAAAAAATTTGAATGGGAATGAAATTCTGCCTGCAAATATGTATGTCATCGATACACATCATTCAGACTTATTTGAATATAAAAAATTCAAACAAGTTTTGTTACGATAAAGACGTGCTCTAAGAACTGCGTCATTATCTAGATGAACTTATCTACTTTTCATTCGTGTTAAATGAAAGTGTTACTGTTAATTCCTTAATTCTTTTTTTTATAAAAATGACGAAAGAAAAGATAACATGGTATACATTCAAATAGGAACTACTACGGACGAATTCTAAACAGTAGTCGAAGTATGTAGTTCTTGTATCGAAAATAAAAAATGTTGAAAAGTGCAAAGTTCGCACATCCTTAAGAAGCACTCAGGGCGTTGATTGCTTCTTGGTAATCGTATTTTGTCAAAACAGTACTTTTCGACAATTGTCTTTTAACTTGAAAGATCTCTTGAAAATTGCCTCGTAGAATCTCTTCTATCTGTGCACCTGTGCCTTTGAATGATGAATGAAAATCATGGAACTCAATTGATTGTCCCAAGAAATCGAGCTGTCCAGACAGTTGTGGAAACCGTTCGCAAACTCGTTTGTTTATCGCCAGAATTTTATCGTCCGAGAGAACACTATCCAAATGTACTACGAAATACTGGTGTAGAGTTTCTGATAATTTTTCATCTTCCATTGAATTTAGCATTCGGCGATCTTCGTCGGTGATAGGATGATAGATTCCAATAGCATATTGTTGAAGTATCTGACCAAGTAGAGCCGCTGCACCATAAGCAACAGTGTGTGAACCTATTACTTTGACGTAGAACGTATGTATAGATCCCCATTCCTGCGTCCTAGAAAAAGCGTCATGAAGCAAAACTTCATGCTTGATATGATGTTCACGTAAAATCCGTAGATATTCAACACCATCAACAATTTCAATGATCTTATCAAGTATACGTTTGTGTACAGTTTGACTTTGCATGGATGTTGATGCACCTTCTGAATCACGCTTTATAGTACCTACTGCAAGTACATACACTTGCGCTTCTGCACAATCACTATTATTGACAAACAACGAGGTTAAGTTTTGAGTGATTTTCTGATCGATATTCATTGTAGAAATGTTCTTAACTAATAGAAGTACAACATGTGAATAAAAGCATGGTTACTGTTATTATGATGGAGTGTCTAATGAAAACAATGGAAAGAAAAAATATCCATTAACATACAGTCTTCTATAATCTCATATAATCCTTTTTTCTGGCCTGATGTCGCTATCCGGCGGTTGTGCGATTAAGTTTGTGTTTCACAATATGCTTCTATTTGCACGAAAGTTCTGCAGTATTAATTAACTGTCCTACGTCACAAGAACGATTGCTATTACCTTTATTGCGCTAAGTTGTTTCCATTCTGTAATGACAACGCACCTGCTTTGTGATTTTTGGCCGTTTTAAAATGGGATTTACGTCAGTAACTATATAAAGCAGGAACTAACAATTTTATTTTGTATTTTGTCATGCATTTAAACATAGATTTAATATGCCCTATATTTCTGTTTTTACGTAGCGTATGGTGAGCACTTTAGCTTTCCATTCAAAAAATGACACACATAGGGTTATGCATATGTGCAATGTTCGTACATTTGACTGTTGCTACACCTCAAATCAATCTTTATTCTACAGATTCGGTAAGTGGCATTGAAGCAAATAATAAAATTACAGCGAAACACAATTGCTTACGCGTGCTTGCCACTATTGATAACAAGGAGTTTTATTATCAAATGATCTCATACTGTATGGACGAGTTGTCCGAAAAAGTCCACGTGATAAACGATGATTCCTCTTCGAAGTTTAGTTTCGTTGATCTGGCAAAACAAAATATAACAAGCGATCAGTTGTATCTCTGGTCAGCACCAATTGACACCGTCGAAAACTATCAATTGTACTTAAATCAATTATATAAATCAACAACATTAGGAGAAGAAACTTTCTATAATTGTACACTTCCCAGGTTTGGTCCTATGTGCCAATATGAATTCTATGATTTTAACTCGAACTATTCATCATTACACGAGATTATTTATGATATTTATAAACGATATCTTTTCCCAACGGACAGTGTGACCTGCTACGAACATTTACAATGTAATCGCGGTCCTCGCCCAATGTGTTTGGATTGGACTGAAATCTGTAATAGACAAGTTGACTGCATTGACAGTGAAATTGATGAAGAACATTGTTGGCAATTAGAAATGAATCAATGTAAAGATACGGAATTTCAATGTCCAAATGGTCAGTGTGTTCCTCGAATATTTGTGCAAGATAACATCAACGTTGTCGAATGTCTGGATGAATTTGACAGTTATTACGATGTGTTCAGACAAAAACGATGTATGTTGCATGAACCGTCATTTGATTGTGAAGATATCCGATGTCAACAGAATGCTCTAACAAGTGATTGTAGATCTCGCCAAAGCAATGTTCTCAAATCAATCTTTTCCGTTCAAGACAATTCTGTATCTGATTCCTGTTGGAATGCACTTAAGTGTAAAATTGATTTTGAACTTCTTAATTACACGTATTGTTCACGATTTTGTCTACTTGACGACTGTATTGAAATTATAAACGTCGAGTGCCCTAAATTGGTTTTCTTTCCTGCTGTCCCAGTTCTATTTAGTCATATCTACTTTGCTTTTATTAAAAATCACTCACAAGACTTTCGATACCCATACATATGCTACAATAATTCTCGTTATGATCGTTATTTTCAAAAAGCATTCAAAATTCATATCAATAACACAGTTTGTTATTTTCGGAACGATACATTTCCCATATGGAACTTTGCAAGTAGTTGGACTGATAGATATTTTTCTCCATACTATCGTGATCTTTGGGAATACGATTATATCGGACGGAATCACTTGTTTTTGAATTACTCCCTGCCGCAATGTAACGTATCGGATATGTATCAGTGTGAAAATTCAATTCGATGCATTTCCGTCAAATATGTTCAAGATAAAGCTTATGGATGTCCGAATGGTGATGATGAAAATGAAAGTTATAATAACAGTATTATTTTAAAAGAAGAGTCACTTGGTATTCAGCGAACGTATTCATACGAGCTGAAAACTGAACTTCGCTATATCCGTCAACATATTTCGTTTCAAACAATATGTGACGGATTTCAAGAATTAGCGCCGATCGACATTGATGGCCAAAATCAAACTGATGAAACTCAATGCGAACAATGGCAATGTGATAATATTTATACGCGTTGTGACGGCTTATGGAATTGTCTCAACGGCGACGATGAAATCGGCTGTAATTCAACTTTTCAACAGATGAATTGTTCTTCAGATCAACATGTATGTGTCTCACCACATACCAATCAATTAATATGTATATCTACTGTGCAGGCAAATGACGGTAAAGAAGATTGTCTCGGTGGTATTGATGAGCCAGCATTATGTCGAGGGATGTATCACATAGATACAATCAAAGAATTCCATTGTTGGAATGAAAGTGCTGGAGATTGTCTCGAATCTCGATCTCTTTGTGAAGGTTATCCGAATTGTGCTTACGGAGATGATGAAAAATTTTGTCAAAACCTCAAACCTAACATCCAATATTATAAACTATGCAAGCCGGATAAATTGACAATTCATTCTGATGCTGAAAAATTTCTATGCTCGCGCTTACACGATAAGAAAAAGCCAGCACTCGTATTTTTTTCACTTGATCCAATAGGATCCGTCGCAATGACTGCAACGCCGTCGGATCAAGAAATTCTAGTAGGTCCTCCGAATGAATATAAACCACAATGTCATCGCGGTTTTGACGTACATGTCTGGTCAAACAACCGAAGCCAATGTCTATGTCCATCGAGTTATTATGGGAACTTATGTCAGTATCAAAATCAACGCGTAAGTCTATCATTGAAATTCCGAGCTTTATCCGACTCTTGGCAAACACCATTCGAAATTGTTATTTTACTGATCGATGATAGTGATGAACAGACGATCCATTCCCATGAAAAACTGACATATTTATCAGTGCGAGATTGTCAAATGAAATTTCATCTGTATTTGCTCTATTCAACTCGTCCCAAAAACGCCACAAGAAATTATTCCATACAGATAGATATTTACGAGAAAATCTCTTTACACTATCGAGGAAGTGTACACTTTCCCATTGATTTTCCATTTTTACCTGTTCACCGTTTGGCATTTCACATCGAAATACCGAAACACGATCAGCAGCTTTCAACATGTTCGAATCTCGCATGTCAACATGGTAAATGTGTCAAATACTTGAACAACCAACAATTTTGCCGATGCGATTTCGGATGGTCGGGAAAATACTGTCAGATCTCACATATTTGTACATGCAATTCATTAAATTCCATATGTATCGGCACATCGGCTCATAATCAATCAATATGTGTTTGCGACGTGAATAAATTCGGTCCTCGATGTCTTATTAACACCGTATGTCAAACAACTGAGAAGACTTCTATGTGTCAACATCAAGGCCAGTGCGTCCCTACAGATGATTATATGATGTTGGATCGAAAGTTTCGATGCATTTGCAAGCAAGGTTTTAGCGGCGAGCGTTGTGAAACCGAAGATAGCCAACTTGTTTTGTCATTCGCTGAAAATATTATGTTAACGAAATCGATACTTATACATTTCATCGAAATTATCAAGAATAATACACCAGTGAGAGCAACCACTTCGAAAATAATTCACTCTCAACGAGGTTCAATATCTATTCGTTGGTCACAACCATTTCATATCGTTTTCATTGAATTTTTTCCAGAGAAACTTTACTATCTAGCTCTTGTTCAAAGCAACTATCGACAATCGGCAATGTTAACTCGAACGATCAATTCATCAAGTTATTGTCCACATGTCAGTGAAATATTCAACAAAAGCTTTAGTCAGTGGCACCTACTCCGTCGAATCAAATCTTATCACCTGGCATGCCAATCACAGCGGTCGTGTTTTTACGATGATGTTCATTTTTGTCTGTGCTATGATTATAACGATAAACGTTTGGCGAATTGTTTCGAATTCGATTATCAAATGAAATTTGATTGTGCTGGTGAAAGCGTTTGTGAAAACGAAGGTCGTTGTTTTCAAGAACTTCAAGGTTGTCCACGGCATTCAACTTGCATCTGTCCATCCTGTTTCTACGGATATCGATGTCAATTCAGCGCACGTGGGTTTGGTTTGTCATTAGATGCCATTATAGGATATCATATTCGACCGGACGTCAGCATTCTGCAGCAATCAACTAGTGTCCAATTGACTTTAATTCTGATCATCATGTTCACTATCATCGGATTTATCGACGGTATTCTTTCGTTAATCACATTCCAAAGTAAAGCTGTACGTGAGGTTGGTTGTGGTTTATATCTCTTGTGTTCTTCGATTACGACTTTACTCCTGATATCTGTGCTAGGATGTAAATTCTTCATACTTTACCTTGCGCAGGTCAACTCAATATCCAATCGGTCGTTCTTGCAAATTCAATGCATAACTCTGGATTTTGTTCTTCGCATTTGTCTCAATATGGATCAATGGCTTGCTGCATGTGTAGCCTGTGAACGGGCAATGACTGTGATACAGGGTGTTCGTTTTATTAAACATAAAAGTACACAAATCGCTAAGACAATGATTATCCTTCTTTTGATATTTAATATTGGTACAACGATACATGATCCTATACATCGACGTTTAATTGACGAGGAAGACAATGAAAGTGGCGAGAAACGCATTTGGTGTACTACTACTTACCCATCGAGCTTGCAAACATTTGATCATTTTATGAATACATGCAATTTTTTCGTACCATTTGTGATAAACTTTGTTTCTGTTACCATTCTGATCATCAAAAAGTCCTATCTACAGGCCAGTACGCAAACTCGTAAACACTTTCTCCATCTTTTCCGAGAACAAATTCATCAGCATCAACATCTACTAATTGCTCCAATTGCGTTAATTGTTCTCGCACTACCACGATTGATCATTTCCTACGTATCGCAATGCATGGAATCCATCAATGATATGTGGGTATTTCTCGTCGGGTATTTCATATCACTTATTCCTCCAATGTTAACTTTCGTTATATTCGTATTACCATCGAAATTTTATAAGAAACAATTCAACAAGTCGCTCACTCGTTATCGTACTATTCTACAAAGACGTTTATATTTTCGTTCGTCAGAATAAAATACGCTTAATATTGTCAGTTTGCAATCATTTGATGTAGTCTCTGCGAGGGTGTGAGTGAGGGTGAAAAGTTTTATGAATGGAACCAGTTTAAGCTCGGTTAGAACACATATTGGACAAACCGACTCAAGAAAAAGTCGAATTAGTGTCCAATATATTTTACATGACTTCAATCGATTTTATTGCAAATGCAAAGGAAGTTCTTACGATCTATTTTCCATTGTTATTTCTATATAAGAACTAGGCGTTAACTTCGTAGAAGACGTATATTTAAAATTTTCTAATTCTTCTTATATTAGGGGAATATATTTATTTCTCGTGATGAACTTAGTATTATTAATATTCGACTTGAAGTCTATCCAACCAATTCGGCGGACATTGATATAAAAAGATTTGGTTCTAAACGTGTACGCCGCGGTTATGATATAACGAAGAGTATTTCTCGTACAACTGAATCTGCATCATTATTTATTGAACGTGGCTCCGTCAATATTTTGGGACATCAACAGGGAACATGTTATCATATGTATGCTGACAATATAATAGTAATAGTCAATCTAATGGTACCATCAACCTATATTCCCTTTTCCGAAAGAAAGGGTTAGAGCGTCTATTCTCTTTCTCGTAAAGAAGAGTCGTAGAAACATAAATTGTTTGCTTGCTTGCTTGTATGTCCGCAGGGTCAAAAAAACATCGAAAATCGATTTTTCGGAAGAGATATTTTCAGAGGTACTTCATTGTGGAGACGTCAAATCGGATGTTCGTCCTTCGAATTTTTTCTAAAAATTGACTAAACGGTTTTTTGAGAGTTAGAAAAAAAATTTTGAAACAAAGGGTACCCATTTTCGGAAAAAAACATGTATTACCATATGATATCGGATATAGTCAAGTGTATAAGTATGGTAAATGAAATATTCTCGTCAGTCTCTAGTGACCTAATAGTCAATTATTGATCTTCATAAACGAACTCTGAAGTAACGTAGCTGTCGTCACATACACTTAATAATGCATTAAAACTATGACATCTGAAATCAATATTTCTACGACAAAGAGCTAAGCGAGTCTAACGACGAGCGTTACTCCTTGTTATCAGCGGAATCAAATCGTGGAAAATAATTCTAGTAAGAAAGAATATGAATGCGCATCAATTAAGCAATAAAATAGATTTTCAGGCAAATTATATGAGCAATATGTATTTCAGCAAAAGAAAACCTATGCTGAAGAACTAGAACAATGTAGTTCCATTCGTTTCATAATTTATTGCAGAAAGTAGAGGCGATGTGCCTAATTCGAACAGGAGGGTGAACACCTTCTGTTATTTTGAATATTTCTCAGTCATTTCTCAACATAAAAAAAATATTTTTACATTTCTGACTAGAGACGCATCTTGCNACATGATCCCTAATACGAACAAATCGACTTCTCCAATTTATACCGCTAATTACTGAGTTAATTAATAAGATAATTAGCTGATTCTTACATCATTCGATGCGCAAGATGCGTCTCTAGTCAGAAATGTAAAAATATTTTTTTTATGTTGAGAAATGACTGAGAAATATTCAAAATAACAGAAGGTGTTCACCCTCCTGTTCGAATTAGGCACATCGCCTCTAAAGAATAAAATCCTATGGAACGATATAACATATACCACACATTACATCAAATACTATCCTCCACAGCCAAATAATAAATCGGGTACTGTTTTTGCTCTTCGTTGTAAATGCTCGCATATGTATGTCATGGTTATTGTATTGTAAGAAACTAATCGACAGTTATCTGTTAACAGAACTACGGGTGTTTTAAAGCAAGATATTACAGCGTTCTTGTAGATTTGAGGATCGTCTTTAAAGCTATCTGTTTGGGCATATCGAATAGCGGCTTAACTTTTCCAATAAGCTAAACGTCTTGCTTCCGAAGAGAATCGATAACGTTTGTTTTTTCGAAGGTTTTCCACGTTTTCTTATTTACTAAAATGCTATGGGGTAATTAATTCATCAAAAAGAATTCACAACAAACTTTTAGAGCACTTCGGTGAGGGAGTTGCCATCCTATTTATGTAAAAGATGCTGAGTGTTCTAACTCACTCTTCAACACAAAAAACAGATATATATTTTAGGAGTGGCAATTTCACTTAACTTTAAGTGTTCAAGTTAACGTCACCCCTGCGGTAAACCGTAGCTTAATTTTATATTTTGTGGCTTCAAAAAGAAATAAAAGATTATGCGATAGGTTTTCAGGTTGACAAACAATCATTCTTTCTTGTTTCTTTTATCCATCATCGAATAAGACTTGGGAAGAATGAAAGGAACACACTGAGAGATGCTACATGAAGCTCTCAGCAAACTCTATCGTAAGACTTTTTACAATCATGTGTTTTTTTATTGAAAAACGTCAAATGGTGCAAATCAATCAGTGAAAACTGACTGGTTAGCATTTAGCGTTGTTGAAAACAAAATTTACATAATCAAAATAAATCTCTAATGTAAGCTGTAGAGTTTTTTATCTTCCACTATACTTTTTAGCTAAAAAATTACTTTAGAGGCGCCCATTTCTTTTGAAGAAAATCGAATCGGCTTGTAAAGGAGTCAAAGGCATAAAAGATTTTCTACTTTTAATTCTTGAAACGTCTATTTTAAACGTCAAAACAGAATTCAACGAGCATGCGTGTTCTAACGCCATCTTTCTGCGCACGCCAGCAATTCGTAACTGTTGAAATGACTACACGTCATTTGTTTTCGTCAAAAACATATATAAATGCATCACCACCACCAGTTTCTACTGATAACGAACAAAGTAAAACATTTTTCATCGCTTTCGGTCCCTACGATACGGTTTGTTGCACGATTGAAATACAACATGCACACATTTTCCACATTACCCGTCGAAATTGTTTATCGAATTATGGATCATCAAAATGAGCAGACGCTATTTTGTTCAATGCAAAACATTTCCCGGCGGCTCAATCAGATCCTGAGCACCTATGAGCGATATCGAGTAAGTTTACTTGTCATCTTAACATTCTTGTCGGTTGTGCTACACATAAGCCTAATGATATTGACATTGCAAATTTCCCCATAGGAAGAGGTAAAATAATCTCATAATCCACAAATAATTTGATCGAATCAGACAATCACAGTGCGAAGCGATATGAAATCAAGCTTTCCTCCAGTCTCTCGCCTTTCTCCTATGTATATTGAATTATTCGATATAAGAGTGCATCAACTATCACTCTTGATGAAACCTCCCAAACGAACCAAACTAGCTTTCGCAATTTCTGGGCCTATGCCTATATTCATTCTCACCATCACACACACACAATCAGACTCCCACATATCACAAAAGTAGGATGTCAATTTCCTTGGAGAGCGCCCTCAGAAGAGATATCTCACTACAATCAATAACTATTGATAGTTACTATATCCTACTCTTTCCACTCGATCAGCTCACGGTAATCTCATGTCCATATTGCCAACACAGCACTTCTTCTCTGAACGCAGTCTTTCCTACGCCACAGCAACCATCATCAACCACACCAAAAAACGAATATATAGATCCAACTGCTTCCTAATAATCGTCCCCAAACATGACAATTTCATATCACACATATACGATCAGACGTGTCATCAAAGACTCTCTTTGCTATTTGTCCTTTTCATAATATATTGTTTTCATCTAGACACTCACCGCACTAGATCTCGGCCATAACGGCATCGGCGATAAAGGAGCACAACACATTGCGGATGCGTTGCGAACGAACACCGTAATACTGATTTCATTTCACGAAAGGTGAAGTACTCAGTCTCTCTCACACCCACAGACACTCACCGCACTACATCTCGAAACTAACAAAATCGGTGCTAAAGGAGCACAACACATTGCGCATGCGTTGCAAACGAACACGGTAATATCGATTTCATTTCACCACAGGTGAACAACTCAATGTCTCTCGCACCTACAGATACTCACGTCACTAAACCTCAATTGGAACGAAATCGGTGCTGAAGGAGCAAAATGCATTGCGGATGCGTTGCGAACGAACACTGTAATGCTGATCTCATTTCACGAAAGGTGAAGTACTCAGTGTCTCTCGCACTTACAGACACTCACCGCACTACATCTCCGCAATACCAAAATCGGTGCTGAAGGAGCGCAGCATATTGCGGATGCATTGCGAATGAACACCGTAATACGGATCTCATTTCACGAAAGGTAAAGTACTCAGTCTCTCTCACACCCACAGACACTCCACGCATTACATCTCGGCAATAACGAAATCGGTAATAAAGGAGCACAACACATTGCGGATGCGTTGCAAACGAACACGGTAATATCGATTTCATTTCACGAAAGGCGAAGAACCCAATGTCTCTCGCACCTACAGATACTCACGTCACTAAACCTCAATTGGAACGAAATCGGTGCTGAAGGAGCAAAATGCATTGCGGATGCGTTGCGAACGAACACGGTAACACTGATTTCATTTCACGAAAGATGAAGTAATCAGTGTCTCTCACACCTACAGACACTCACTGCACTGGAACTCAATTTCAACGACATCCGTGCTGAAGGAGCACAACACATTGGTGATGCATTGCGGGTGAACACGGTAATACTGATTTCATTTCACAAAAGGTGAAGTACTCAGTCTGTCTCACACCCACAGACACTCACCGCACTAAATCTCGGCAATAACGAAATCGGTGCTGAAGGATCACAACACATTGCGGACGCGTTGCGAACGAACAGAGTAATACTGCTTTCATTTCACGAAAGGTGAAGCACACAGTGTCTCCCACACCCACAGACACTCACCGCACTAAATCTGGGCAATGACAGAATCGGCGCTGAAGGAGCACAACACATTGCGGATGCGTTGCGAACGAACACGGTAATACTGATTTCACTTGACGGAAGTTAAAACACTCAGTCTGTCCCACACCTACAGACACTCACTACACTAAGCCTCACTTGCAATGGAGTCGGTGCTGTAGGAGCACAATACATTGCAGATGCGTTGCGAAGGAGCACGGTAATACTGATCTCATTTCACGGAAGGTGAAGGTCTCAATCTGTCTCACACCCACAGATACTCACTGCACTGGATCTCGGCAATAACGGAATCGATGATAAAGGAGCACAATACATTGCGGATGCGTTGCGAACGAACACCGTAATACTGATTTCATTTCACGAAAGGTGAAACACGCAGTCTCTCTCACACCCACAGACGCTCAACACACTAAATTTCAATTGGAGCGAAATCGGTGGTGAAGGAGCACAACACATTGCGGATGCATTGCGAACGAACACGGTAATATCGATTTCATTTCGCGGAAGGTGAAGAACTCAGTCTCTCTTGCACCTACAGACACTCACCAGACTAGATCTCCAAGGTGACAGAATCGGTGATAAAGGAGCACAACACATTGGGGATGCGTTGCGAAGGAACACGGTAATACGGATCTGATTTCACGGAAGGTGAAGTACTCAGTCTCTCTCACGCCGACAGACACTCACCACACTAAGCCTCAATTGGAACGGGATCGGTACTGAAGGAGCACAACACATTGCGGATGCGTTGCGAACGAACATTGTAATACTGATTTCGTTTCACGAAAGGTGAAGTACTCAGTCTCTCTCACACTTACAGACACTCACTACACTAGATCTCGGTAATAACAAAATCGGTGCTGAAATGAAACAACAGATTGCGAACGCGTTGCTTAGAAATGTAGTAAGACTGATGCTTTGCTGGAACAAAATTGGGAATATCTGATTTATCGAATTCTTAGTGCGTTAATTTGGTGTAGATCTTGCCCTGAATCGAATGGGAGAACAAGTGATAGTGGATTTGCAGTGACTCTTGTAGTGGAAAGGATGCTTTTCGATTGAGAACTTACTGGATATCAGTTGGTGTGCGGTTTTGGTGTCAGTGAGAAGTAGTGAATGAATAGAAAATGAATTGTTGTTGTGAGTAGTGGATGTGACCTGAATGAGAATGGTTTTTGTGGTAGGAAAATATATGTGAAATAGTGGAAGTGAATGCTTTACTCACGAAGGTGTAACCGAGTAGTTTTTTATGGAAGAGGTGCCACGGTACGATGCGTTTATGAGAGGTTCTCTTAGATCGCAATTTGTTTCTGAAAGTGTGTGATTGATAAGACAACATTACTGCAGGCTGTTCGACTATATTGGAGATAGAGCAGAATAGAATCGACAGGAGTACAGCACGTATGCATTTTACATGTCAGTTCTTGTAACAAGCAAAGTGATCAGACCATGGTACACTGAATGGCAGCGATGTTTTATTATTATCTAGCTGTTTTATGTTTGATTCCAAAGCCTAAATGTATTGAGAGCTTGTTAATGTAGTGTTATGTTTGCTTGTAGTTTGTTTTTGGAGAGAGTAGTATGTATCCGTTATCTATGAATTCTGTGGTGGATTGGAAATAAACAATGTGTTATAAAGTGACTTAAATGGCACAGTGAAGAGAGAATGGGCGAAAATTAGCGCATCAAATCACGCTGTTATACTAACTATTTCCCACGATCAGGGTAGTCTGAAAAGAAGTGATTTTGTCGATTATGATCAGCTCCATTCGCTCTCAGTGTTGATCCATAGGAAAATATCAGGGAAGTATTTGTTGCAAGATTTTATCGCGGAAAAAGCAGTGGAGCATACTCTCGAAATTGTTTGCATATTATTCTGATAACACGGTTTTCCGTTTATGGTTTACTTACATGTAAAATCTCTACACGGCTTGAAACGATAGCAAATGTGAGGCCGTAAGAAAAGCGGAGGATAACCATTTTTACAAATCTTCTCAATCAGATTCGGACTGGTACATTTGACATCTAATGATAGGCAGCTATTGTGTCCTTGCTCTAAGATCTATCTTTCGAATGATGAGAAAACTGAAACCGCTCAGGTGTGCATCATTCAACATCATAGTCTGTACGCTAAGATATTACATATATATTCATAGCGTTCCTTAACATTACACTGTAAGAGAACGTACATTTCGTTTGATTTGAGTATCTGTCTTTGCGTTCTCTGCACATATCGGTGATTGAAAACTCGCACGAGATGATGATCATTAGACAGAAGTGGATTTTAGCTATCTGGAGCCACCCCAGACTGATTTTATACATATAGTATTACTACATTTTGAGGTGTATCTGAAATGGTATGTATATAGCCCGCCTTTTTGAAAGGGGTTAACACTAGTTAGTCAACGTACACTCATATAAATCGAGTGGACTGAAAGTATGCAAAGTGTCATCATCTAAGTACAAATGATTTTACTTTTAATCAAGATATTTGTGCACATTTAGTCTCCGATTGTTTATCAATACGGCATCCTGTATACAGTCACTTTTTATTGTCATCGTTAAAATGAGGTAAATAGGCTTAGATTAATTAATGTTTTTTACTTTTCAGTAGTTGCAGAAGTTTCTCCTAACACACGAAAAAAAAACTCTGCCACGTTTGTTCCGAATAGAGCGCTCATGCTCAAAAGCATCATCTTCTGACAGTAAATCTTGTTGAATTTTCAGATTGGATCTAATATTTCTCAGAAAAGCGAAGACCTAGTGCAGGACAACGAATACACGCATATTGAAACTTATTTCATTATACATATGCAATTTATAAGTAATGTCCGCCCATTATGAACTCCCTGATCTGGTACTAAAATGGTAGAACTAAATCTTTCAGCATACGTGAAACACCATAGAGACTTGTTTTACTGCATAAACCGAATCACTTGTCTCTTTGTAAAAAGCTGTTGTTGTCTAGCCGATTATAATGATCTATCCACAATATCCGCCGTTTTTCTATTTCTATTCGAATTCAATGAATATGTTTCGCTTTATACCATGTTTAACAGCAATGACATCCTACTGTACGTCACATGATGTTCTTTTTTTCAGCAGAGAAGAGCAAGGAGCTTACGCATACTTATAATGGATCAGAAAGATTTCCTTTCAAATAGACTACATATCGACTGAGATTTAAAACAAAGGTGCACCGGAAGAAATTGACGTCGAGTTTGAGGTTCTCAATCTTAATTACGCTTTAGGGGATGGTTGCCCAGAGCGAGTACACTGGATCGGATTCGATGAGAATTGTGCAGGACCTGAAAGCTGGATTACTCGTTGCAGTGGCGCAACCAGCTATATATTTTTCGTCTTGATTTTGATATTCGATTTTCTCTTTCTCGTAGAGAAGAGTCTTATAAACATAAATTGTTTGCTTGTATGTCTGCACGGTCAAAAAAACATCGATTTTTCCGAAAAGATATTTCCAGAGGTATTTCGGTGCGGAGACTTCGAATCTGATGTTAGGTTTTTTCAGAATTAAAAAAATTGTTCAAATCAAGGATACCGATTTTCAGAAAAACATTTGGTGGACGGACAATTCGTCGACGGACAATTCGTCGACAGACAATTCGTCGCGGACAATTCGTCGCCTGGACAATTCGTCGACGGACAATTCGTCGCCTGGACAATTCGTCGCCTGGACAATTCGTCGCCATCATAATTTGTCGCACAAGTACTCACTCGTGTAATTAATTAGTTGTAACAAGATTAACATAATGTACAGATAGGGAGAGAGAGAGAGGTAAGCATGGCATAAGGATCAATACGTTTGTAAAAGAGAAAAATGTAATTAGTAAAAAAATCTACGATATGCAATGAAACAGATTGAACAAAAAACGACTAAATATTTCATACTTCTCACTAAAATAGTATCAGATACTAGCGTCTTCTTAATGAAAAACGGATCCTATCGGAAATCCATACGGATGGGGACTTTATTCTGCATACTATAATGATGAAATACTAACTGAAAGCATATTAGAACCAGGATGTTCGTTGCGAAGTAAAACTCATTCTATATAGTGCCCATTGTTTCAACTGACTAAATTTAGTGTTTGATAAAAACCTTTGAGGATTGCACTAATAAGAACAGAGATATTTTGAAAAAATAGTCGAATACTGCGTAAAGGAACTATGATAAAAGTCACTCGCTACTTTGTAGAACTTTTCCAGTCAGTTTCCCCAAACTTCTACCTGATTCACAAGAGTGAAAAATTTATTAACATAGTGAATACGATGCAATTTTTCTTTCGCAGCCAGCTCAGTGAATGTTCTATGCTCAAAGGTTCAGTAATGTTATAATATTGAAATTCTATATTTTGGTACTTTCGAAACATTCTGTATTTAGTTTTCAAGTAATTCGTATTTTTCTGTTCACAGTACCATTAGATTGATAGGCTCCACTTAGTGTCACTAACAACATTTTTGGTGATAGTGTAGCTTTTTTTATTAATTGATTTACATATGTAATGCTGCCAATTAATAATATTATGATGGCGACGAATTGTCCAGGCGACGAATTGTCCAGGCGACGAATTGTCCGTCGACGAATTGTCCAGGCGACGAATTGTCCGCGACGAATTGTCCGTCGACGAATTGTCCGTCGACGAATTGTCCTAGTGCCAAAACATTTATTACTTGTTTACAAGTTCGACCCTCTCTTGCTCAAGACGCTGAACTGAAACGTCTAGATGAACTTGACAAAAAGACAAAACGAGAATGTACCTCTTCCGCTTTTTGAACGTGTATAAATCGATACGCTGTTAAGAATTTAGTGTTATTACAAGCATATAAAATGTATATTGATTTTTCAAATTATCTTAAAATAACTATTCGTATAGGTTCATTTTTTTAACCTCTTTCTTCACATTAGTCTTAATTGTTGTAGTAATCGTTTCTTTTCTCTAATTGTAGCAGATATTTCCTATCGTGTTTTGTTATTTTCTTTTTTCATGTAATAACTCATAATCTACTTAATCGTATTGATACTTATTTAGAATATCTGCTGCTCAAGTTGATAATTAGTATAAATATCTCATAGTACTTTTGTGAACATATCTAATCTACACTAAAAATAAATTAATACACACGCAATAATAGCTTTAAAGTGTAATATCTGAGAGCACGATTTCTACGAGAAAGAGCTGAGCGAGTCTCTAGACGAGCGTTACTTGTAAAATACGGTCGTTAAAATGGAAAAAGTTTGTTTATACAATCCAATCAGCTTGCAGTAAATTATGAGTTCTTACAGTGGCGAGTAAGGATAGATCGAAGGGATATAGAGGTCGATGATCATGAATCCGAGGTTTAGTTTCTCCTTAGTCACTGGGATCCGTCTTCTTCCTTTCTGTTTCTAAAACAGATATTTATCTGTGTCTTTTCTAAAATCTTGTGTAAAAGGTATCGGTATGAAGCTAGCACGAACAAACGATATGTTAGCTAAAAACTTTGTTTACTAAGTCCCGTCTATGAAAACCATACGCCATTCAACTCAGAGTTTAATTCTGCATCGAATGGTGATGTTTCTACTCACAGGACAAACTTTGGAAAAATTTTCTTTGGATCATAAATATATCTATAGGAGGCAAATAAAGATATAGGTAAACATTTTTCCAAAGTTTGTCCCGTGAGTAGAAACATCACCGTTCGGTGCAGAATTAACCCTTTGACTCCCGAATTTTCTTTATGGAACTAATGTTTGAAAAAAACATGATGATAAGTGACTAAGCAGTGTTTTGGGACTGCTGGTTAAGTTGTCACAAAAACTGTTGTTCTATGAGTATGCGCATGTTTAGTTTATTGTTGATGCACAAAGCTTTTGCTGACAAAAAAAGCATTTTTTCACACAATGAGAAACACCACAAACAGTACATATTACATTCGTTTTCTTTTTTTATTAAAATAAGGACATCTACAATAAGTTGGAATAAAATCTGGCAAATCATCTGACAATCGTGCTTTTTAATAATCTTCCAAATGACTACTCTATCATCAGAACCTGGATCCATTAGATTTTAGAAAACACTCAGGTTTTTGAGATAATTCAAAGTTCAAATATTACACCGGTAGTTCTATCGACGATATAATTATCCAATTATACTATAGTACCTTCTCTTATCAGGAAAAAACAACAGCACGAAGTGTTTTCGGACACAAACTACAGAATATTTAGCAAAACCTTGCGAATTCAAAAGGGCTACCCGACTAATTACGTTATTAGATTCATAAAAATATCTATACAGCCGTTCAAACAAGCATCCTAACTATGACTAAAAAATGAAAATATTCTCTCTGAACATCGGAAACCTCAAATAATTTCGAATTTTTTTCAAAAATATAAATTCTCACTAAGGTGGGAAGTATATATCCCACCGGGAGTGAAAGGGTTAAATTCTGAGTCGAATGGTATGATTTTCATAGACGGGACTTACTTACGAGGGAACATGTTTAGGTGATCAAGCAGTTTAGATCCCATCTTTTGGTGGTAAGTAGACTTCGATGAGGTATGAAAAATCTCAAAAGGATTCGTGTCCTCGTCTCTTTGTTCCCGAGTTATGGTTGTTCTACTCTATTTTCAGCTTATTGCAAGGTATTTCGATAAAACTCTGATGACGCATTTTCAACCTAAATTTTTGCCCATAAAAATGTCTCATTCGCACTGGATTGTTCTACAAGTATCAGCTCGAAGGAATGTTTCCTTCACGAGATAATGAATTTCCAAGACAGATCGGTTTTTTCGAATGGTTGATGTAATTAATACTGGATTTTTTAAAACTCGTTTATCTCGTGAAGGAGACATTCCTTCGAGCTGATACTTGTAGAACAATCCAGTGCGAATGAGACATTTTTATGGGCAAAAATTTAGGTTGAAAATGCGTCATCAGAGTTTTATCGAAATACCTTGCAATAAGCTGAAAATAGAGTAGAACAACCATAACTCGGGAACAAAGAGACGAGGACACGAATCCTTTTGAGATTTTTCATACCTCATCGAAGTCTACTTACCACCAAAAGATGGGATCTAAACTGCTTGATCACTTAAATATGTTCCCTCGTTATAGTAAAAAAGTTTTTAGCTAACATATCGTTTGTCTGTGCTAACTTCGTGATTTTCACACTGATAACAAAATCTCTGACTTTAATAATTTTGCCAACAGTTGAGATATCGTGTACACAAAATGGTCAAAATTGACTTGTAATCCAATATTGTCTTCGTGAACTATATTCTAGACAGCTACCCAGATTTCACGTGACATACTATGCGAGAATTGAATTTCCAAGCCGAGTTTTATCCCTTTTAACTATCAATGAATCTAAAAGTTTTCAAGAATTTTTTGAAACAGTTTAGAATAATATCGATTGTCTTTTATTTAACAGCAACTGAAACCACTTTTGATGAACGGTTGTGTTTCAGAACGGATTTCGATTTTACGCAGGAGAAAATTGAGAATTGTTTGTACATAGTATTTCGAGAAAAACAGATTAAAAAGTACGTCGTTAGAAAGAATGAGCTTTATATGGAAAATACGTACACTATATGCTGTGAATATCATCGACTATTAAAATAGAAGTCAATCAACAACGTGGTCTTATAGCGTTTTACTCGAAAGCTGGTAACAGAGAATGTATTTTTGAGTTGTATTTAGTCGTTCTCTTAAAACTAATTGAGGATTACTCAATGATTTTGGGGCGGAGTGATGAGGACATCTAAGTGGAACACATGTGTAAAAAATCACAAGGATTAGCTAAGTAGAACCAGAGATACTGCGATCTCATATCCCAAAATCCGAGGCACTCAGTAAGCTTGCAATTAGCTCATGTATGCCATGAACCATACTCGAATTATAGTTCTAAGTCTGTTTTTGAATGACTTATGTCATACCGGCCGTCACACTTTTAGAAAGAAAACTTTTTCTCATTGTTTACATTGATTTAGGATGGATAACAACAAGAAGCATGAGTATCGCACGTGATTCACATACATCGGTCTTATTATTCGATGGAACTATGTTGATTATTAGTGGATCTAGTTCAGGTTATGCCAATCTTACTGAATCGTATAGTCCAGGAACAGGCACTTGGCCATCAAAAGTTTCCATTAGTGTTCCACGATGGCTTCATACATGATCGTTACTACTAGATGCAACGGTGTTAATTACTGGTGGACAAGATAGCAGTAACTTTCTCAATGATGTTAACCTGTATTATCCTTCAACAAATACATGCTCAACGAAACAAAGTATGAATGCTCGGCGAACTCGGCACGCGATATCCATCCTACTAAATAAAAATATATTAGTTTCTGGCGGCACGAATAGTGGTGGTTATCTTAATAGCGCTGAGATATACGATCCAACGACGAATACATGGACGTTAACTCCAAGCATGAATTCCATATGAGGAGGACATTCAGCAACCACACTATTGAATGGGTGAGTTTTAGTTGCTGGAGGATATACTGGTTCTATCTCTCTCAATATTGCTGAATTGTACTGATGAACGTTATGAAAATCAACTTTTTCTGTCGAAATATTGCGATTTTTCATAATTATATTATGACTCACTAAATAATACGTCAGCTCTATTTATTTCAACGGATGAGAGTGAGAATGATGACAAAATGTGTTGGACTTCTATTGATATCCTTCTAACTGTCTTATCAATAGAAAGTTCTCTATCAGGCTTCTGTTTCATCAGCTACTCGTTACTCTACAAAAAAACGATACGACTCAGAGATTTCTTTAAATTAACCAATATTACACATGTTGTCAAAATATGATTGTTGCTATATTTCGAGAAAATCATTCAGCACACGGAATTTTGAATGAGGATAGTATTCATTCGATGCAGAATCAAATTATGTCTCGAATGGACTTGTTTTTATGCAACTTTTATCTAGGCTTTTCTTTTTTGGTGTTTCTTTTAAACCGACAAAAAAATGAACCTTTTCTCCAGTCGAAATGGCAAACGTTACTTGCTTTCACAGATAGAATGTGATATTTACTATTAAAAAAAAACAAGATTTTACTTATATTTTAAATTCCTAATTTTCGAGGGACTAAATTTATCACTAGATCGATTCCAAGTCTGATCCTAGCATTGTTCGTGTCTTCAACGACCTTCATTTTCAAAATTGCTACATGATTCTAGAGAATTCAATTTCTATACAACACAACTCCTTATAACTTAAGGACTGGTATAGATTCGTCATGCACTTTTCTTGAACAAACAGCTATGTACATTCTATCAAAGTTTAGTAGTGAAGTGTTACCTATGTTTCCTGTCCCTAGAGACACACTTTTTCTTTTTCCTGTGTCGATTCCATTCCATTCTGTTCTTTCAATAAGGCTTAGTGAAGTACAATTATTTTATCTGAAAAAAAAGAAGAAGAAAGAACGTCATAGAGCAAAGAAAATGAAAAGCAAAGGTCTTGCAACGGAAGAGAACAAATGAGCTGTTCGAGCGTAAACTATGACGTCTTTATCTCATCATCTTGTCTACCGCTTTTCTTTTCCTTTAACTCGCACACGTTCATATGCGTTCCGGTTTTGCTTTGTTCTTCACATTGTCGCTTTTCTATCAAACACATATAAAGAGAAAGGAAAAAAAAAGTTAAAAATTGAACCCTTCGGTATTGACATAAGAAATGCGAGACAGCAGGCGAAGTTTGAAGATGATAATTATCATAGAAAACATACAAAGAGAAAAAAACGTAGCGAGTAAAGATATAGACACTCAATTTTTTCTTCTCTTTTGAATGTGTAATGAGAGGTATGATAAAGACATTAGAACAAAAATGCACGCTCGGTGTCTGACGGGAAACAAACGGTCATTATTCACTTTCATGTGACATTACAGCCTAAATCAATAGAGTCAGGTTTGTATCATTGATTTCTCTGCGATATAAATCTACTGTTAAAACAATTTAATGAACTGACATAGTTTCACTGATCGGGTACTTCTAGTTAGTTGATTTTTTTAATCTTTTCTCTGACATGCTCTGAAGTGGAAGAGAATAGAATTTGCATACACATGTGTGCATAAAAATAAGCATAGTTGTTGTTGTCAAAGATAAAAATCGTTGCCTGACTTCAATAAGAGAACACACGTACAGCAGACGGAAGAGAAAAAGGCGTTTTCTTTTGTTTTCATCACCATCTTACATTACATTTCTTTCGAACTAACAAAATGTCTTACTAACAGCATTTTCATGTTGGGAAGATTGATGTGTAACAGGTGAGTGCAGAATTCGAGGAGAAACGCGTTTTATTTGAAACAGTTAATCACATCATCATAAAAGATAAAGATATCATCGAACACAAACGAGAAGAATAGGTAAAGATAAGACTTAAGTGGCATTTTGTCATCATGATTATACATATAGAAAGAGTGATGATAAAGTACTTGAATTATTTTTTTATTTTCATTTCAGATTGTTCGGCATGTACTTGGTTTGTCTTGCTTATGATGGCTGCATATCATCAAGGTTTAAAGCGACTTTATCCTGATGGTGACGAAGACGATTTCTTTTCAAGAAAGAGAATTAAACAGTGTTCAATACAATATACAAAGAAGATACTCAAAAAGAAAGATCGGAGAAAAGAATATCATTGTCAAGTTTATTTAAAACTATATCCAACAACGTGTAAATGTACTTTGGATGTGATTGTTAACTCTACAAATGAGATCATCAATGATAATCAATCGATTTTGTTAGCAAGGAGTCGATTGGGCAAAGTGATCAAGCCAGGTAGAATATCTTATTTTACGAGAATCGATTTGTCATTGGAATTTCATAGGAGTAGTGCGAGTTCGTCTTGTTTCATCATTATTTACTGCTGATAGTGATGTGCATGAAGATCCATCTTTAACGAAATTAGAAATAGTAAAGAAAGAACATTCCAATCATAGTTTTGACAAGCAATTTGCCCTGCAATTAAAAGTATTTAGTTATAAAAAAAATCTACTTTGATCTATTTCGATATATTTTATTAGAATAATCAAATTGGTCCTGGTGTAATTGGTAAATTATTTCTTGAATCATTGGATCCATCCAATGGGTCGTATAACAACGAATCGCCTATATACGAACTCAATCTTAGCTTATCATCAGAGTATCAAATCAACCCAGCTTCATTTCCTCAAGTGCGATATCTGATATATAACGTCAATAGAGATAAAGGAACTCGTTTGATTTCTTTCAGAAAGATGCGCATACAGAAACTTGTGGATGTATTCTTTCGTCTGATGAATCCTGCCTAACAATTAGTGATCAATGCAACGTAAGGTTTTTCTCTTTGTCAATGAAACGCATTTATTTGTCTTTGATTAGTTAAAATTAAGTGATACGAAACTTATTCATCGTCTTGCTGAACCTATTCGTTGTCAATGGAAGAACATTGGTCGCCAACTAGCACCCTGCTTCTCTGAAGTTGATTTATTCGATATTCATGAAAAATATTTTCTCACCGATGGAAACCATGAATGCGCTTATCAACTATTACGAGAATGGTATATACGTAAACCTCATCAAGCGGACGTTCGTTTTTTAATGACTAAATTCAAGCTGACATTCGATGTCATCGTCAAAATTCATGATGAAATTAGGAAACTATTGACATGTAAATAGACATGTGAATATGAGAGTATACTTTGTACAGTATTTTGTTCGTGAAAATGTGTGCGTGTGTGTTTGCCTTGTCGCTAACCGTCCAAAGGTGTCCAGCCGATTGTAATAAAATGTTTTTTTTTCGTCGTTTGTTCTACGTACAGAATTTCTTTATCATGTATATAGTTTGTGCTGGGAATAGTTGGACTACAGTTTCAGGTGAGATGATGCGTTTGTAAGTTTGTATCCACTTCATTCAAAAAGACCTTGCCAAAAAAAGCTTTCAGCAATGGGGAAGACCATTCGTTTTCCGTGGAATACACACCTTCCGCAGAGTATGCGGCGTTATTCAGGGTTACCATATTTCAAAATCAGACAACAGTGTACTAGCGAAAATCATTACTACGAGCTCTCGATGTATCTAGGATACGATCATGGTTCTGACACTCGAAAATGTTAAGTTTAGTTTTATGTTAATCCACATCTGAACACATTTAAGATATTCTCCACCGATTCGTTGTACTGTAAAAGTCTCATCTAGATATTTAAGCTTTCTTCATGAGCTCTCGTTTCTTTCGTGTGACTATCCTGTCAAATAATTATATCATGATGTGCAAAAATGAATAATTACAACTAATAACAATAACAATTCCACATGAGATTCTTCTAAATTAATCCTGATAGGCATTGCCTGTTGTGAAGTTCTTCATCCTATGTTTACAAACTACCACAGATTTTGATGAAGAAAAGAACTAGTCTTCAAATTCGTTCTTCTTTTAATTTTATTTAACAAAACAACGGTAAAGAATGGTAACGTTCTTCTATGTTCTCATCGATTGTTTTGTATAGCTTTATTCATTGTCTACATTAGCCGTGAGTAATCCTAAATTAACAAAACAGATGCTCGAGCGAGTCTTTCTCGAAGAAAATCGAAGGCATACCTTTGAAAGAGGGTACTCGAACAAATGTAACCAATGTATAGAGTTTGTTTGGCGAATCTTCATCTTCATTACGTTGACGAGCTAAACGCACTCGAACACGATATGGGACATGACTAAAAGAGAATCGTTCGAATAGACTAGAATTACTTATGAGCAGTTCTTTACTTGATTCCTTGTGACCAAATTTCCTTGTTCAATTTTGAATCGATACGAACATCGGATGTCTTCATCATTTTTTCGGCGAATTTTTTCAATTCTTTTACTGCGCGTGGTGCACGTTTTTTGAATGCACTATTCATTGCGAGAAAACAGGCAATTGGAAGATTAAAGAACAATCGAATAAAACTTACACGCCATGTAATCGTTTATGAAGGTTGACAGTATACTCGCGGGTAACAACTTCATTGGTAATTTGTTTTTTGCTACCGCTGTTTTCGCCTTTTTTGCCTTTGTTACTGGCCATTGGAAGGAGATTAGATTCTTTTATCTAGAAAGAATTCGAACTTGAACAATGGAGAACAAAAAATATTGACTTTAAAATTCACAAATTTCTTCTTTCTTTTTCTGGTGAAACGAACGTTAAATCAAAGAGATAAATAGACAAAGAAAGCAAACATAACAAGAGAAAGTGACGAAGGAAAAGATTCGATCGATTAGGCTATAAGAACAGATTCAATCATATAAACAAACATTCAAGTGGAAAGATAGGAAAAAAATCGTGCGCAATTCTCTCGAATCTATCTATTGTTAGTAGTTTCACTCAAAAGATAATTGCGATCATTGTTCATGGAATTTGGCGGTGTATCAAGCGGTAAAAGAACATCAGTACTAGAACGAGAAATGCATGTCAATCCTTTAGTCTCTTTCTGCAATATACCTGGCGTGGCTCATTTGTTCCTGTTGTTGTCGTAAACCACCAAGTAAGGTGCTATTTACTTGATAATGAACACCATCACCACGTCTATTCAATAGCGAACAACGAAGTGTTTAGTTGAAACACAAGTGTTGAACACTTACGTTGTCGAAATGGGAATAAATGCCTTCAAGAGATCTTTGCCGAAGATTTCTTGGAAGTTTTGTTTACAACCGAGATTAAATCCTTCTTTCTGTGGCCCATCTGCGAATATCGGTGCTCGGAATGATTCTAAATCGATTATTAACCTCAACGAAAAGAGTGCGAAGACAAAGAAATCTCCTTACCAAGTGTTGTACGATTTTTTGCGGTTAAATATAGATGGTAGAAGAATAGTGACGATACACTGATAGCAAACATCACTGATGCGAAGAAAAGGAAAAGTAAATGAAATTTTCCACCTGTTGATTTTGCGTTCGGTATGTCCTAAAAATGTATAGGCATTGCTTATTTTTTCGGTTTCGATTTGATGAAGCATACTTTCTGAATATTAGTCACACCCTGTATCCATTTAAAAAAGAAAAGAATCAAGTAGTTAAGCGGTAAGCAATTAGAAGAAAGCGAGCGAATCGAGTTTTAATTTACCTGCCAAAAGAGAATAAAATATTCCAGCGATGTCGCAGCAACGTAACCACAGAACACCAGAGCCCAACCAAGAAATAACACAAAAAACTTGTAATTCGCATACGAAACACAGCTGTTTGTCCTAAAGAGAGACGGAAGCTGTCGAATAGTTCATATAAAAACAGACAGTACTTCGTACCATGGGCAATGATGATCATATTTGAGAACACACTTGCCACATACTGAGCAATGATGCGCTCGATCGGGTTTTATACATTGACATGAGAAACAGTACCGCACACCTGCAATGTCGATCAGCTCATTAGTTGATGTCTCAATCGATACACTACTTACTTCCATCGAAATGTCGGGTAAGTACGGGTAGATTCGCTCGACGGCAAAGACGAAGTAAAGTCGCACGTCGCTCATCTAGGGTTTGAGCTGTTGCAATACGTTCACCTTCGGCTTCGCCAACATAAAACTAAAAATAGAATAGAATAGAAACTAACAAACGTTCGGTTTTCATCTACTTCACTAGGTGGACCAGCTAAAGGTTTGAACATTGTCCGATAGTATGACCATAGGAAAAGAAATAGTAATGGATGATAAAGTAACAGATAGATGACTAAAAACGGACAAACATGAAAGACGTCCGAAACATCGTCTTCGACATACTTTTTTTCGGCACACTATCAATAGTTACTAAAGAGTCGAAGGAATTTTATTAAAATCATAAAATCTTCTCAACGATGTGATTTCATTACTTACAAATACACATTTGTACAACGTAGGCATAATAAGACCATGCCACAATGGCCAAAATAAAGATAACTGGAATACTCTTCAACGTTTCAAAGCAACACGTTCGTGACGATCGTAAACTCATTGCACAATCTAATTCGAAGAAAAACTTCATTATTACATGTTCTCTTCAAGAAATCGCTCTGGTAAGGTGTGCAAGAAAAACTATGCATACACACACACGTTAGTTATGTAGAAAAACGAAAAAAAAAGGAGTTTTAGCTAATGAGAGAATAAGGAGCAAAGTTGCAACACTTACGGAATCGTTTCATTCTCGAGATGAACATAGAATAAAATGATTGTGAATCTTGTTGGCGCTGTTCACGCAACAAATATGTCGCATTTGACTAACAGGAAAATTACATAGGAAATAGATCGATAGCTCTCTTCTCATCCGCACGAAAAGCAAACATTTCTTTACAATTACTTACTGATGGATCAGACGATGGGAGAAGTGGTTCTAAATCAATATTCTCATCCTTAAAAAAGAAACAAATATTTAATTAATAAAACGGTCGTAGAAATTAATTACTTCTTGATGTATACTAGTAATGAGATCGCTCGACGCAGAATAATTAGTCATTCAGTGTTTGTTCCATATAAAAGGTTACAAAAAGGCCGTCCCCAAATATAAATAATTTAATCTAAAAAGAGCAAATTAAACATTATCTTTTGATAAATCATTTCATGAACATATGTCTAACCATTAGTAAGAAACGATAAAAAAACTACCTTTCATAAACAACACATTTGTTTGGACTTTTGCTGATGTTTACCAGTTGTTAAATTCAACGTGAAACTTGGTTGAAATGTTCCGACACGTAAATGATGAAATACAACGAAAAAAATGTCACAAAAACAAAATGAAAAAGTTACAATAAATGAATCTTTTTCTCGATGATTTTGTATAGATGTCGCTAGTATCATAATTTTCTTCACAATAATTTCTAAATGAAACTTTGAGAAACAAGCATACTACTACTTGAATTGAAATAGCGATTTCTTTTGAATAGAAAAAGCATTCTTCAAGCGAATATACTCGTGTCAGATTACACACGTCGTTTCATTTGTATACATGATGTGTTAGTTAAGCTACGCGAGTATAATTTGAAAACAACGACTATGGAAGAGTTATTTATGGAAACAGCCTGATAGGTATGAGAAAGGATGAAAGTTTAATCATCCGATTCGAATATGAAAGATTCAGTTATGTTAAATATAGGCGCTAATCCCATGACGTCGATTTATGGAACTATATGAAAGATTTCTGTCGTGCTGCGGAAGCACTGTGAGAAGATGATATTGAAATCTATCGAAATACCGCAGAAAATTCGTGTCAAATTCGAACTGTATGTCGCATCGAAAATCTGATTAGACGTATTGATACGCTCTGATAATCACCGCCCTCTCTCTCGCGAAGAAGCTGAATGGTATACGTTCATACACAATCATGTTACAAGTGCAAGTACAAAGAAAGCGAGATATTTACTACTGAAAAGAAAGAAATCAAGTGCTTTTATTGATGAATGTCTAACAATGGGTAAGTCATTTCATGCAAAGAACGTATTATTACAATTAATAATTTAGCAGCCACCGACATGAATGCATCACAAGCGTCGAATAGGACTCCCCGTCGTCGATCATTATCTACCAAGGAAAACGATGATGAAGGTTGTCCAATATGTCTCGAACCTTGGACTAATTCTGGAGCACACCGATTAGTATCGACTTATTGTGGACATTTGTTTGGAAAAATGTAAATTAATATCTGATTTATCGCGCGATTGAAATATTACATTTAGTTGCATTGAACAATGGCTTCGAACATCTCAAACGTGTCCTCAATGTCAGTCGAGAGTAAGACGAAGGGATTTACGGTGGATATTTTGTCGATCGATAAAAACTCTTGATACAAGTGAAAGAGATAATGCGATCAAAGAACGTGATTTCGAACGAAGAGCAAAACTGAACCTCGAACATGAAAAAGTAGAATTACAAATAGCTTACGAGTCGCTCCAACAGCATTGTCTACACTTACAACAAGAACACGATCGCCTATTAAAGTAGGCGTTTCGACAGAATCTTTGAAACATGTTCTCGTCTTCTTCAGATTAAATCAACAGTTGAACGATACAAAGAAGATGACCAATGAATCCGTTCAATCAGTGCCGATCGCCGCCATATCAAATCCAATCCTTACAATTAATTTACAACTAGAAGCAACGATCAAAACTCCTGAAGTACTTTTACAGTTTTTTGTCCAACATGAATTATCTCGTCCTTTTTTCAGGGAATGTGTCGTGTTCTTGCTTATGCATCTTCATCTCACTTGCTGTTCATAAGTAGTCAGCCATCAAGTAACAGCCACGCCTCAAATGCGGATTACGGCATAAAAAAGGTATGATCTAGAAATTGTCCACAAAGCCATTAACGTTTGTCACTAGATCAGTCTTATTGACGGAATTCGTTCAATAGAATATATTTCCTTAAATCATACAAAGCCCATTCGTGATATTCAACTATATGATACCCTTCTACTCTCTTGTGCATGGGATAAAACACTTCGTATCTATAACTATATACAGAATACCACCGATCTTCTGTGAGTTATGTTTTGTTTTATCATATTGCTAGAATAGTTGATTGCCACAGATGTGAATGTTCTTCACAAGTATGGAGTTGTGCATGGAATCTTGACGATCCCAATCTAGTCTTTGCTGGATTGAATACAGGTCGTGTGCAGGTATTCGATCGACGACAAACTCAACAGAATGAAACGATACTTTCATCAAGCATCGAAACATTAGACTTTTCCACTACATCGCCTATTCTTTGTCTTCAATACATACAAAAAAGTTCACATTTTCATGCAAATGGATTACTTGTTGGTAGCAACGATAAAAGTGGATTTTATGAGTATATATCCAATTGTGAATATCATTTTCATGAATTACCTATTGATAGTAAGTATTTCTTCCGAGAACAAAGCTGTTAAAATTGCGTGAATTTTTAGAGAATCTCTCCAGTCTTCATTATGACGTATTAACAAATCGTTTGCTCGCTTCCTTTCGTCCACAGTCCAATCCAGCACGGCACGAATTGTATGAAATAATAACGACATCTCACCAATCATTTCAAATCTCTTTACAACTTATTCAAACATTTCTTGGTTCGAGTGTGAATATTATTCTTTCAAGATCGAAAATTCTTCATCACAATGCCGAAACTTACGTCGTCGCATCAGACAATCGAGCGCATGGTGTAAGTTATTCTTTCGACAAGAAAAACCTTTCAGAGTATCGCTCTTATTCAGATTGAAATATGGAACATTCGACAAACAGAGAAAATACCCTTGTATAAACTATCAACCCAATGTGATATTATCGATTCATGTTTAGCACGTCAATATTTGTGTTTATTAGCTGACAATCAGCTTCGATTGTATAAATGGTCTTAATTTATTATTTTCCTTTTAAGTCAGATAAAATGATTTTTCCCTTCTTTATCTAAGATAAAAAGTAACTTTTTTCCCTTCGGTAAGAAAAATGCCACTTCGTCAGTTGAAACGAACAGGCGTAAATTCGCAACCACGTGCATTTGATAGCTTCTTTTCTGTGCACGCGTTGCTTGGAGTAGCGTCAAGGAGTGTTTTTTTCCTGTTCTTGGTATGCTTAATTCACATACTTCGAGATTGCATCATTCGCTGAAATGACTGTCGACCAATGACTCATTTGTTGACGTGGTTTACTTATATTTGGTGACGTTTTTGTTTTCACGAGAAAAATGATCAACAAGAGTCGACGCATTTATATAATTTGTCGTCTTTATTGCTTTCAGATTAGACTTTCGTGTGATAGTTTGTAAACATTATGGCTGGAAACAAAATTAAATTGCAATCGAATGATGGTGATACATTCGATGTCGATGTCGAAATTGCCAAACAATCTGCAACGATCAAAACGATGTTAGAAGGTACAGATCTGTTTCACTTAGTTCATTTCTACTATTTGATTCTTGCTAGATCTCGGTATGAGTGAAGAAGACGATGTGATTCCATTACCAAATGTTAATTCTGCAATTTTGAAAAAAGTAAACAGTGATAGGATTACGAACGAATAGTTTTCATTTGCGTTCATGAATTTCAGGTTATTCAATGGGCAACACATCACAAGGATGATCCACCTCCACCAGAAGACGATGAGAATCGGGAAAAGAATCTTTCGGACATATCATCATGGGATCAAGATTTCCTTAAAGTTGACCAAGGCACGCTCTTCGAGTTGATCTTAGCGGCTAATTACTTAGATATCAAAGGTCTCCTCGACGTCACCTGTAAAACAGTTGCAAACATGATCAAAGGCAGAACACCAGAAGAAATTCGTCGTCAATTCAATATCAAGAATGATTTCACACCACAAGAAGTACGTTTCTTTCGAATGGAAGTTTTTGCATATTAGAATTTTTTAAATTCTTTTAGGAAGAACAAATCAAAAAAGAGAACGAATGGTGTGAAGAAAAATAAACGCGTTCTTTCTGTTGATACTACTATATTGATTTCTTTCTTACTAAAATAAATTGCACTAACTTTTGTGATAACACAGAATTCTCATCGACGACTTTCTTGACACAATCTTTGAACGTGAAATTGATGAACTAATCTCATCGCTGACTGTCCCATTGATTTTCTACACTATGCGAGCGTACAAGTTTGTAAATAGGATTTAGTTCAATAGAAATTCTTTAAGATTAGTTCTAAAGCACACGCGTAAAGAAAGAATGTGACAAGAAAGCGTCGAATCAAAGAAAGCGAGGTCTGAATAGTCATGACTCGAAGTTCTTCATAGATATGACCGTAAATGAAAGTATTACTTCCAAAGATCACAGTTGTACTGCCCCAAGTATTGAATTAATAAATTAGAACTTGCAACACACGAATTTTATGACGTTCATCTATCTTACGTGATAATCAAGTAAGTTGTTTTGCTTCTGTCACGCTATTGTGAGGTGGATTGGTCGCGTACAGGGAAGCATTTCTCAGTTCAATACTTGGCACTATATTATAATTTAGAGAGAATGAATTACGAAGCGTAAGCAGCTCTTGTTTGTTAGGTGAAAGAAACAGTATTTGGTTGTGTAGATTGGATTATGAAGCAATCAAGTCTGGAGGCGTCTAGAAGCTGATTTTGCTTTTCAGTTTCGTGTATTATAGATAATTTCCAAGCACTACCAAAAACATCATCGGTTGATACTTATTAGACTGTTTTTTCCCCTTCATATAATGTGACAGTCATTCGTTATGAGTATATCAATACATAGAAATGTATTTTTACCTTTGAATTAAACATTCAAATAAAATGTTACTTCGCATATGACTACATGTACGATCAAATTAAAACCGAATGATGGTGATACGTACGATGTTGATGACGAGGTCGCCAAACAATCACATTTGATTAAAGAGAAATTGGAAGGCGCATTTTTGGTTTGACGAGCTCGATGTTTACTTAATATTGTTTTTTATTATTAGGCTTCGGCATGGGTAACGACGGGCCTATTCCATTAGACAATGTTAATTCAGCAATTTTGAAAAAATAAATACTGACGTGATGGAACAGTTCCCATCTTTGCCATTTTAAATCAAGGTGATCCAATGAATAACTCATCGCAGCGATGATCTACCTAACACAGAAGTTAATGAAGATTGTCAGAGAAATGCTCCGAAAATATCGTTATAAGATCAAGAATTTCTGAAAGTTGACCAAGGCACACTATTTTTATTAGTTACGACTGTTAACTACTTAAAAATCAAAGGTTTACTCGATGTCACATGTAAAATGGTTGCACATATGCTGAGAGGCAAGAGTATAGAGGAGATCTGTCGCGAATTTAATATCAAGAATGATTTCACACCACAAGAAGTACAAGTTTCTCCCAAATTGAAATATTTCGATATTAGAAATGTTTGATTCTTCTAGTCATTAATCTCGAATAAAGCGTATTGATTTTATAGTAATGATCAACTCTGATGCAGCGTGAGGCGAGCATGTTGTCACTCATCTTCTCCAGAGTAAACGTCTACTTCAAAAACAAATGTTAACAGAAAAGTCCCGCTTGGATGGGGCATTATTTTAATTGTATTAGTCTGAATGTTAGAAAAAAGATCTGAATTTATGTTCATGCTAGAACAGGCAGTAAGCAGTTCCCGTAGATTGCCGTTTCCGGAAAACGTAGGAAGAAAAAGAGAACGAATGGAAATATAACGCTCTTCATCTTAAAAAGAACCGTTTTGTTCTTATGCACACAAGAAGAAGCATTTTTCTTCTTCCTTGCTGTGCTTTGTAGGTTTTTTCCAGCCATTACGGGCGATATCTCGTCTTTCCGTGAACTACTGACGTCATAGTCACTCATTTATCTCCATATTGCATTTTTTACGAATGATCTTAAATGATGAATTAGTATAAATATACCTATACATATATTTTTATATTTCGATTTTATACTCGAGTGAAACATGGCTTCTTCGATGGATTCAAATATGATCAAATTACAATCCAATGAGGGCGATATCTTTGAGGTTGACCCTCAAGTTCTCCAACAATCAGAAGTACTTAAAAGTGAGTAGGCAAATGTAGAACTTAATCACAAGTGAATGGCATTTCATAATTAGATTACAATTCGGGTGTAGAAGATGATGTGATTCCATTACCAAATGTTAATTCTGCAATTTTGAAAAAGGTAAATATGAATTGGATTTCATTATTTTCCGCTCTTACTGTTTACACTAAAGATTCTTCAATGGTTAACACATCACATGGATGATCCACCCCTAACAGAAGACGATGAGAATCCGGAAAAGAATTTTTCGGATATATCATCATGGGATCAAGATTTCCTTAGAGTTGGCCCAGATACACTCTTCGAGCTGATCTTGGCGGCCAATTACTTAGATATCAAAGGTCTCCTCGACGTTACCTGTAAAACAGTTGCAAACACGATCAAAGGCAGAACACCAGAAGAAATTCGTCGTCAATTCAATACCAAGAATAATTTCACACCACAAGAAGTACGTTTCTTCCGAATTGAAATCTTTGAATATTAGGAATGTTTGATTGTTTTAGGGAGAATAAATCAAAAAGGAGAACGAATCGTGTGAAGAAAAATAATATTCTAACATTATGTTCTTCATTTCTTTCCGTTTACAAAATCCTGATCCTTTTACTCATTAATCTCGAATAAATCGCATTAACTTCGTGCTATTGATCAACTCTAATATTCGACTTTATTTTTTTTAACTGTAAATGCAGGAGTAGTGAATTGAAGAACTTTTATACGCAATAGATGACTGAGAGGGAATGAAAGTTCTACAATCTTATGAACGATCTGAAGATTTAGTGTTGTCATCATTGAAGTAAAATGGAGTAGCAGAAAAAAAGCATTATATGACTCAGGCATAATCAAACAGTGATACACATTCGGCGTAGTGAACATGAGGTCCAGTCAATTGTCCTGTATTACCACTTTTAACTGTTTCTTGATCAGTTTTGATTAGTTTCTTACTCAGATGTGCTTAAACATGTCGAATTGGCTTGCCGTTGACATCTTTTGATTCACTGATAACATGAATACCTAATCCTGTGTCCTAAGTTAAATCGTTAACTACGCCATCTCTGGTTGCAACAACATTCGTATTAATGGGACAAGCATAGTCAGCGCCTGTACGATAATCCAGTGTCCACATCGAATCCTTCACACCATATCTTGTTATCACATGTTTACCAGGAACCGCACAGTAGAAGAGGCATTGTACTAGAATAACAGCAATGAATAAAACAGAGAAACACTGTGAAAGTCACTGTTTTTTTTTGACATACGGCGACCTACTGCACGACCTTATATTGAAGGTAAAAAGTACATATGCACTTTTTATGCTATCCACTAGTAAGTGTGATCTTTCAAAACAACATGCGAAGTTTGTTTCGTATCAATCTAAGCTTCTGGATTTTGTAAATAATCTATTTATTTTAGCAAGAAGAAAAAATGCGGGAACGAATTTGATCGATTGGAAACTAGTAATAAACAGCTTTTGTGACGTATTTCTGAATCTCATTCAAAAAACGTAGATAAATATAGAGTGTCAATGGTTGTGCATGTTTATTCAGCGCTAAAATTTCATTTTTTATTGTATGAAACATTGATTCACGGTTTTGTCGGCACATTGTAAACAAGTCGTTTAGAAGACATCCATTCATCGGTGAGATAACTGGTAATAAACAATCAAATTGATATTCTTGCAAAAATTCTCTTACATCTTCATTTGTCCATTGCTCAATCGTTTCTGGATATTCACTATAATGAAGAAAAGTTTGTCGGAATGAAAAATAAATTGAAGAAATTACGTTTTCGCTCGAACGGATCGTATGTCGTTTTTGGGTAGATGAATTTCTACCGAACACAGTTCACTTCTTAATGTTTTGTAAGCTAAATCAAAATCTAAGACGACGAAATCAATATAACTTTTACGACGAATAACATCCGATAACCATCCATCGGGATGAGCATTTAATGTTAAAATCAATGGAGTAATTTGACAGTGACGATCAGCCGCATACGTCGCTTCACATCGGCAATACAAATTCTCTTTGTATTCATCAGAGACACAGATGAGAATATAGTTTGATTGATCAATAGCATCCGCCTTCGTAATCATCGTTGTGCCAAACGTCTCATCACGATCCATCCAAACCCGTACGTCATCTTTGATCAACTGATCATAAATTCGATAAACCAATTCTTTATCCGAATGAGAATATGAAATCATCACGTCATATTTCCAAGTATTGCCTTTACTAACAAGTCGCTTCTCTTGAGTTTCTAATCTCCATAGAAGACCATCCACAACTCGGCTAACACCTTGATGCGGCGATGATATTAACGGCTTGATTTGAGGAAGATTCTGTTTCAATTGACGATATGCATGTTCGTTGAACGTTAAAGTCAGAAGAATCTCCAAAGCAGGTTGTTGCACTTGGAGAGGTTTGAATTTAATATCCGTAGCACAACGGACAAGTAATGGAATACCATTCTGTTTGACGAGCTCATCTTTGATTGGATCGTATTGAATTAAATCTATGTGAGGAGAAAGATTCAATGGAGCTCTATGTGTAAGAAGACTCACGTTTCAGACAACGAAGTAAATTGTAAAACTTTAACATTTGATTCTGATCATCGATTACTTTACTAAGAAATTTCATGAATAGATCTGCAATATTCATGGCATTTGAAGTATTGTTTGCATCTTGTTCAGTGATGATTATCGAAAGAATTCGAAATGCATTCAACTGAATTTCATCATTCTCGATATCGGCTAATTTTAAAACTAATGATGTTATATGTTTGTTTTTAATGTACCTTTCCAATTGGCCTGATAATGTCATTGTATAAAGATTTGGTGTCAATGTTCCCATCAAAGATAAAGCTATTTTATTATTGATCAAGTTTTCTGTTTGTATAATTGATTGGAGAATATTTAGAAATGAATCGATCAATCGGCAATATTGATCGAATGTATCCTTATCGAGGTCGACTGATCGATTCAGTTGAAGGCTAAGGGTAAGAATGAAACATAGTTGGCGTAAGATGACTGTCATTCGCAGATTCCATAGTTGATACGATGAAGACTGCTGAATTAACCATTGTGAAAATGGTTGTAAAAGTGATCGGCGAATATCAATTAAACTTTGTTTATGTTGTTGATCAGTTGGGTGTGAATAAATATAGTCCGTACATGTGTGTAAGAGAAATTTTTGTCCGGGTCCGTCATTCTCTTGTGTAGTGGAGTGAATAAACATGTCGATGAATGATGGTGAACAAATACATTTCACAATATTGTCAAATAACCTTGTGAGACAAGCGTCTACCTTCGTATCGGATCTGTGCCGTTGTAATCGTTGAATGGCTCGAAAGATGTTATCAAGAGATTTGATTTGAGAATCTTGGAGATATTTTCCGCTTGATGCTATTTCTTCTAAACAAATGTTTAATTCATTGATTAATGGCTGGTGAAAGATAAGTTCTCTTAGAGTTGACAGATTCTTTTCGGATATGTGATTGGACATTTTAATGAACAGGTTTGGTATCATTTCGAAAATAAAAGACAATTGTTCATCGTTTGATAGTGTGTCAAGTCGCCAATGCCGTAGAAGTTTCAAATACCAATCGCGAAGAATAACAAATAGACGATGATGAAGCAAATCGGACTCGTACAGATGTTTTTCATTGGAGTGGGAAATCAATTGTAAGAAATCCTTTAATGAAGATAGATCTGTGAATGAATTGCTCTTTTCATCATATTTTGTAATTATTGCATCGAAGGATTGTGTAAGTTGATCGAGAGACTCCATTGATACTGTGCGGTATTTGAAAATGGAAAGAAAGAGCAAATGACAAATACCACAAGTAAAAAGAAAACAGTAAAGTTGTAGTTAGATAAACATTCATACTTAAATTAACGAAAAAAATTGTTTTCGTAAGAACAAACTGATTTGTATAAGTATAAAAGATCTATCACGTGGTTGACCGAGGTGATTTCTTGCACTATAATCTTTGCGTTCCACTAGAAACAGATGATACACATGTAGCGATGCAAACAAATGACAAATTTGTTGATATATGTGTAACCATTATGGTTATTGGCGTTAGAAATATTACACTAAACATGGCGAGAAAATGCATTGTTATTTTGTCGTTCCAAACATTTTCTACAATTCGTAATTATAGATGAATAGTGTATCTAAAGGAGTTTTATCATTTGCTTCAGAATGACGCATTCTTTCGTTCTGTTAAATCGAATAAAGAAGAAAAGGGTTTTAGATAAGCTAGCACATTTTCATCAGACAAAGAAACGAAAGAAAACCATGCCTAACCGTCCGAGAAAATATCAACCGAGAAAGAAATTTCGTTGTGGTCGTCTTGTTCTGAACAGCAATGGTACGATCAAAACGGTGGATCTGAAATGTGGTGGCGGCACTCGGCTTTGTCAATGGCGTCATGGGCAAATGAATTTTCGCGATGTTCATCAAGAGCTTCTCAAGGTTTATAACCTACGTAAGATGATTACACTGAATGATACTATTCCTGTATTTTTTTATAGGTCACAAGCAGAATCAAACCTATCTGTACGATTTTCAAAGACAACGAATCGATGCATCTCAATACAGAACATTCCGTGAATACATTAATCGAAATGGATTGCATGGAAACAACATTGTTGTTTATTTATGCACTCACAAAGGTAAGAAATCACTCTCATTCAGCCTTCTACAGTTTATTTGTTTCAATAGATGATGATTTACCACCACCACCATCTACGACGACAACAACAACAACTACAAATGACATCCCGCCGAATGAAGAAGAATCTCGTTCACACGAAGAACCATATAAGTAAGAAATCAATTGAATATCACCATGTATGCTTATGGTTTTCTTCTAGATTATCGATTGGTAATCACAGCTTCAAATATTTTCATGTGAAATGATCTTCTATGCATTTAGAATATTCGTTCAACGACTCGATAAACGAATTGATGCAAAAAGCTCGTCAGCTGGTCGATCAAGACCGTTCGAATCGAATACACCAACAGATCTACGAAAAGATCTGCGTTATTTATGGTTATGTTTTCGGAATAATTATCCCGCTACAACAAAGTCTTCAACGATCAGACCAGCTCTCGACTCATCTCGATCAATTAAATAACGTTTGTCAAACGTTCGAATCGACCAAGTCACTCTTTCATGAAAATCGAGACAAGTTTCATCAACTTCCATTGTTCGTTACGGTTTTCAATTCGTTCTCTCAGTTGTACAATAATGTTCAAGTGGGACTTCTTTGACAAATATCTCTCTCTCGAAATAATCCATCTTTAGGTGCTTCAAGTTTGTTGCTCGAGATCTGTCAAGAGGGAAAATATCGATGCATCGGACACAAACATCGAAATTATTCAAATCGAATCGGTTTCGTCGACAAATGTATCTTACGAAGAAGCCGAAAGAACGTTACAAACCGTACGTTGGACTTGAACATGAAATTTCCGTTCATTCGATTGTATTTCAGTTAGTAAAACTATTCAATCGTTTGCTATCTGTAGTAAAATCTGAGTGCACTGCATCGTTTCAAGAACTGATCGTGTCATCAATCGAAACACTGAACTCGATCGAATCGTCGGCTAGTGAAAATATGCATGTGTTACAGTCGATACAGAATCAATTGAAAAAGGAATTAACCGATCAAACTTTACTTCAACCGAAAACATCGTCCGATTTTAATTTATTTCATTTATGTCGAGATGCGTTGGTCACTTTAGGAAACTTGATTAAGTTACTCAAACAACTTGCGTCATGAACCAGTCAGTTTCCGACGACGTATCAAACATGAACTAGATATTCATTGTTTCGTAACGTATGGTTTCATTGGCTTTTTTTGTCAAATAGAAATCGATGAGACGCATTATCGACTCGCAGTGAAAGAAGATTCCAAAAACAAAAATGACATTTGTGATACATTTGATTTACGCATCGAGTATGTTCGATTAGTTCAGCTCTACAGTATACTAGAGACTCATTCCAATGGCTATATGCGACCAAAAATGGGGAAGGGCGGTAGTTTTAGTCGATCCATCGAGGATATCTGTCAAAAACACTTGACTGAATCAATCGCAGCGTCAAAGAAGTGTGCGATCGAACGGATAATTCTTCATGTGAAATTCGGGTTTATTCGGAAAGGAATGTTATTTTAGTGACAAAAAAAAGTACATAATATCTTTTCCATTCTCATTGAAACGAATTTTGTCATTGATTATTGATTGTGACAGCATATTGAGTTTTACCTGAGAATCCTTGTATTTTGATCCATGTTTTGTACAACTCATTTTCTAACGTCGCAGTAAATGGAATTCTGATGTCAGTGTAGTAATAATTCACCGGTTTCTTCGCTTGTACTTGTCCGATTTCTCTTACTATGTAACCGATTATCTTTGATTTACAATCGGCATCGATCTTCTCGTCCAAAGCAAACTGTGTGATGATTCTCAATAGTTCATAAATTTTAATGGCACTTTCATTCGTTAAGATTTTCAATAAATCATCGATAAACTCGTTCGGTGACAAATGAATCAAAGGAATTCCAATCGTCGTATAGTCTTTCACCAAATTCTCATCGAACAGTACATTTAAAGAGTTGATAATCACTTTATGATCGGATAAATCCAATGCTGCTAGTAGAACAAAAGCGCTACCTCTCGCTAAAAAGTACGGATGGTGGTGAATCATTTTCTGCAACAGTTGAATCAAGAGAATCTTGTTGAATTTCGGCGAATTTGTTACTTTTCGATAGAGATAATCTTCTTTTTGCACACATGCTGAAACTAATGCCAATAAACTTTCGCCGATCATCAATGAATATATTGAATCATTAAATCCTCGAAAATCCGACATTTTTTGTAATAACCATTGAAGTAAATTGTCTATCATCGATGTTGTAATCGGTATATCACTTAACATTCCTAATACGATTTCATTAATATTTCTTGTCGAAACACGAAAAGTACAACGACCAATCTCTTTAACTTGATTGAAACGACTTCGAGCAAGTTCGTCAACCGTTACTGTCAATTCGTTGGCAATTTTCGATTCCAGATTTATAAAATATGTGTCATCGTCAAGATTTGTCGAAACACAAATCTCATTGATCATCAAATATATAACTGCTCGTTCGTTCGAAGAGAAGTACCGCTGATCTCGAAAGTGACTTGTATCCGTCATTGATAATATGTCCGCAAATCTCGCCCAGTCGTCTGCCAGAACTTGATGATTTACCACTAGATCTAATGTTAAATTGAGAATATTTTCGATATATAATGAATCTTGCGATGATTCCGCTGCTTCTATGATTGTATTCCAACAATCTCTCGTGGCGAATTGAATCCTATTAGCAAGAACCGTTCGCTGGTTTTCGGATTTGTGAAAGTTTTCATGTAAATGTTGAAAGGTATGATAATCGTCCCACAAAAGATCGAAGAAGAAACTTCTGAGAAAAGTTCGAACACGTGGTATATGTTCCTTCGTTGGCATTTCCTGAATAAGTTTTAGTAAAGTCTTCTCTCCAATGACAGATGCACTCCGACTTGGTTCATTAGGATTTCGATCTGGATGCTGAAAAAGTCGTTCAGTTCGATATCTTATTTGATCATTGTCATTTTCCAATAAACGAATAGTTGTATCGATTGCTGATTCGAAAATATGCTGATGCTCTGCCAGTAACAAAACCGCTAGTTCATTAAGTTTTCGCTTTGGATGCTTAGTAGACCATCGATGAACAATCGGTAAAACTTCATTCGATGGTTTGATGATATATGGAAATAGAATTGAAATCTTCTCTTCTTCTCCCCTTTCAATTAATTCATCAATAATAATCGCAATCTGTGGCGTTAGAAACAATTCTTTCTCTACACCCATTTCCAATATCTTTGCAATAGTCGATTGATCATTAACGTCTTTGTACAAACGAAGCCATAGTTGATCTGAAGTATTGCCTTTATTCAGCATTAATTGCGCATCATTTAGTCGTGCAACAAGTCGAAATAACGTTTGCATTTCTTTATACTGTGAAGAACTTTTGAACTGCTCAAGACTCAATATTCTACCGTAAAATGAGTTAACCAAGTCCTTAGATATATTATTTTCCAAACAATCAACGATTCTATCAAGTCGTACTTGGAGATCATCGTAGAGAGCCACCAACGGTTTCAATTTGATAATCAATTGAAGTTTTTCGTCATTTTCATCCATTTGATTCAATATTTCTAACGCACTGATGATATTTTGTTTTCGCATTGGTCCTGATTGATAAAATGATAATCTTATCAGCGCAATAATTCGATCATGAAGGTTCGTTATACAATCACATGTCAGTATCAACTTGCTTACAATTCGTTCACTGAATTCATTTCGATTGACTTCCTTATAATGAAGAACATTATAAATTTTTTCCAGAACTTGAAATTTTTGACATGCGTCGGAAATCTTGTTGGTTAAGTTGAACGATTCGTTGAGAAGTGCAAATGATTTTACATCATAAACTTGAGCTAACTGATACAACGCTCGCGCTTTGTAATAAGGATTGCATATAGTTTGTATTTTTTCTAATAACAGCTGTTTGACATTCTTTGTATCGAACATTTCAGGAAGCAATTTTTCATAAATCTTGGTTTTGTTTAGATCTTTCGACATAATTCCGAAAATGAGTAGTGTAAATAACGGAATTAAGTCCGGATTTTGATCGAAATATCCTTCTTCAAGGAACTTTTCATAAATACTTTCGATTAGACACGCGAGATTCGTGTGTAGATTTTCTAAGCAATTGAAAAATGCAATGGGTATATCGTTTTCCGCGAACGACTGAAAAACGAATCGATCTGTAGACCATGGGTATCCTCGAACTGGTCTGTAAATCTGAATTGCTTCGTTAGTTTTCAGAAAGGATTGCATAAGTAAATCGCTTTTCATCATTTTTTGCAAAGTATTGGATACCGTGCGAATTCCATACATTACATCTCCCTCCGAACCGGATGTCAATTGTTCACAAAAATATTCACCATAGAGATCAGATTTATTTTCAATTCCATCGATCGTTGCAGCTAGCGTCGATGTATCGACTGGAAATCCACCGCTGGAGACTATTAAGGAAAGATAGATTTTACAGTATGCGGAAAAATTGAGAGAGCATTGTGTTGGGTTTGACTCGAAAATGTTATAAATTGTAAGAAGATACTTCTCGACACATGAAGACCATCTTGCAACTGGATCTTTTAAAACAGAAATTGATTGTTCTAGTCGTTTGATAAAACTTTTTAACAATATTTCATCTGCATTTGTTGTAACCACATTGACGACATCAAAAACTCCTAATGCAACAAGGGCGATTAAGACGTCGATTTTCGAAGTAAGACACAAGTCTCTAGTATCGATTAATTTTTTCAATTCTTCGATTAAATCCGATGCTGATCTTCGTTCATGCAACAGTTTCATAATTCTTGATGTTAAAAACGATTCTTTGTAGATTTTCTCGTGATTGAATCTTGGTATATTAGTCCAATTCTTTTTAGCTAGGAATGTGTCGAGATGTACAGCCATTTGATAAGCAGGATCATCTTTGCCCCACTTGTTTTCGTAATAAAAAATAAATGGTGCTCTTTGGGTATCGCTCAAGCTAAGAAACTGAGCTGTCTCATAATATTCGCAAATTGATGCTTGGATATCAAAGTTTTCATGCCCACCATACAATGCTATCATCAAACCTAACCAATCCTCATTCCTTTGAATATGTTCAACTAACTGAAGATTGTCTGTAAGAGTTTGTTTCATCGGTAATCGTTTAATTTCAGTCGAATACCACCGCAAAATCGAATCGATTGGCCAATTCCAAACTTTGCTATCATGGTGTAAGTTGTGGAGGAATATTTCGTGGAATTGTGACGAATACCATTGCAATTGAAGGACAATACTTGCACATGGTGCGATGTTTTCTCCATTGATAAGCATTTCAATGAACCAAGATTCGAGTACATCTTCGTATTTGCCTTTTAACTTGAAAAAATATGAGTGAAGTAAGTTCTGATGATCCTTCAATCTGGAGAAACCTGATTGATTTTTGTAATCACACAGTAACATATATGTTAGCTTTCGAATTAATTCATATTCCACATCTTTCGATGCAAAATACATGTCATTCAATGAATCAATAATCACAAACGGTACAGTCAGAGTCGAATATCCTGACGTTTGCTCATTGGCTAATAATCTCTTGAAAATACCAGTAAATAAACCATTGTGCTGATGATATTTGCTCAATATTCCAAATGTCATGTTTAGAGGTACTCGCCAATTCGGAACATCGATTTTATTTCGGATATTTTCGTAAATGGAATCTTCCAATCGTACAGATCCATTTCGATAGAGAAGACTTTTAGCTGCGAGATATTCTTGAAAGGTTCTATGAATAAATCGGAAACTATCATAGCCGAATTCATTCAATAGACCCACTTTGTATTTAAAAATATCCACGAGGTTTGAAGTGAAATCGTCAATATGTTGTTCGTTCAAATCGTGTAAGCATCGGTGAATGATTGTTCGAAGATTATTTTCAGACAAACCTTCGACTTTACTATGAAGATATTCAGCTATGGTTTGTAGTATTGACCATAACATTGTGGCATTTAGTTGGCGATCTTCATTGAGAGAAGATGTAACTAATCGATCAATCATTTTCTCAATTGCTTTTTCGTATAAATCAATGCGTTTCTCGGGTAGTTTATCTTCATATTGATTATAAACAGCAGCGATAACACTGGCTAGCTGTGGATTGATTGCTAATTGAAAAATATCCTTGTTCTGGGTTATCTCGTGGTACAATTGATCAGCTTTGGCTTCGTCGATCAATGATCCTCGGATGCATTTGGTGTAGGAATTACAGAATAATTTCAAAGCTTCATTTGACATATCCTGAATGGTGAATCTTGGGATATAGAAGTTAATATCTTCGAAATAGTTTCCTTCGATTCGACTTGTGATAAGAATTCGATTTCCAATTGTTGGATCTTTCGTGTTATTGATTTCTTTTTGTTCGTACAGAGAATGTGTAAGTTTACCGGATCGAGGATCATAGTCAATCGGACGTTCTAATAAGGTGTTGATATCTTTCATTAAATCAGTTCGATCAACGTGAGCTGGAACTTCATCTAAACCTTCGAAGATGATCAGCACATTGCCATGTATTAACATTTCGATGATCAATGCCGAAAGATCATTTCGTTCTTCTTTGGTGAATGCAGCAGAGTTTAACGTGACGTTTTCATACAGGAATTGAAGTAGAGTTGTTTTTTGTTTCTTAGAATTCTCTTTAACTTGATCAACGTATTTCCATATTGGAATTAGAATTGGCAGCTTTTCTCTTGAGATATCTATTTTATCAAATAACGAATTCTTCTTTCCTAAGCATTGTTGTGCCATATTCATGACTAACCATTTTGATATGGTGGTTTTTCCTGAACCGGGATGACCGAGGATAACGAAATGTTTGAATTCATTGTATGCTTCTCGAATTTGATACTGTCTTGCTTCTTTCAGGTGATTTTTTTCGAGGATCACTTCCTTTAAGTCACTTATTTTGCTTCGGATTGTTGTTGCTTCATCATCGGAAAAGATTTCTCTGTTCGTTAAAAGAACATTTAACCATTGGTCAATCATCAGATCTCGATAGATTGTTTCAGGATTATAATCGTTTCGTTTCGCGATGGCTCGAATCAACTTTCCTTTTTCCGTTGCATTGAAAAATCCGTGAGATGATACTTTTCGTTTAAATTCTTCGTTGATTTCAACTGTTTTCATGGCTTTTATCGACGGATGCGTCGGATCAAATTTCAATTCAACATACACACTTTCCAATGGCAATGATAGGTCATTATCGGTATACCCAAACATTGACACGTGACCATATTCGTCTATCAAGTAGTTCAAGTATTTCTCTCGAACATTGCGTTTTCGATCAGTGAACGATAAATTCTCACGAAATAATATGGAGAATGAGGAGAGACTTTGAATAAAGAATAACAGATCTTCATAAGTATTTCCATAGTAGATTTCTTTGATACTTTCAAAAACTGCATGCCGAATGTTTGCTTGGACAAGTTTATAAACTGTTGGTGGATGATCGCTGCTTATATCGAATATCCACTTGCAAAGGTGTGAGAAACTAGGATCAACTATACTAGTTCCATAGCCAATGAATAACAAAGTTTTACCTCGGATGAGCGATTGGAATTTCGACCGAACGAATTCATCCTGATGGAGTTGACGATGATCAGCACTATTGAAAATCATACTGCCAGGTGTTTTATAATGTCCATAGATATGTAGAATATAATCCTTAGTATCTATCAACGAATCACTTGCAGTTAGATAGTTATTCCATGTTAATGCTTTCTTGTTGAGCACATTTTCCAGAAATAAGTCAAAATTTGTTGTAAAGATTGGGCACTGTAATTCTTTGATCGTTTCGATAAGTCCAGGATTTTCTACGTGTAACTGTCTTATATTATTCGTCAGCCAACTTTCGTACACATTGATTTCTTCTGTGAGCCAATACTTAATATGATCAGTTATAACGATATGATTGTCAAAGTCTATAAAGTTGCTACTCAGTCGTTGGATAGAAGCGTCAAAATCTTTTGCATCGATTTTATTCATGTGATAACATTGATTCAGCCCACTTTTTAATATTTCGTTCCAGAAGGAAATCTTCTCTGCGCCATATGCTGTATACATGGACACATCGGGGCCGACGAAGATCAGCACTTGATTCGAAGCGATGTCCTGTTTCAGTTTATGAAGATCATCTGCCATTTCTTACTTAAGTGTATCTGAAACAGAATATTTTTCTTCATTTTATACATCTGATCATGTGCTTTTCGACTACCTACCTGAATGTTTTTGGTTGGCCAATGCTCCACTCACCATGTGTTGTAGAAAAAATAGATGAAAAGAAAAGTTGTGCTTCCTAGGAAGAAAGATAACATTTTTTTTTCTTTTTTTTCTTCGGTTTCTTCCAACTAAAAGAATTCTCTCTGATGGATTTTTATTTATAGTTTATTATTCATAGAACTGTCAACATCATCATCATCAAAGATGAGCAGTCAACACATTCCAACTCTCATCAGCTTTGTTCACAACCATCAGTTTTACCTTCCACACACGCTCTTTCTCTTGCACAATGTCAGTGATTTCGAACACAGCCGCCATCGAAAACAAAACTTCTCTCTCATATCGATTCACAGATATATCAGCGATCGAAGCAAATGGTGTCGAATGCGGTACCGTAAGATCAACACTGATTTCATACACCACCGACACATCCGGACTTTGAACAACATCATCGAAATCACATGCAAAATCATACGCTTTAGTTGGATTAACTGTTGTTGATAAGAAACAGTTCACTGACATTCGACTGCCGATCTTGAACTCGTCTAGTTCAGTCTTCGTCATCACTTGACCTCGATAAAGTTTCAACACATCAGTATGCAGTAGACGTTGTGTTCGAATGTATTCTTCTTGTAAGACATGCAACTGATTGTGCAAATCTTGGATGAACAAACGAAGTTTGAAGATCCGGTCGATCTTCTCCAGTCGAAGAGTCGAGTTCAGAAGACGATAAAGAAATGAATCTTTTGTGTACCATTTAGCAGCATTTTCACTTGTATAGGTTTTCTCAAACTCATCGATCTGAGTTAAGATACCAGGACTTGTCGCATACTGCGTTCGACAGTATTCGAACATCTCTTGTCTTGCAAAAACTGTTGGTTTGAGTCGTAACACGATATCTATTAGCACTTGATAGCTTAGAAATGGTCCATTGGCTTCGTTCAGATCTCGCATATACAATTGTGTGGATCGACCAGTGAAGAAACTTCGATCACCAAGACTTGTTCTCCATGTCATCAGTTGTTGGTGGTATTGTGGATCATGTTCATCAATCAGAGTCAGTCGTATCTCACATCGACGTGGTTCTTGTAGGTTTACTTCATCCACACGAAACAGAGATCTCCAACATATTAGTTCTTCTTCTTCGTGCTCAAAAGCACTCAAACGTGTGATATCTGCATGTATTGCTTGTTGAACATGCGATGGAATACGAATAATTAACATCACTCCGCAGATTCCTGAACTGTATAGGCTGATTTTTGCAAACGCTTCTACTAGTTGTCTGTTTCTGGACGTCGATACTAGCGGACTTATTGCGACCACGTTACCTTTATTCTCATGAAAGTATTGTATTTCGTGCGGGCTCATTTGTTGTCCACGATAAACTTCGATGAATTCACCCCTTCTTCCATTTATCTGCTCATCTTTCATAGGTTGCAATTGTTTCTGAAGATCGAACAGAATCGATCGACATTCGAATATTGCATCGATGTTTTGACTTCGAAGTCTTGCATTTACTCTTCGATATAGAAAAGACTCTTTAGTATACCAGTAAATGGCTTTTTCTGGTGTGTAAGTGTGCTCAAATATCTCTACAGTTCGTTTCAATCTCCCATCATCAGGGAATTCAGTATACGAAGTAGCAATGAATTCACGAAACGCAATCCAGGTTGGTTCGAGATGTGTCAAGAGATTGAAGAAGAACTGATACCACATGAAAACAGCAGGTTCACCATGCAAACTGTGACTTGATTTCGTTTTATTCGTATTCACCGAATTCTGCTTCACCCATGTGCATAAATCATCAGCTAGTGCTGAAATATCGATGTAAGTATTCCGAAGTGCAGCTCGACCATGACCATCATGTATCGACATCCCATGTTGGTCTCTCATCGAATAGATACGTTTTATCTGGGGCACTCGCACATGAAGGACTTGTATAGCATCGAACTGGTATCTTTTGACGATAAGAACGACGGTGGTTTCNCAATCATACCTTGATTAGTAACTGTATGATCGATGATAGTACCAGGTGGTGGATTGGTTAATTGACGACCGCCACGTGGATCACGAGCAAAGAATCGTGCACTACCACGTTTTTTGACAACAACCATACCTAATTTTGGACTAGAAATACATACAGCTCGATAAGAAATGATCTGCATGCAAGACAACTGCAACTTACTCGTAACCTTCTTGTATTTTCATACAAAGTTCATTCAAAACTGGTAATTCATTTTCAATAACGTCAAGCAATTGAAAATCGTTTACACCATCTCGATAGACAATGATCTTGGCTGGCAAAGCACCATTGACTTGATGATATTTTTGAAGTGCGTCTAAATGTAAGAAAAAACAGTCAGTTTACATTACGAAAAAAGAAGTAATTGTCAATTTCAGTTTACCTTGCATACATGATTTCAATCCCGAAATGAGATCTTTATTGTTTCGTTGTTCGATAACACGTGAATAATAACGTGTACATGTTGGATTGATCGATGCAACAAAGCCAACCATTTGAGCTGAACGCGATTGAGAATCACGAGAAGTATAAAGACCGATGACCATAATCGTCTTTGACTATTACAAAAACAAATACATAAATTACTTTCGAAATACTTGTGAAGAAATGGAAACAAACTGGAATGGAAACAGCCCATATTTCACCACCTAGTTTGGCGTTGATTTGAATACCAACTTTGGTCGCAACGGACATCAATTGACCTGGTTTTTGCAACGTTCTTGATAGTAACATCTAGAAAAGCACTAGATATTCTTTCGATGAATGTTCAACGAAGTCTTACTTGAGATGGTACAGGACAATCAACGCATAGAACTTTCTTAATGGCATCATAACGATCTTTTCGATTATTCGTTAAAATACAGCAAACTAAATCCATTTGTGGATTCGCTTTATTTTCAATGGCACGAATGAATGTTTCGGAACGATCATTTGGTAGTTCAATCCTATATGAGTCATTTCGGCTAAATCACGCAAATCGATCAACTTACATTTCAGGAAAGTCGACCCGCATGCCTAAGTAAAAGAAAACAAGAACGAGATTAAAATTCAGAAGAGAACAAAAGATAACGAACCAAAGGGTGTGCAAACTTTGTAGAGAGCATCAACAAACGAGTGAGCAATTTGAGAGTCACGTTGTGAATATATGAGAATCCATCGATCGAGATGTTTAGCTGAAATATGGGCTAATGAACGACCATCACGTGACCAATCAGCCTCAAGTGGATTGTATTTGATCGTACGCTAAATGAAAAATCGTTTGTTGTCAGTACCCTCAAGAAATACGTGTGCAAAGATTTCGTACATCTTTGTAAATAATCGGTTCAGCTTCCATTGTACGACCGGTGAGTTCAACGAGTCCTTTATCAAGACTAATTTGCCATTTACTTAATTCCTTACGACCTTCTTCACGTCCTTGAATATCATGAAGAAATCCGTTCAGTTGTTGGAATCGTTCATTTGGTCCAACATGTGTGTAAGTACTCATTTCTTTCATCAATGAAAAATCTTGTCTCATTGAATCCGAAATACCTATGAACACAAATTTATGATAATATGAAATCTTGAACAAAAAAAAAACAAGATCCATTTATGTTTACCAGTTAGACAACATAATTCCGGAATTAGAAAGATCACTCCTGGATCGTCCTTCTTCGGGCCACGTTTAGCAACTCGTTTGCTGGCTTTCACTGAAATCAATGGTTGTTGTTCATCTTTGATTTTGATATGATATTTCTAAAATCGAAAAGAGGTTAATTGAAAACATAAATCGACTGGTCTCGTTCAACATTCATACTTCTTGATAATATTGGCATAGAGTTTGCTGTGTGCCATCGCGTTTTGTAAATTGATACGTTGGGTCTTTATCCCAAGCAACATCGAGAATCTTGTATGTTTCATTATTGTATCTAGATAGTTCGGATGAAGTGATGATCATAAATTCGTCTAGAGAAATCAACGAACGGTGTCAAAACGATCTGACCAACAAGTTCTTTGATGGATGCATCTTGTGCTTGTTTGGCGTCATTCATACGTTGAAACTTATCCATTAAAATCGAATAAACTGTTTGTTTATTCATGACTTTTGTTGATAAATCGACATTGATCATTAATTGACCTTCATAGACATTGACAGCAGTCATGAAACCTGGAAATAATGTTAATTTGTATCGATCGAGTTCGATTTTTTTATCAAATGAATAATAGTTTCGGCCAAGTAATTTCAATCCAGCGATTTCCAGTAATCTAAATCGAATACAAATCAAATGAATTAGTCGTTTTCATATTCAATCAATCCTACTTTCGGACAATTAAATTAGCCAGATGAAAAAATTCGGGTGATTCAGGTGCAGCCGTTGCCGTACGTTTTATTTTGATTGTCACTGTTTCATTAGTTACAGGGTGTTTACCAGACGTAACTTTTTCCTAAATGACATGAAACGAATCGACTACTTGAGAAAAGGAACCATCAGATGAACTACCGGTCCGAAATCTTCAAATGAATAGAGAATCGTTCCATCGAAGGCCACATCTTTGATGCCCGCATTGGCCAATGTTTCACGACGAAATTTCCGTAATTCGATCTAAAAATTTCATACAATCATTTGATCATAATGACAAGAACAAAAACTTACTTCAGGTTCAAACGCACAATGATATCGATACAAATCCCCTATGGAAACAGAAACATGAGGGAAAGAGTGATGAAGAAAGACGTACATTTAGGTGCGGCTAACATCTTGACGTAGTTAGCAATGAGACCAATTGCTTGTCCACTTTCGCCTTGTTTCGAATTGAGATCATTCGGTCGAGTTTTTGGAAATTTTGATGTTGTAGGATAACGATCATTGTCATCAGTTGCCATCGACAGAGTATCCAGCTGTGAAGTCACTCCTGAGATCGTCTAAATTCGAGAAGATAAAGGCGAGGTTAAATCAATGAAAGAATCGATTTAGAATGAATTTACTGAAGGCGCTGGACTGGTAGCACCAGTTACAATACTACTGCCCTCACCGGAGACCAAATCTTGAAAACGATAATGAAAGTTTTGTTTTTTCGTACAAAAAACGTTTATACCTTGATCACGTGATAATGTTGATCGACTGAGTCGACCACGGGATCTTGCACATCCACGTAAATACATTGTTTCTAGAAACATTCAAATGAATTTTCTTCAAATTATCTTCATATGGTATTTTCTCACTTCAGACAATAGTTAAGATAAACTGTAAGCGTGTTACTTCGATCGAAGATTAAAGAAAGTAATGCAGATGACCGATAATCTTCTACTTTTATGTGTAGAGAAGATCATAGAGGATGTTTTATATTTCTTCTTGTTTTCTCCCGCATATGTACGCTTATATAGTTGGAGACATCCATTTCTACAACCGGAGAAAAAAGAAAACACATTTAAGTCACATGTTCTTAATATTTACGAAGAGACGCTCTTCTTTGACTTATCTTTGTTTATATCGATTTTTGTTCAACAATTTCTTTTCCCTTATGAATTGAAATTCAGAAGCATTGCTGCGATTCAGCGATGTACACGTTGAATTTATACACTTATACATCTCCATACACTGCATATAATACTTTCGAAAGGTTGCTTCCATTACGAACAATCCCATATAACCGTGAACTCATCCTTCAGTTTCTAGAATAAAATAGCAACCAAACACATGCGTAAAACAGTGAACCGACCCGTACTTTGCTAGTGAAGTGTGATTCATCTGACTGCTTATATATCATACTAACTGAATCGAAAATGAATAGTTATGAGTAACACTACGACTACAGAGAAGATATACGAAGAGAAAAGTATATTTGCTTTATTACTTCAAGTAAGAAAATGTCGCATTTTCACATTCTTTCGCGTGACTGCACGACAATCCTTTTCTTACAATTTTAAACCACTACATCCATCTGTACAAACTGGATAAAAGTCGTATATCAGAGCATTTCTAGTCGTTTTCTTTATGTGTTTAGATCAATAAATGGATTCTGAAAACTATAAAAGACAATTTTCAATCCCTAGTGACACATCTGAATCACGTCGTCACTGTAATCCAGAAATCTCAACAACATCGCAGTCGAATATTCCTCATGTGACTATTGTACTTCATGGTATCAACACCTCTTCCAATCCACTTCTCACACAACAACTTCACCGTCTGCAGCATTTTCACATCGTTGAAGTTGATGATATCGATGAATGGGTCGATTCCATGACATCTCATCCAAATGAAACTACCGTCGTTCTTATCGTCAAAAGATACCAGTTCGATGCTATACAAGTCCTTCATGTGCGAGTGCCCCAGATAAAACGTATCTATTCGATGAGAGACCAACATAGGATGTCGATACATGATGGNAACGATGCACATATTTCCATCGATGGATTGTTTCAAGTAAGCGTATGAACATCTAAGTGTATATCGTCTATTGTATTCTATTAGGTTTTACATCATGGTGAACGAAAATTTGGAGATACACATCGATTTGCCACAACCGAAGATCCAGAAGACTTTGCTTCTAAAGTAAGATGAATTTCATCAGTCTTATTTCTTATCCTAGATTTAATTATTCCAGGAACGCCTTTATGCTGTCTGGGATGAGATGGAAGTTGATCGTTCTTCGAAAATTCTTCTTTCTGCCTTGCTCAATCATCCCATCGTAGCAGATATGATCGCCAGCTGCTGTAAATATCGAGCACCGGTAATAATTATTTTCTGATCAAATTGAATTCTCACATGAATCCTTTTCTTTTCAGGACTTCAGACAAGTTCTTCACATAAAACAAGCCGATGAATTGTCGGCTGCCGATTCGCATGGTCATCGTACTCCTGAGCAAGGAACTGCGTAGTAAATTACTGATAAATGTTTCGTCAATGAAAATAGCAAGGACTATTTTGAATTCTTGTCTTATCAATTTTTAGAAAGAAAAAATAAATAAAGTAAATCTATAATTCACTGCGTAGTGAAGCGTTCTCTGTAGGAATACTGCTGCCATTTTGGAAGACTCGAGGCTACGCCATGTGAATGTGATCGTCGTGTTGTTACTGTTAATGATGATGAGAATGAAGGAGTGTGGAATAATTTCATATCATTTTTTGCTGGATTTGTTGTGCAATCAGATTGAATATTAGGATAGTTTCCTAATCCAAAGCAACCCGTCATGTAGGGATATTTGTTGCATTGTTCAATAGTGGATTGACCATACATTCACTGACAATATGATAGTGAAGTTCACCATCACCCACACTTAGATGTAATAAGCACTGATCTGCTCCTTGTGCTAGAATAGTTCTCGGATTCGGATGGCATGTGACATGGCGTCATTTAGAGATTAGCAGCTGGGCCGTTTGTGACTGTTCCATCGAATTTTGAAGTCCATTACAAACAACCTTGATACGTCTCTTTTGCAATAATTCTTCTATTGAATTAGTTGTATGGCGCGCCAAAGAGTAATGTATTTCTTCGCATTTTATACTTTTACAACACCTATTAGTACAACAACAAAGAAGGTATGTGAGCAAGCAAGCACGTCACGTAAGTATACCGAATGATGTACGAAAAGCATGCTTTCATCTACTTATTGTGTTTCTCTTAGCTCTGCTCTGGAAAAATATGTCGGAAACCACTTGTTTGGATAATACAAATCTTTTTATGACACGCAAGGAATTCTCTTGTGTCGATGCTCGCTGAGTAACACCCTGACAAATTTGACTAACTTATGTCATCATCAATAAACGTTTGACTCTTCTGCAACATTATACTGCATCTATATTTTTTCGAAAAGCTTTGAACTTGTCAAATCAGAAATAACGGCTGTTGCTTTGTCTACCACCGGTGTATCATAGAATGCAATTATTATTTAAACGGCACAATGAATTGAATTATGTAATATCTATTATAAAAGTGGAGTCGATATGAGTCGATCTAAGCCGCATAAGTCTTGTAGAGTGCATGATTTCATTCGGCAAAATTTCAATCACTGCGTTTCTCGTAAGGTTACCAAAAATTATATTTTCGCTTACAAAAGGCTGTATCCATCAATCTATCACTTTCAGCTTGGTAGTTAATTCAAACTAATGATTTCTTTTCTCCTTCGAGCTTATATTTGGTACGATCGGTTACAATCGCGTGATCACCAATTTCTGTCATTCTGTTCGTCGATTGTTTTGTACAAATGCCAATATCTTATAAAATATCTCCTGTATCGATAGATTGCAATCGATCAGTTTTCATCTATTTTAGACATATACTTTTCCAGTTGAAAGAATTGCTCCAAATTTATTTTTATTTATAGTTTATTATTAATAGAACTGTCAACATCATCATCATCAAAGATGAGCAGTCAGCACATTCCAACTCTCATCAGCTTTGTTCACAACCGTCAGTTTTACCTTCCACACACGTTCTTTCTCTTGCACAATGTTAGTGATTTCGAACACAGCTGCCATCGAAAATAAAACTTCTCTCTCATCTGGATTCACAGATATATCAGCGATCGAAGCAAATGGTGTCGAATGAGGCACCGCAAGATCAACACTGATTTCATACACCACCGACACATTCGGATCTTGAACAACACCATCGAAATCACATGCAAAATCATATGCTTTAGTTGGATTAACTGTTGTCGATAAGAAACAGTTCACTGACATTCGACTGCCGATCTTGAACTCGTCTAGTTCAGTCTTCGTCATCACTTGACCTCGATAAAGTGTCAATACATCAGTATGCAGTTGACGTTGTGTTCGAATGTATTCTTCTTGTAAGACATGCAACTGATTGTGCAAATCTTGGATGAACAAACGAAGTTTGAAGATCCGGTCGATCTTCTCCAATCGAAGAGTCGAGTTCAGAAGACGATAAAGAAATGAATCTTTTGTGTACCATTTAGCAGCATTTTCACTTGTGTAGCTTTTCTCAAACTCATCGATCTGAGTTAAGATACCAGGACTTGTCGCATACTGCGTTCGACAGTATTCGAACATCTCTTGTCTTGCATAAACTGTTGGTTTGAGTCGTAACACGATATCCATTAGTACTTGATAGCTTAGAAATGGTCCATTAGCTTCGTTCAGATCTCGCATATACAATTGTGTGGATCGACCAGTGAAGAAACTTCGATCACCCAGACTTGTTCTCCATGTCATCAGTTGTTGGTGGTATTGTGGATCATGTTCATCAATCAGAGTCAGTTGTATCTCATATAGACGTGGTTCTTGCAGCTCTACTTCATCCACACGAAACAGAGATCTCCAACATATTAGTTCTTCCTGTTCGTCCTCAAAATAACTTAAACCTTCGACATCAGCATGAATTGCTTGTTGAACATGCGATGGAATACGAATAACTAACATCACTCCGTAAAATTCTGAACTGTACAGACCGCTTTCTGCAAATATTTGTGCTACCCCTCTTTCTCTGGATGTTGATAGTAGCGGACTTATTGCGACCACGTTACCTTTATTCCCATGAAAGTATTGTATTTCGTGCGGGCTCATTTGTTGTCCACGATAAACTTCGCTGAATGTACTCCTTCTTTCACCTATTTGCTCATCTTTTAGATGTTGCAATTGTTTCTGAAGATCGAACAGAATCGATCGACATTCGAATATTGCATCGATGTCTTGACTTAGAAGTCTTGCATTTACTTTTCCATATACAAGAAACTCTCTAGTATACCAGTAAATGGCTTTTTCTGGTGTATAAGAGCGCTCAAATTCCTCTACAGTTCGTTTCAATCTCCCATCATCAGGGAATTCAGAATACAAAGCAGCAATAAATTCACGAAACGCAATCGAAGTTGGTTCGAGATGTGTCAAGAGACTGAAGAAGAACTGATACCACATGAAAACAGCAGATTCACCATTCAAACTGTGACTTGATTTCGTTTCATTCATATTCACCGAATTCTGCTTCACCCATGTGCATAAATCATCAGCCAGTGCTGAAATATCGATGTAAGCATTCCGAAGCGCAGCTCTACCATGACCATCATGTATCGACATCCTATGTTGGTCTCTCATCGAATAGATACGTTTTATCTGGGGCACTCGCACATGAAGGACTTGTATAGCATCGAACTGGTATCTTTTGACGATAAGAACGACGGTAGTTTCATTTGGATGAGATGTCATGGAATCGACCCATTCATCGATATCATCGACTTCAACGATGTGAAAATGCTGCAGACGGTGAAGTTGTTGTGTGAGAAGTGGATTGAAAGAGGTGTTGATGCCATGGAGTACAATAGTCACATGAGGAACATTCGACTGCGATATTGTTGAAATCTGTGGATTACGATGACGACGGAATCCAGATGTGTCACTAGGGATTGATAATTGTCTTTCATAGTTTTCAGAGTCCATTTATTGATCTAAACACATAAACAAAACGACTAGAAATGCTCTGATATACGACTTTTATCCAGTTTGTAGAGATGGTTGTAGTGGTTCGAAACTGTAAGGAAAGAATTGGCGTGTAGTCGTGTCAAAGAACGTGAAATTAAGTGTGACGAGTTTTGGCACGAAATGTGTTAGCGCTGGTGGCATCACGCTTTCCTTTATTTCTTCCACTCAACAATTACATCATTCACATGTAAAAGCACGGAGTTATATTTTTTACCAAAATTACACGGGTAAAACATGGATAATACATAGATAATACAAGGAGAAGAAGGAAGAGAATGGGCAGAATAGCATCGCCATGAATATCGCTATATCTAATAACTATCAAAGTACCAAGTTTATTTGTGTGACTCATCTCAATAACAGTATCGTTACGTTAATTTACATTAAAAAGTCATATTCGCTTATTAGTCTATTTCGTTTTTAATCGCATCAAATCCTAAATGAGCGACTCCGTCATGAAGTACTGTTGCAGTATAACTTACGATGAAGAATTTTCCAACATGTATCTTTCCTTCATTTCTCTTATACATTTACATATGTATATTTCTTCTCGTTCTGTTGACTTTGGTGCAGAGTTCCGGGAGACAACCAAAAAGTAGTTCCATCCCGCTACATTTTCTGTTTTCTTCTTCTGTTCGATCTCAAATATTTTATTTATTTTAACACTTTTAAGTTTACTGAACTAACACTACCGTGAAGAAAATTTTTTTTTATCTTAAATTGTTGAATGATCAGCAAGACGCGCTTTTCGTCCCAGTGAAGTTGACTTGAAAAGCATCGATTTTATTCAGAATCGACTCCACTAAGTTTTAACCCTGGTGACTAAAGCTTCGACGCTCAAGAGCCTCCGGCTTTATTCCGGACTATCGAGGCCGAACCGAGTACAGTCCGGAATTAGATGATCAGACTTTGACATCCGTAGAGATTATTTTGAATACCATTCATCGAGTAACTGATCTAAAAAAGTATGTAAATTGTTGAGCTGCAAACTATCGATCCAGTCTCAAGTGTTCAATTTGTATATGTCACGGGCCACTAAAACGGAGTTGTCAGTCCCGTTCTGGACAGGACGAAATTTATCCTGCATCTCGTAGAACTTTGATAATGGAATATATGTGCACCATGCAAAATAAAGAAGAATTGATGACAAAGCTAAAACAACCTGTCGATAAACATTTAGAAAAAAATTTCTGGAGTTTAATAGCGTTCTTTTTTCCAATAAAATCGGATGTACGTGGATATTATGATATGTGGAGTTGCTCCTTCCGACCATACTCTATCTAAACATGTATTTTCTTGCACCGGAATACATTTTTACGACGTCGTCCGAAAAGAATGTCTTGAAACAACCGAGCTTTGAAATACATAATCACGAAGAAATGGCAAAGCAATTATGCCAAGTAATTCATACCGCTCTGTATCGATAATTTGCTTAGTTTATCTATTCTTTTCGGTTTTTGTTTTCAAAATAACATAGTAGAAAAGAAAGAAAGGAAAAACGAAATATCTCAATCTACTAGTTCAAGTCAAACAAAGAAAAAAGAGCACACGATCATGATAATAACAATAATGGTATGAGATGAAATCTTTCATAGAATTCAAAAAGAAAACTAATGAAACAGTATAAAAACAAACAACAAAACCTTTTTCTTTTTCAAAAACTGGATAAAGATACTATTTTGTTCTTCACGTGTTTTTTTTTATAAATAGAATAATTTATCAGCTAGACTTTCATGAGGTTGAGCATGCAGACTTTGAGCAGCAAGAAAAGCCAACTTGTGTGCATATTGACATACACCAGGTACACGGATTGTACCAGGCCAACTAAACAAGTAAATGTGTTTTCAAGAACGAATCAATCTAGCTTACTTGTAATATAAATGACATAGTTTTTGTGTCAATCGTTGCATATGATCAACTTTCAATCTGAATATAGATGACAATGCTGTATTAGGTTCTCAATCAATACTATCAGAAGACACACCCCGTTCGATCCCAGATAACATTGAAATGCGTTGGTGCAACAGTGCCTTGTCGAGCCATTTGTGAAATCAAATAAAAATCATACCATTCTACTCAACGGCGCAATGAACAGTGATGAAACAAATATATTCAGTAGTAATCATACCTTGATTAGTAACTGTATGATCGATGATAGTACCAGGTGGTGGATTGGTTAATTGACGACCGCCACGTGGATCACGAGCAAAGAATCGTGCACTACCACGTTTTTTGACAACAACCATACCTAATTTTGGACTAGAAATACATACAGCTCGATAAGAAATGATCTACATGCAAGACAACTGCAACTTACTCGTAACCTTCTTGTATTTTCATACAAAGTTCATTCAAAACTGGTAATTCATTTTCAATAACATCAAGCAATTGAAAATCGTTTACACCATCTCGATAGACAATGATCTTGGCTGGTAAAGCACCATTGACTTGATGATATTTTTGAAGTGCGTCTAAATGTAAAAAAAAAAGTCAGTTTACATTACGAAAAAAAAAGAAGTAATTGTCAATTTCAGTATACCTTGCATACACGATTTCAATCCCGAAATGAGATCTTTATTGCTTCGTTGTTCGATAACACGTGAGTAGTAACGTGTACATGTTGGATTGATCGATGCAACAAAGCCAACCATTTGAGCTGAACGCGATTGAGAATCACGATAAGTATCAATACCGATGACCATAATCGTCTTTGACTATACAAAAACAAATGCATAAATTATTTTTCGAAATACGTGTGAAGAAATGGAAACAAACCGGAATGGAAACAGCCCATATTTCACCACCTAGTTTGGCGTTGATTTGAATACCAACTTTGGTCGCAACGGACATCAATTGACCTGGTTTTTGCAACGTTCTTGACAATAACATCTGGAGAAGCACTAGATATCCTTTCGATGAATGTTCAATGAAGTCTTACTTGAGATGGTACAGGACAATCAACGCATAGAACTTTCTTAATGGCATCATAACGATCTTTTCGATTATTCGTTAAGATACAGCAAACTAAATCCATTTGTGGATTCGCTTTATTTTCAATGGCACGAATGAACGTTTCGGAACGATCATTTGGTAGTTCAATCCTATATGATTGATTTCAGCTAAATCACGCAAATTGATCAACTTACATTTCAGGAAAGTCGACCCGCATGCCTAATTAAAAGAAAACAAGAACGAGATTAAAATTCAGAAGAGGAAAAAAGACAACAAAACGAACCAAAGGGTGTGCAAACTTTGTAGAGAGCATCGACAAACGAGTGCGCAATTTGAGAGTCACGTTGTGAATATATGAGAATCCATCGATCGAGATGTTTAGCTGAAATATGAGCTAATGAACGACCATCACGTGACCAATCAGCCTCAAGTGGATTGTATTTGATCGTACGCTAAATGAAAAATCGTTTGTTGTCAGTACCCTCAAGAAATACGTGTGCAAAGATTTCGTACATCTTTGTAAATAATCGGTTCAGCTTCCATTGTACGACCGGTGAGTTCAACGAGTCCTTTATCAAGACTAATTTGCCATTTACTTAATTCCTTACGACCTTCTTCACGTCCTTGAATATCATGAAGAAATCCGTTCAGTTGTTGGAATCGTTCATTTGGTCCAACATGTGTGTAAGTACTCATTTCTTTCATCAACGAAAAATCTTGTCTCATTGAATCCGAAATACCTATGGACACAAATTTATGATAATATGAAATCTTGAACAAAAAAAAAGAACAAGTTCCATTTATGTTTACCAGTTAGACAACATAATTCCGGAATTAGAAAGATCACTCCTGGATCGTCCTTCTTCGGGCCACGTTTAGCAACTCGTTTGCTGGCTTTTACTGAAATCAATGGTTGTTGTTCATCTTTGATTTTTATATGATATTTCTACAATCGAAAAGAGGTTAATTAAAAACATAAATCGACTGGCTTCGTTCGACATTCATACTTCTTGATAATATTGAGATAAAGTCTGCTGTGTACCATCGCGTTTTGTAAATTGATACGTTGGATCTTTGTCCCAAGCAACATCGAGAATCTTATACGTTTCATTATTGTATCTAGATAGTTTGGATGAAGTAATGATCATAAATTCGTCTAGAGAAATCAACAAACGGTGTCAAAACGATCTGACCAACAAGTTCTTTGATGGATGCATCTTGTGCTTGTTTAGCGTCATTCATACGTTGAAACTTATCCATTAAAATCGAATAAACTGTTTGTTTATTCATGACTTTTGTTGATAAATCGACATTGATCATTAATTGACCTTCATAGACATTGACAGCAGTCATGAAACCTGGAAATAGTGTTAATTTGTATCGATCGAGTTCGATCTTTTTATCAAATGAATAATAGTTTCGGCCAAGTAATTTCAATCCAGCGATTTCCAGTAATCTAAATCGAATACAAATCAAATGGATTAGTCATTTTCATATTCAATCAATCCTACTTTCGGACAATTAAATTAGCCAGATGAAAAAATTCGGGTGATTCAGGTGCAGCCGTTGCCGTACGTTTTATTTTGATTGTCACTATTTCACTAGTTACAGGGTGTTTACCAGATGTAACTTTTTCCTAAATGACATAAAACGAATCGACTACTTGAGAAAAGGAACCATCAGATGAACTACCGATCCGAAATCTTCAAATGAATAGAGAATCGTTCCATCGAAGGCCACATCTTTGATGCCTGCATTGGCTAATGTTTCACGACGAATTTTTCGTAATTCAATCTAAAAATTTCACACAATCATTTGATCATAATGACAAGAACAAAAATTTACTTCAGGTTCAAACGCACAATGATATCGATACAAGTCCCCTGTGGAAACAGAAACATAAGGGAAAGAGTAATGAAGAAAAACATACATTTAGGTGCGGCTAACATCTTGACGTAGTTAGCAATGAGACCAATTGCTTGTCCACTTTCGCCTTGTTTCGAGTTGAGATCATTCGGTCGAGTTTTTGGAAATTTTGACGTTGTAGGATAACGGTCATTGTCATCAGTTGCCATCGACAGAGTATCCAGTTGTGAAGTCACTCCTGAGATCGTCTAAATTCGAGAAGATAAAGACGAGGTTAAATCAATGAAAGGATCGATTCAGAATGAATTTTACTGAAGGCGCTGGACTGGTAGCACCAGTTACAATACTACTGCCCTCACCGGAGACCAAATCTTGAAAACGATAATGAAAATTTTGTTTTTTCGTACAAAAAACGTTTATACCTTGATCACGTGATAATGTTGATCGACTGAGTCGACCACGGGATCTTGCACATCCACGTAAATACATTGTTTCTAGAAGCATTCGAATGAATTTTCTTCAAATTATCTTCATATGGTATTTTCTCACTTCAGACAATAGTTAAGATAAACTGTAAGCGTGTTACTTCGATCGAAGATTAAAGAAAGTAATGCAGATGACCGATAATCTTCTACTTTTATGTGTAAAGAAGATCATAGAGAATGTTTTATATTTCTTCTCGTTTTCTCCCTCATATGTACGTTTATATAGCTGGAGACATCCATTTCTACAACTGGAGAAAAAAGAAAACACATTTAAGTCACATGTTTTTAATATTTACGAAGAGACGCTCTTCTTTGATTTATCTTTGTTTATATCGATTTACATTCAACAATTTTTTTTCCCTTATAAATTGAAATTCAGAAGCATTGCTGCAATTCAGCGATGTACACGTTCAGTTTATACACTTATAAATCTCCATATACACAGTACATAATACTTTCGAAAAGTTGCTTCTATTGCGAACGATCCCATATGATCGTCAATCCATCGTTCAGTTTCTCAAGAGTAAAATAGCAACCAAGCACATGCGTAAAACAGTGAATCGACCCGTACTTTGCTAGTGAAGTATGATTCATCTGACTGCTTATAGATCATACTAACTGAATCGAAAATGAATAGTTATGAGTAACACTACGACTACAGAGAAGATATAAGAAGAGAAAAGTATATTTACTTTATTACTTCAAGTAAGAAAATGTCGCATTTTCACATTCTTTCACGTGACTGCACGGCAATTCTTTCCTTACAGTTTCGAACCACTGCAACCATCTGTACAAACTGGATAAAAGTCGTATGTCAAAGCATTTCTAGTCGTTTTCTTTGTGTTTAGATCAATAAATGGACTCTGAAAACTATGAAAGACAATTATCAATCCCTACTAACACATCTGAATCATGTTGTAACAGTAATCCAGAAATCTCAACAACATCGCAGTCGAATGTTCCTCAAGTGACTATTGTACTCTATGGCATCAACACTTCTTTCAATCCACTTCTCACACAACAACTTCACCGTCTCCAGTATTTTCATATCGTTGAAGTTGATGATATCGATGAATGGGTCGATTCCATGACATCTCATCCCAATGAAACTACCGTCGTTCTTATCGTCCAAAAATTCCAGTTCGATGTTATACAAGTCCTTCATGAAGGAGTGCCCCAGATAAAACGTATCTATTCGATAAGAGACCAACATGGGATGTCGATACATGATGGTCATGGTCGAGCTGCACTTCGGAATGCTTACATCGATATTTCAGCAATGGTTGATGATTTATGCACATGGGTAAAACAGAATTCGGTGAATATGAATAAAACGAAATCAAGTCATAGTTTGTATGGTGAACCTGCTGTTTTCATGTGGTATCAGTTCTTCTTCAGTCTCTTGACACATCTCGAACCAACGTCGATTGCGTTTCGTGAATTCATTGCTGCTTCGTATACTGAATTCAATGATAATGAGAAATCAAAACGAGATGTAGAGGAATTTGAGCGCTCTTACACACCAGAAAAAGCCATTTACTGGTATTCTAAAGAGTCTTTTCTATATCCAAGAGTAAATCCAAGACTTATAAGTCAAGACATCGATGCAGTATTCGAATTTCGATCCATTCTGTTAGATCTTCAGAAACAATTGCAACATCTGAACGATCAGCAAAAAAATAAAAGAAAGGGTGAATTCATCCAAGTTTATCGTGGACAACCAATGACCCCGCACGAAATACAATACTTTTATGAAAATGAAGGTAACGTGGTCGCCATAAGTCCGCTAGTATCAACATCCAGACGAAGAAGTGTAGCAGAAATATATGCAGGAGGCGGTCTGTACAGTTCAGAACTTTGCGGAGGGATGTTAATTATTCGTATTTCATCGCATGTTCAACAAGCAATCCATGCTGATCTCGACGGTGTGAGTGCTTTTCCGCAGGAAAGGGAAACTCTAATATGTTGGAGATCTCTGTTTCGTGTGGATGAAGTAAAGCTGCAAGAACCACGTCGATATGAGATACGACTGACTCTAATTGATGAACATGATCCACAATACCACCAACAGCTGATGACGTGGAGAACAAGTCTTGGTGATCGAAGTTTCTTCACCGGTCGATCCACACAATTGTATATGCGAGATCTGAACGAAGCCAATGGACCATTTCTAAGTTATCAAGTGCTAATAGATATTGTGTTACGACTCAAACCAACAGTTTATGCAAAACAAGAGATGTTCGAATACTGTCGAACGCAGTATGCAACAAGTCCTGGTATCTTAGCTCAGATCGATAAGTTCGAGAAAACCTACACAAGTGAAAATGCTGCTAAATGGTACACAAAAGATTCATTTCTTTATCGTCTTCTAAACTCGACTCTTCGGCTGGAGAAGATCGACCGGATCTTCAAACTTCGTTTGTTCATCCAAGATTTGCACAATCAGTTGCATGTTTTACAAGAAGAATACATTCGAACACAACGTCAACTGCATACTGATGTGTTAACACTTTATCGAGGTCAAGTGATGACGAAGACTGAACTAGACGAGTTCAAGATCGGCAGTCGAATGTCAGTGAACTGTTTCTTATCAACAACGGTTAATCGAACTACAGCATATGATTTAGCATGTGATTTCGATGATGTTGTTCAAGATCCAGATGTGTCGGTGGTGTATGAAATCACTGTCGACCTTACGGTGCCTCATTCGACACCATTTGCTTCGATCGCTGATGTCTCTGTGAATCCAGATGAGAGAGAAGTTTTGTTTTCGATGGCGGCTGTGTTCGAAATCACTGACATTGTGCAAGAGAAAGAGCGTGTGTGGAAGGTAAAACTGACGGTTGTGAACAAAGCTGATGAGAGTTGGAATGTGCTGACTGCTCATCTTTGATGATAATGTTGACAGTTCTATTAAGAAGAGACTATAAATAAAAGTGAATTTGGAGCAATTCTTTCAACTAGAAAAGTATGTCTAAAATAGATGAAAACTGATCGATTGCAATTGATTGGTACGAGAGATATTTTATAAGATATTGGCATTTGTACAAAACAATCGGCGAACAGAATGACAGAAATTGGTAATCACGCGATTGTAACCGATCGTACCAAATATAAGCTCGAAGGAGAAAAGAAATCATTAGTTTGAATTAACTACCAAGCTGAAAGTGATAGATTGATGGATACAGCCTTTTGTAAGCGAAAATATAATTTTTGGTAACCTTGCGAGAAACGCATTGATTGAAATTTTGTCGAATGAAATCATACACTCTACAAGACTTATGTGACTTAAATCGATTCATATTGACTCCACCTTTATAATAGATGTTACATAATTCAATTCATTGTGCCGTTTAAATAATAATTGCATTCTAATCGGTGGTAGACATAGCAACAGCCGTTATTTCTGAATTGACAAGTTCAAAGCTTTTCGAAAAATATAGATGCAGTATAATGTTGCAGAAGAGTCAAACTTTTATTGATGATGACATAAGTTAGTCAAATTTGTCAGGTTTTTACTCAGCGAGCATTGACACAAGAGAATTCTTTGCGTGTCATAAAAAGATTCGTGTTAACCAAACAAGTGGTTTCCGACATATTTTTCCAGAACAGAGCTAAGAGAGATACAATAAGTGGAAGAAAGCATGCTTTTCGTACATCATTCGGTATACTTACGTGACGTGCTTGCTCACATATCTTCTTTGTTGTTGTACTAATAGGCGTTGTAAAAGTACAAAAAACGAAGAAATCCATTACTCTTTGGCGCGCCATACAACTAATTCAATAGAAGAATTATTACAAAAGAGACGTATCAAGGTTGTTTGTAATGGACTTCAAAATTCGCTGGAACAGTCACAAACGGTCCAGCTGCTGATCTCTAAATGACGCCATGTCACATGCCATCCAAATCCGGCAACTTTTCTAACACGAGGAGCAGATCAGTGCTTATCACATCTAAGTGTTGGTGGTGGTAAACTTCACTATCATATTGTCAGTGAATGTATGGTCAATCCACTATTGAACAATGTATCAAATATCCCTACATGATTGGTTGCTTTGGATCAAGAAACTATCCTAATATTCAACGTGATTGCACAACAAATCCAGCAAAAAATTATATGAAATTATTCCATGCAACTTCATTCTCATCATCATTAACAGTGACAACACGACGATCACATTCACATGGCATAGCCTCGAGCCTTCCAAAATGGCAGCAGTATTCCTACAGAGAACGCTTCACTACGCAGTGAATTATAGATTTACTTTATTTCTCGTTTCTAAAAATTGATAAGACAAGAATTCAAAATAGTCCGTGCTATTTTCATTGACGAAACATTTATCAGTAATTTACTACGCAGTTCCTTGCTCAGGAGTACGATGACCATGCGAATCGGCAGCCGACAATTCATCGGCTTGTTTTATGTGGAGAATTTGTCGGAAGTCCTGAAAAGAAAAGAATTCGTCTGAGAATTCAATTTGATCACAAGATAATTATTACCGGTGCTCGATATTTACAGCAGCTGGCGATCATATCTGCCACGATAGGATGATTGAGCAAGGCAAAAAGAAGAATTTTCGAAGAACGATCAACTTCCATCTCATCCCAAACAGCATAAAGGCGTTCCTGGAATAATTAAATCAAGGATAAGAAATAAGACTGATGAAATTCATTTTACTTTAGAAGCAAAGTCTTCTGGATCTTCGGTTGTGGCAAATCGATGTGTATCTCCAAATTTTCGTTCACCATGATGTAAAACCTAATAGAATACAATAGACGATATACACTTAGATGTNTTTTCGAAGAACGATCAACTTCCATCTCATCCCAGACAGCATAAAGGCGTTCCTGGAATAATTAAATCTAGGATAAGAAATAAGACTGATGAAATTCATCTTACTTTAGAAGCAAAGTCTTCTGGATCTTCGGTTGTGGCAAATCGATGTGTATCTCCAAATTTTCGTTCACCATGATGTAAAACCTAATAGAATACAATAGACGATATACACTTAGATGTTCATACGCTTACTTGAAACAATCCATCGATGGAAATATGTGCATCGTTTGTTATCTCAATATCATTTTGAAGCGCTTGTTCGCGTTCTTTTTCTGCTAGACGTTCGTACTCTTGAGTATTCAATATACTACAATGCATCTCAACACGTGGCAATTGATCTCTTAATGTTGGCATTGGCGTTCGTTCTGCCAGTGCAAGTGCTCGGTAAAAACCATGCAATGGATTAGGGACAGAAGCTAAGTATAAAAGCATATCTTCGTATGGTAGCCATGTACTACGATCGTCAATAGCGAATAGATCGAACCAGAACTGTTTCAAATGGTATTCACGATCGTATGGACGTGGTAAAGCGGGATCTTCAGGTGTTGGTGGACGTTCAATTGAAAACCAAAGTGGAATCTAGCAGGAAAAGATCAATAGAATGATCATAGTTAACAAATCATCAGTGCTGAAACGTACCTCATTGTAAGTCGAACGAGATATGAAACCTGTTCGATCACTATCATGATTAGCGTAGGTAAAAAGTAAATTGAGTAAATCCTGTTGAGTAGGATAAGGCCATGGTTGAGAAGCAAATAGGAGCCATAGACGCCAGTTAATGAATTCAGCACCATTGGAAAGCATGGTTGCTAATAATTCAATCTAAATTATCGAAGGTTTTTATAGAACAGAATATGATTATTAACAATATACTTGAACTTGATCCAAATTGATCCATGCTTCAGGTAATGGTCGTTGTCCGACGGTGACTGATATAAGATCTGAATATAAATCGATGAATGTTCTTGTCGACAACAGACCGCTTGGTGCCGTCAAAGAAAACTAGAAATATTTTATTAGACGTTAAAGGGTCCATTTCAACGAAACTCATCACTGACTTGTTTAAATAGATCTCTTAGTTGATCAATAGTGAATTGTTCGGCCGTTGGTTGTTCCAAAGGTGACGGTCGCGGTGGAGGTATTGGTGGTGGAGCAACAACAACATCCTTTTATGAAATCATAGATAACTTTCATTTTATATAACCGAAACTTCATCTTTTACATACCTCGGCAATGAAGAATGAATATCGATCGAGAACAAGTTGTTGTTCAATCTTTTCTTTTGATTCGATAGCATAGCGGATAATTTTCGCCATATTTTCGATACTNTGTGTTTTCTCGAAAATAATCTCATTTCTAGTCTCTCTGTTTATTCATTTCAAATGAGTTGTGATCTTACGATCTGTTTATCCTTTAGTGTTTGCGAAACCTTTTTTTATGATAAGAAGAAATAAATTTATTCGAGAAAAGTCATACGTAACTATCGATCGTCTCTTTTGTGTTATGAGAACTACAAGTTTCGTTTCGTCAATCACATATGAAAGAACTTTTTGGCCATTTTCCAAGTTGGGGGAACTGATCATATGAAGTCTTGCCCGACGGTGAACTTCTACCATTGAAAGCACGAAAGACGCGTTGCCTACTGGCCGGGCTTTCTGCAACACCCACACCTTCAAGATGGCTTCAAAGGATATAATTTCGGTACCAAGACGTTTAGTTCTGGATACCTAGCGTAATGACGCTATGAGAACTATGGTGTTCTGATCATTTTTTTTCAATCCACTGTTACATACGTCACGATGGATATAGGACTTGCGTTGAGTTTGCCATCTGTGAAAAGAATCGTGCTATATGCACGATACTCTAACGATTAATACAACAGATCTTTTTTCTAAATTTAAAAATATATCGAATTGATATTTTATTAAAATTTTCACTTTTTGTCGTTCTAAAATTCTTTAAAAAGCCGAAAAAAAAGAAAAATCTAGAAGAGTTTCTACTGCATAAAATAAAATCATATTTATTTGTTGTCGTCATTCGATTATTGAGCAGCAATTTCAATATCTACCAGACCCATCAGTATTCTAAAACTACGAGTAAGGGTTTTGATAAGTGGATTATAGTGGTGAAGACTTCACGAAATTCAGCTTCAGATAATATTGTTTTACTATCCAAAACCTCATCAGCCAGTTTGCCGTACCTTCGTCTTTTTCGTCAATTTCTAAATCCATAAGAATGGTAAAAAGATCAGCCAATTCACGTTCTGTAAGAAGACCATCCTTATTAGCATCGCACAATTGAAAAACACATTTGAATATTATTTGTGGATTATCATTTATCAGTGCCGATTCAGCCAGCATAAATTCATAAGTACAATGAAATCTTTCCTAGAGAGTCAAATTTGTTTCATTGTTTTAGACACAAATTCTAACCTGATTTATCGCGATCAATCAAATCGAATAAGCTCTTTCCGACGTCGAATTTACTTCTCTTGCCATCATTTGACAGATCTATCATCTTTTTAAGGTCTGCTTCTGTGACTCCATCAGCAGAAAAGTCCTTTTGTTCTTCTTCTAAAGAAAAAGATACAAACTTATTTTTATTAACTATTCATGATTCTATAAGAAATGTAAAAGTGAATTAGTAGTCAGATCGACTCCTGAAAAATTTGTAAAGTTAAACAAAATTCGATAAGTTAATCGTAAAATTTGCGAATTTCATCGGCAGTCTGGCCTGTTGCTGCTACCAAGCTATTCAATTCAGTTTGACTCAGTTGATTTCGTGCCATTTTTCTGAAGATCTTCAACTAAATATTATATGTTGATTGAAGGTAAAAAATGAAGCAAATGTTATATATTTGTGCTGATTAAGACGTATGAAACTGCATTTTTTATTTATCTCCTGTATATATATGATTACTTGCTAACATCTTATAAATCAAATAGATCACAGTAAAGCAAAATACATGACTTTGTCTGCTTTCAGTTGAGTAAGAAAGAATAACAACCTGGTAAAGCATGCAAAGAACACGTAGAATATCTTTGTGCAGGATTCGACTTTTTCTTGAGCGAATTCGGTTCAGTGTAATCGAACTAACACTGGTTCCAAGTACAACTTGATGAGCTCTATCGGTTCCAATCATAAAAATTTTTACACATACCCTCACTCACCCTCATGGTTTGCATTGTGTCAACAAGATCGATTAATTCGTGTTGATATAATGCCACGATTTGATTTGGAGAAAGTTACATATCAAATGCAAGAAAAACTTTATAAAGATTTAATCAAAACATTTGTTGAACTGATCATAAAAGCAATTGATGAAGATAATGCAGACGGTAAAATTTCCATGCATATGGCAGCACATCTAGCTGCTGATGTATCTGATACTGAACGTGATGGACTTTTAGCTATTATCACACAAAATAATAAGATAACTGTTATCATATGATTCGTTTATAATCGTTTTTGTGGTTAAACTTTTTTAACTAATCACTTAAAAATGTAATGAAATGCGACCCAACAGGAGGATGAGGTTGTGAGTCGTAATTTTACATATTATTCTTACGTATATTCATGCTCATGGAAGAGAGATTGGGAAAGAAGGAACTTCTGACTTCTATAGTCGATAGAGTAATGAGTCAGATCGATGGGCGTTATTTGGACTTTCTTTTCTTGAGTTTCACAATTTTCAGTCAAGTTACAAGTCTTTAGATAAAGTCATAGCTATGAATTGAAGAAATATTTCCATAGCTTTCGATATAAATAAGAAATCTATTTGTACATGATTGAATACAGGGCTGCCATCTGTTCGGGGTCGAGATGGGGTACAAAAAATTCTAAATGGGGTACGATTGAGGTACAATACTACTTCAAATGGGGTGCACTTGTGGGGTACACATGTTCTTTCTGAGTAATAATAGCTGTGAATATGAAATCGATGTTGAACACTAGTTTTGACCTTATAAGATTTTACAAATTTTGTTCGTTTTGAAAATTCTATTCAGGTTCTAGCTTTTATTTTAAAACAACTGGTTATATATACATATCTTCTCGCAATATCTACCTGTTCAAAAAGTAATAACAAATATCCACTCAAAGTAGATGTTCTACGTTTGCATTAGCTAATAATCGTATTTCACATAACTATTCCAGTTTGATTTTCGCAATTTTGATCAATTCTGAGGGAGATTGCGCAAAAAATTAAAATCTTCTGATTTCATGTTGGCACTAACTAAATCGTGTCGTTAATTTAGTATCAATTGTTTTAGTTAGGAATTTTATGACAGAAAACTGTGACTAATAAGGAACATGATTCTATTTCGATTGCGTGAGTAAAACTAGAAAAGACAAGGAGATACAAATGCTAAAAATAAGAATAGCAATATTCTGCCCTTGTCATCTATTTGGTCAATATAATTGAGTCTTCATGCCTCTATACAAATGAAAATTTCAATTATAACCACGGTAGAACAAACTGATTTCCGCTGCTTTCAAAAGAAGCCGAATTCCAGGTGCAATCAGTGAAAATTAAGAGAAATCACCTGAAATCTTGGAGCTAAATATATCAGGTATAATGATTTCTGCGATTTTCACTGATTTCCAAGGCGGAAAGAGTGGAATCATGATTGCAGGATTCCCATGGATTCCATATGAAATGTTTCAAAAATCATAGAAATCATGAAATATTGCAGTTTAGAATTTCATCGGATTCCATTCGATTTTAGACATTCAGGATTCCGCTCTTTTTCCCTTGCTGATTTCTCTATGATTTTTGGCTGGAAATCAGTTTGTTCCCCCTTAATTACAGTCAATAAATGTATTAATTATAGCAAAATATGATTTAATCGTATACAAAAAGAAATTATCCAAAATGGGGTACAAATATTGTACCTCTGGGGTGCAAATATTTTTGGGGTACAGATTGTCGAAATGGGGTGCTGTACCCCCAAATGGGGTACAGATGGCAGCCCTGCGAGACAACCAGAGAGTCGTCCCATCCCGCTACATTTTCTGTTTTCTTCTTCTCTTCAATCTCAAATATTTTATTTATTTTAACACTTTTAAGCGTACTGAACTAACACTGCCGTAAAAAACATATTTTTATCGTAAATTGTTGAATGATCAGCAAGAGGCGCTTTTCGTCCCAGTGAAGTTGACTTGAAAAGCATCGATTTTATTCAGAATCGACTTCACTAAGTTTTAACCGTGGTGACTAAGGCTTCGACACTCAAGAGCCTCTGGCTTTATTCCAGACTATTGAGGCCGAACCGAGTACAGTCGGGAACTGGATAATCAGACTCGAACACCCATAAAGATTAGTTTGAATAACTTACTACTCATCGAGCAACTGATCTAAAAAAGTTTGTATGTTGCTGAACTGCAAGCTATCAATCGAGTCTCAAATGTTCAATTTGTATATGTCACGGGGGCACTAAAATGGAGTTGTCAGTCCCGTCCTGGACAGGACGAAATTTATCCCTCATCTCGTGAAGCTCTGGTAATGGAATATATGTCTACCATGAACCATAAAAAAGAATTGATGACAAAGCTAAAACAACTTGTCGATAAACATTTAGAAAAAATTTCTGGAGTTTAACATCGTTCTTTTTTCGAACAAAATCGCGTGTACGTGGATATTATGATATGTGGAGTTGCTCCTTTCCACCATGTCCTACCTAAACAGGTATCTTCTTACACCGGGATACATTTTTACGACGCCGTTTGAAACGAATGTCTTGAAACAGCCGAGCTTTGAAATACATACTCATGAATAAATGGCGAAAAATCCCACGTGATGGCAAATCAATTGTGCCAAGTAGTTCATACCGATCTATATCGATAGTTTGCTTAGTTTATTTATTCTTCTCGGTTTTTGTTTTCAAAATAACATAGTAGAAAAGAAAGAGAAGAAAAACGAAATATCTTAATCTACTAGTTCAAGTCAAACAAAGAAAAAAAGAACATGCAATCATGAGAATAACAATAATGGCATGAGATGAGATCTTTCATAGAATTCAAAAAGAAAACTAACGAAACAGTATAAAAACAAACAACAAAACCTTTTTCTTTTTCAAAAATCTGGATAAAGATACTATCTTGTTCTTCACGTTTTCTTTTATAAATAGAATAATTTATCAGCTAGACTTTCATGAGGTTGAGCATGCAGACTTTGAGCAGCAAGAAAAGCCAACTTGTGTGCATATTGACATACACCAGGTACACGGATTGTACCAGNGGTTGTTCCAAAGGTGACGGTCGCGGTGGAGGTATTGGTGGTGGAGCAACAACAACATCCTTTTATGAAATCATAGATAACTTTCATTTTATATAACCGAAACTTCATCTTTTACATACCTCGGCAATGAAGAATGAATATCGATCGAGAACAAGTTGTTGTTCAATCTTTTCTTTTGATTCGATAGCATAGCGGATAATTTTCGCCATATTTTCGATACTTTCCGTTTCTTGTTTATATTTTTCGCCAAGCCATTCGTACATGCGTGTGTATGTCTCATCAGCTTTACTTTTCAATCCAACAACCGCTCGAGTAGCAATATCCCGAATAAGTATCAAACGTTCTTGACAAATTCGTACTACACAAAAATCAATCTACATTCACTTGATGTTCGAAATCGAAAAACTTACCTTCATGTGCAATAGCAGCTAGATATTCCTCTTTTATTTTCGCTTTTAATTGTTGTTTCACTAACTGTTCAGGAGTCAACACTACAACTTCTGAAATAGCACGAAGAAGGAAAAAACATCGATTGAAACAAATGAACATGAGAATTATTATCATACGTACGTTCGACAGGAGCTTCTTCTGTCTTCTTTCCTTTTTTACCACTCTTTCCCGCAGAACCTTTTCCACCTTTAGCATCTTTACCACCCTTCGCGTCTTTGCCTCCTTTGGCATCTTTACCACCGGGAGCAACTGCTGCCGCTGCTGCAGTGGCCGCGGCTGTCGGATCGATATCAATACTTGCTTGTTCACTGGTTTGCTAAAATCGAAACAAACGCCCGTTTTTACAGAGCAATCTGAAAATCAACAAAACGCTCACCATCTCATTAACATATTGATTAGCTAAACGATGTGCATCAAAGATCAACCGTTCATCCATATCTTCCGGTGGCGCAGGCGAAGGTTCACCAGTATTGGCTTCTTCTAATTTCTTTTTAGCTGCGGCAGCTTGATTTGGACGTTTCTTTGGTTCGGGTGGTTCAAACGCTGTTAGAGGCCGTCGCGGTACCAACGGTAATCTGGAAATAATTATTATGGAATTTGATACTATTTATTCTATGTCTTTGCGTTTACTTTGGTTTGAGGCTTTTCGAAGAAGGATCTTGTTGAGATGCTTGTACAGTTGATTCCACCGACTGCTGCGGTTCTTTTTCCTTTTTACCTGCTCCTTTCTTTCCACCTTTGGGTGATTTTGGTGGTGAAGGTGTTCGTTTACTATTCTTACTGGCTGATGCAGTTCGTTTGCCTTTTTTCGGCGTATCAGCTTGAGATCCGGCATCATCAGCATTTCCACCAGGCGAAGCAGGTGTCTTTGTTGCATCGTAATCAACAAGGCTTTCTGCGACTGAAGGCGGTCGTTGTTCTGCATCCATCAGCTCAAACAAAGGTAATCGAGCATATTCTTGTTTCATTTCGTCAGGTATTGGTTGTTGCATCGATTTATAATAATCGCGAAGCATACGCAGAGCATCCTGATATCGATCGATTTCACTCTATGCAAACATTACGAACGTTTTTCTGGTTCTCGCCAAGAAAAGATATGTATTACTTACTTGCATCAATGTGATATAATGATTTGTAAGTAGACCAAGATGATCAACAACCCATCCATCGTTTATGATACCATCACGTTCTTTTTCTGCTTCGTCTTTGCGTTGTGTAGCAATGTCATGCAATGTGTCGCTCAAATCTTCCACTCGTTGATGAAGTTCTTGTTTGAATTCATCATCATCACGAGCATCTTCTGGTAAAGCGTTGAATTCCTATACGATAACAAAAGAATATTGTCTTTTTTTCTGCTGAAAGTGCAGCCGAAACGATTACTTTAACGAACACGTCGACATATTCTTGTTTCGTATCTGGTCGGTTAAGAAATACTTTAAAGTTCGCTTTCACATCGTAGAAGTGATCGATCAAATAGGAACGTTCGAAACGAATATTTCGAAAGACAATTTTACAAGAATCGATATAATTTATTTCCACAGCACCATAGTAATTTGATAGAATAGCAGCAATTTCCTAAAAAAAGAACACTCTTATCAAATCTCATCAATGACGACTAAACTTACAGGATCAATCGATTCCTGGACATAGATCCATTCTTCAGTGCCAGGTTTCGGCGGAGGTGGACCTTGTGGTACAGGTGGTGGTGCTTCCACAACTGGTGGTGGCTCTTCTCCTGAAATCATGGGGGTATAGAAAAACTATTGTCTGAACTAATCGAATTTACCTTTTTTGCCTTTTCCACCTTTCTTTGCACTAGCTGCAGGCGATTGAGCCTTCTTGGCACCCTTTTTACCTTTCTTGGCTGCTTCTAAAAAGATGGTTAAAAAATTACAATCAGATCAGTATATGAACAAAAACTTGAGCGAAACTGAAACTGAAAATGCAAAAGGATAAGTGACTAATCACTTCGAATCGATTTGCGTTGTTTACGATACTTGATTTTCTTTTTTCTACTCTTTCTTTTCGAATTCAAGTCAGAATTGTCTAAAAACCGTGTATTGCGTTGAAACTATCCAGAATAAAAACCTACCGGCTTCAGCAGCTTCACGAGCAGCACGTTCAGCAGCAGCAGCGGCCGCCTGAAAAAAGACAATCACAATATGGACAATAGATTGTTAAGACATACGGCTTCTGCGGCTTGTTCTGCTTTGATCGCTTCTTCTTCTTCTGCTTTTCGTTTCGCTTCAAGTTCTTCTTGTTCGCGAATTAAACGTTCTTCTTCCGCACGTCGTGTATCTTCTTCTGCTTTTCTGACTTTCTCTTGCTCTTCATCTATATGGTTTTCGATTGCTCGAGTGAATTCATGGTACAGTTGTTCTTCATCCAATGGTGGATCGACTTTTGTTTCATCAACAACAGCAACTTTCGAGTATTGTGAATAGAATTTTTCTATTCGAGGATACGATTCTTGAAATTGTGTTATACGATGTTGCAATTGTTCCATATCATTAGCAGTATCTTTTGTTGGGAACACCTGTTCTTGTCCATTGAATCCAGTTGCTGAACCACCCGGTGGTGGATTGTACTGTTCATGATATTCTTGATTCGCCAATGGTGCAACTAAAATACCGAAAGAGTGATGAAATGATTAACAAGATTGCTAGAATAGTTTCATACACGATCGTCCAGCTGCACGTCGAATGACAATATTGTTCGATACATGGAAGAGAACGACGAGATCAATCGCAGACTTGTATGGCTCAGGTGGCGGTGGTGGACGTGGATTCGGCGCTAAGAGTGGGTCGAATTCTTTTGGCTTTTCTTCTTGATAATTAGATAAGGCATTTTCCAGTAGTTTTACTTGATCATATGTCGTCGGAAATCCATCAATGATCCATCCTTCACCTTCTGGAACTCGTCTGGAAAGAGTTTTACAAATAGAAAACTTTATGGAAGTTCGAATTTCCATACCGAAGACGTTCGAGAATTAATTGTACAGCCATTTGATCACTAAGTGCTTCGCCGGATTTCATCGATCGATGTATCATTGCACCGAGTCTCGCGCGATCACTCAACTGAAAATATGAAATATGAATAGAGTTCAATTCTTTGAAAACGATGGATTTTTTCTACCTTGCTTGGTTTTTCCTGTGGATGGCTAAAGACTTTTGTGTGTGTAGAATCGGTAAGATCATTCAATGTTGGAGGAGGTGCTGCTGGATGTTCATTCGTTGTTGTATCTGAATGAAAACATGCGCATTAGGTAATGAACAAGTAGTGAGAGAAATGAAATGAGCAAAAATGACATTTGAGCAAGAGACTGAAAAACCTGAGAAGGAAATATTCGATGTTTTCTTCTTGATTTTTCGAGATTTTTTGTTTTTTTTTGCAGTATTATTATTATTATTCCTATTCAATTGATAATAATTAACAGTGAAAATGTGTGAACACAATGAAAAGTTCGTTTCATTCGGGGAATGTTTGAAGATATTGAAGATATCATCTTCAGTTGTAACAATTATGCAATAGATCAATTTCAAAAATCAATCCTACCTGCGTGTTCCAAGGATGTATTTCCTGTGGAGACCAGTACATTCTCATGATCAATCTTCATTGAAGCATCCATTTCCGTATTATCTTCATCATCGTCATTCATTTCGTTGTTGTTAAATGCCTCTAGTGCTTCATGAAATAGCTGTTCAACGTTGATAATTGTCACGCCAGTTTCTAAAATAGATCGATGTATTTCGTCAATTGCCAACAACTTCTTCTATCGATCAATTACCTTCACCATAGCGTCTCAATGCAGTAGATTTGCCTGAAAATGACTTTCCTAAGACAAGAATCTTCAATCCAAATGCTGGAAATAGTGGTAAGGGAAGTTTCTCCTACAAAATCCATTTTATACTTTCGTAGTTTTTGTCAACTCGACCAAATAACTTACCGGTGGTGGATGTACGAGTTGATACAATCGATTGATAATATAACCGAAAATTGGATTATCGAATGGTGGTACATGTGTAATAATTATTGCACTTTGACTACCCGCTGGTGGTTCCCACTCGCCAATCATGTTTCGATATTCGTTGAAGTCACCTTCATCTAAAATTTTCAGACTTTCTTCTTGTAAAACAGTTTGAGCATGCAGTTTCTCATTTTGTCGTTCGATTTCTGCGAGTTGTTCTTCAGTGAAGCGTTGTTCATCGTCGAATAATGGTCGGTCACCAATAAATAGAGCGTTCCATTCGCGCCAGACTTTCGGAGGGATCAAACTAAAGTTCAAAGACAGAAAATGACCGGGATTTCCAAAAAGAAAACAACTTACTTTTCGGTTAATTCGCGATACTCGCCTACTTTCAATGCAAAGTCAACTAATTGCCAAGTGACATGTGTACAGAAATCGACATTGTCCTTGTGTATCGTTTGAGCTTTTTCCGCCTGTAGAATATCATGTAATTCTTTATCTTTTTGTATTTGTTCAGCATATTCAAGTCGAGCCAAACGTGCCAATTCCTACAGAAGCCTTCTATGTTTGAAATCTTCGTGTACACCAAAATTTCCTTACCGCTTCACGGTCCATAGCTTCAATAAAGTCTTGTCGTCGACGGATTTCTAATTGCTTCTCGTAAGCAATACGATTTTGACGAAGAACATCTTTTTCATGACGAGTTTGTAGTAATTCAACTGCCAGACGTCGCTCGAACTGAGACTGACGAAGTAGATGACTAACAAGTGATTCTTCACGTTTGGAATCCTATTCGAGATCTGATAAGAATCACTTCGATTGAATGAATTCTTACCTCAATAGCTTCAAGTGCACGAAGTTGATCAACTAAAACTTTTCGACGTCGCTTTTCTCGTTCACGTCGAGCGTGAACATCTTCCTGTAGACGTCGTCGAATTTCCAGAATATATGGATCGACTTGACCCGTTTGTAGTTGTTTCGAGTATGAAACTAATTCTTGTGAACCTGTCGCGCCAACTTTGATTAGAGACTCTTTCGTATCTTGTTCATAAGGTGAAGATATCTCCATGTCAGAAACATTCATTGAATCTCTAAATGTTTGAACAAAAGACTTGCTTTATTCAATTCTCTTCAATATTTCATACCCAGTGCTGTTTTCATCGAAACCTTCGTCATCATCGTATTCCGAATGTTGTAAAACACGTTTTTCGAATCGACGAATTTCGTTCATAGTATCCTAAATATCTCAACTCACATGAAATTCAAAAGTCACTTTCAATCAAACCTGCATTTCGATTTCTTTTCTCAACTTTCGTTTTTTCTCCAACGCCTGTTTAGTAAACAACGGCGGTGTCTTAGGAATCACCACCACACTTGCTCTAAAAATAGAACAACAATCGAATTTATTGCTCGGATAAATCTTTCAATGCATATATATATATCGATAGATAGTAGCATGCAAAGCGATATAATATAATCAAAATGAATAACAATTGAGAGAGACATGCATATGATGAGAGTTGACGAACAAACTTACGGCATTGGCTCGATTTCGAGCTCATATCCAAGATCTTGTTGCTGTGATCTAATGTGAAAGGGTTGTTTTTTTTTGTTTCATTTTATCAAATATATGTCAAGAGATATCGAGGAATGTGTTCGAAATGACCGGAAAAAAAACGGATTGATATCTTACTTGATTCTAGCTGTAATTTCAGCATCTTTCACTCGTTTTTCTTTCGAACGATTGAGAAGGTATTGTCGTTTAGATTCATATTCTTGTCGTTTTTCTTCTTCGGCAGCATTTCTATGATAGAAAACAATCGCATTATGATAAAATAAGTTCGAACAAATATCTTCATTTACTTTTGTTTATTGATAATTTCACCTTGACGTTCTCTATATCGTTCGTATTTATTGACTACTTCTCCTAAACTAAGATCGCATTGACGAGCTGTTCGTTTTTTGATTAACTAAATGACAACAGTGATTCAATTGACAAGAAGTTCAAGTTTAGAACAAACATCTTCATATTGCTGCGATTCGACTTGTCCTAGGAACTTCGTGGCTGGTGCTGTCATTGTTTCCATTGCTGTTCCAGTTAAATTTCGTTTCTTTTTTCGATTTAGAGCTGAGTAGAGTGAATAGAGAAGTTGCTGAATGGCTCCCTTCTCCATGGTCATTACTTTCCGAGCATCATTCGTATTAAAGGCAATTCCGAGAAGATGGAGTGTACGTTCTATTCGCGTGAAATTGTTCAATTGAGATTGCGGATTGCTAGATGAGAGAATTGACTTCAAATCATCGAAGAGAAAAGTCTTGTCTACGCACTTGCCAGTACTAAACTGAGGGAAATCCTCTTGAAGACCATATTTTGACAGAATTTCACCGATAAGATAGCCTGTAGCAAAATCACCAGCAAGAGTCTGACTGGAGTCTATCAAAAAACAAACATCGAGATTTAGTTTAACAAAAAAAACTTTCCATAGGAGAAAATTCTCTACCGATTTTTTGTGATAATTGAACATCGTTATTGAGCCAGTCTATTAGAATATGAGACATGGTTCTTGTTTGTGTTTTCCAAAACACGAACCGTTGTTCGATTCAAATACTTGTGATCGAATAAACAGAAATAGTCGTTAAAACATTGCCATTTGCTTCTATTTGTTAATTCAAGTTACTTAGCAACACGAAAGGTTCCGATTATCGTGTAAGATCGTTCGTAATCAATTTCTTCGTATAATTCGCAACAATTAAGAATGAACGAAATCGATTTTCTGTCTAATTATTACCTCTATATTAGTAACCTAGTTGAATGGCGACATCTCTCGAAAGAAGAATATCTTTGGGTCAATTCAATTGTGTCTGTAGACGTGATGTTTACTTAACTGAATACAAGATTTGTTGAAATCAAATCAATTTTTACTCCGCGACACGTTCAGTTCAGGAAACATGAAGCAAAAACAAGTCAACATTGATTATACATTAATGATCTATTCATTCGTCGTTAACTATTCTATTAATGTTTTCGAATATGTCAAAATATGCTCCCGCATCGCATATATTTATGCATTCAAATCAATTCCCGATCAAAGACTAATTGTTTCAAACAAATCAGTTAATAATGCCAGACATATTATAGTAAATGTTACATGAGGATCTTAGTAAGAACATGTCTGTTTTTTTTTCAAAACAAAAGAAATCAGATCTTTTCGACATTGTTTCAATAATAAAAAAAGAACTTGTTAGTTCCGTTCATTCAATAATTTCACATTCTTTTTCATACGCGATGAAAGTTCAGTCAAAAAGTATCACAACTCAAGAGTTTGACTCTCTATTTGCGTAACTATCATATTGAAATTCAAGTATTTTTATTCATCCTATTTTCTGCTGCTGGGTTCCTGTGTGATTTGCCATAGAGCGGAAATATGATTTTCTTCGTTTTCCTTCATAGTTCTCTCTCTCTCTCTTCGTTCATTTCTCTTATTTCACACGTCTTGATAACATACATATAAAAAACAAGTTATGCTAACCTATATTTACTTATGTTTCATGTTTACAACATTGACTTATCTCAATGCAATACCGGTATCATCAATAAATCTCGAATCTGATCACAACAATAGATTATTGGATGCAATTCTTCTTGAACGACTCGGTCTCGGCTCCACTTATCATTTGACTCATCCACAATACGAGAATGATTATCTAGTCGATGATGAACTTCTACATGGCAAACGAGATATCGAAAAGAAATGGGCCAAATTTCAAGCTGGACGAGCAGGATATACCATTGCTTTCCCCGCACTTATTCGTACTCGTAGATAACTCAAAAAACGAACGAACAGATTTAGCATTAAAAGACAAACATCGATAAAACTGAATTTATTTACTTATTTTATCTGTATGTTAATGATCTAATAAAAGAAAATTACTGGAAAAGAGTAAATTGGAGAGAAACAAATTGTTCTATGTGTCAATGAATATCACTGTCGATCGCATAGATATAATTTCAAAATCGATTGTGATTAATCTGAAGTGATTGACGACAATGATTCTTTTGATTGGCTATTTCGCAGAATTAATCCTTTTGTTTTTGTTATTGATATGTATTCCACAATTATTTTCAGTAGGATTGTGAGAAAATGGTCTTCTATATTTAAAAATATCATTTCATTAATGTATATAAATACAATCATATCTTGGATTGAATAAGCCATAAAATAGAAAAGATGTCAAGTATTCGCTCTTTGACCATTGCTGTTTGTCTCGCTTTTATTTGCATAAAAGCTACCTATGGTGCGGATTGTTGGTCCAAAAATGCTTGTATAGACACAAGTGTATGCGCATCGAAAGGTGGAAGTTCTCAACGCGGTCTTTGCAGTGGTGCTAGCAACATTCAATGTTGTTCATGGTAAGCAAAATGATTATTATTATTCACCTCGAAGATTGATACTCTTTGTTTTCAGCTCAAATTGTATGGATGCAACTACTTGTAAAACCCGAGGAGGTGTACCTCACGCTGGCATTTGTTCTGGTGCAGCAAGTATGCAATGTTGCAAAATGGGATCTGTTGTAGAACCTGTTAGTGGTACTACACCAACAAACCGAATGTTAACCGATTTAGCTGATATTCTTCGTGGAGCTGGTCTTACTGTTGTTGAAGTCGATGGTTGGAAAACACGTGGTCATGGAATAATGGCTTCAGCTAAAGGCATTTTGATTCATCATACAGCTGGTCCAGCTACAGGTGATTTTCCTTCGTTAAGAGTTGTTCGCGATGGACGAACAGATCTTCCCGGTCCACTTTCCCAACTTGGCTTAGGCCGTACTGGAACATGGTATGTCATCGCAGCCGGTCGTTCGTATCATGCTGGTGAAACAATTGACAATTCCATATATGGCAATTCCAATGCAATTGGTATTGAAGCTGAAGCGACAGGTGTTCCATCAACGAATACTGGACATGCATACTGGCCAGATGTACAATACCAAAGTTATATTCGTGGTGTTAAAGCTCTTCAAGCTGCTTATGCTATTCCAACTTCGCGTGTACTAGGTCATAAAGAAGCTGCCGTACCTGCTGGACGCAAACCAGATCCAAACTTCTCTATGGATGAATTTCGTGCTGCTCTCAACCAATAAATTTCATTGAAAACTAATTTCTCAGAATTGCTTTGAGAAATGCTATTTTTTGAATAAAATCGAATAAAATAGTTTTCTCTTCTATGAGTCTTTCTACTTCAGTCGTGAATGAACAAAAGCGAAAGAGGTTTATATTTGGAAAGGTTTTTATTCAAATTCAAAACAATTTTGAATGCTACACTGGCAAACATTGAAAATCATCATAGCTTGAATGACTGAATTGCGTCGTGATCTATTAATAAGTGTTTGGCATTTCAATTAAGCTAAATGAAAAAATATCTTGACAATATGAATAAGTTCTCGATCCAACGAACCTGAAACGCAAGCACTTTTATCAATTGTGTACATTTGAATACGGTTGTTGTTTGTATCAGCAACATACAAATTACCGTCACGATCAAATGCAACGTCACGTGGAAAATATAACTGAGCAGGACTGCTACCATATCCTGGTCCACCAATGATTACCTTACCAGCTTGAGCATTGTCTAACCAACGAACAACTCGTGTATTGATGTATTCAACTACATAAACACTGCCCATTCCATCGACGGTGACACCCATTGGTTTGTACAATTGATCGTCAGCATTTCCGAATCCTTTACTGGCAATTGCAAGTTGACCTTCTTTTGCACCGGCCAACCATTTCATAATACGATTGTTGCCTCGATCGACAATAAAAAGTGTTCGACTTGTATCAACAAAGATATTATAAGGGGATGAAAGTTGATTCAATCCGTTGCCACGACCATTGCCACCAGCAACAATAAGATTATCCGGCCATTTCATGACAAGATTTGCTTCTAAGTCAGAGACGTACAATGATCCTTGATTGTCAAGTGCCAATCCCCAGCATGAGATATCCTTCAGAATAGTTTCACCTTGTTTCTCGTCTTTTCGATATTTCAACACCCGTTTATTGTCTCGATCGCAAACATAAACATTTTCATCGCGATCAACAACAACTTTGGTCAGTTGACCTAATGGTTTACCATCGACCTGGTCATTTCCATTGACAATAACTTCGCCATTACTGGCACCCGATGACCATTTCATGACTCGATGATTATTTGTGTCAGCAATGTAAATACCACGATCATCAACGAACAATCCGTTTGGATAATACAGTTGATTCAATCCCGATCCAAGTCCGAGTCCTCCAGCGACAGTGATACCATTTCGATTCCATGTTGCACCTTGACAAATACTATCAATAGGAGTAGGAAGAGAAGATACTGCTTGATGAAGTGAAAAGCAGGAGACTAGAGAGAGAAGTAAGTGATATTGTATGCACATCATTTTGGAAAATGTAACGTGCACTGAAGATTCTGTAATCTTTTAAATATGAGAATACAACGTGGGCGAGGAAAATCGAGGTGCGACGAAAGCAACGAAATGAATATGCGCGTACATTTCTTTAATCTTAATGGATACTCGGTGATTTGCGGAAAGAAATGGGCGATTCTATTTCACATGATTGTCGTCAAGATTCGATATGTCGTGGATATATTTTAAAGCGCTTAAAACTGATCGACTAAGTAAATATTATTACAATATTATCAGGCCATATCATTGAAGAAAATGATACTTTGCGACGATTTTTCAATAGAAGAAATGCTATTACTTCTATACCAAACAGATGAATGAAAAGTACATCGATTGTGAAAACTACAGTCAGGGCATGTAATAAGGTCATATGTAATACCTTTCAAAGATGAAAGCACCATTCGTTACTTACTGAGTATAAGTGATTTGATTTCGAGAGTTACGAACGATATGATGAAGTTTAATTCAAAAATGAACAGATGAAAAATCGGTTTGGTTCGCGTTTACCATACAATGTCTGAATGACAACTGGTTTCGTTTCGTTATGTCATAATAGGATTTTTTTACATAGAATATATGTTTTATGATAATTTAAATCGGTCTTCATCAGAGACGATGAATGCTACAGTTATTAAAACATGTTTTTTGTAGATTATTTGCCTCTGGTTGATGGTGATCGAAACTTAAAAAACATCAATATACGAGCTAAAATCATTCTGTTGATATGTGTTCTGTAAATACATGGAATTTATCCAAGAGTAGTGTGAAAACGATATGTAAAACACATTCTAAAGCAATGTGAACTTCGATCTCGAAAAATAAATGAAGCTGTTTATGTACATACAAATTATATCCAAACATAATTCGTTTGACAAAATATATAAAGAAGAGCAAAGAGAAAACAACTTCTCTCTGGTTGAGTGCATTTTTCTGATGCAATGAAGCTCATACATCCACTCAAATCATTTCTTAAGAACATACAAATGCCTACAGCTATAATCCTTAGTCAATGCAGCGGAGAACAAATAGACGAAAGAAAAGAAAAAAAAGTACTTATACGCATGAATGCATGGCTGATGCAATACCTAGAAAAAAAACCTTTTTCTTATATTCAACGTCAAGAAGTGCATCGTTCGAGAGTGTATATAATATAAACGATACAGACGAACAAGCGCATATCATTTCTCATACAAGTACTGTTGGTCATCGGCAGCATCTCGTATTCAAGCTTCGTTCGTTGTATTTATTATACACATCTTCGTATTAAATTCAACATCGAAGAAACAAACTCGTTTGGGTCCACCGACTTTATTACACATTCGTGTTCAATACTATTCTTCCATTTACTTCGTCCTATTTGAGTAAGATCGTTTTTTGTATAAAGAAATCTCTGATCATTCGTTGTTCCATGTGTAGATTTATGTATTACTGGAGTTTTCTAAGTAACTCGTTTTCATGGCAAACAGTCGATCGCAAGATCCTCTGCCAGCAATTTCTATTTCTACTGATCATGTTATCGAAACATCGCTGGCTGAACGAATCGAACCAACTATTGAATCAGCAAATGACAATTTTCATATGTGGTCTCGTGATGACTTATTTCTTCGTTTCCAAACAAATCAAACTACTGGTCTATTGATCGATCAAATTCTTCAATTCGAAAAACAATATGGTGAAAATAAATTGACCCCACCAAAGAAACCGAATTACATCTGGATATTTTTGTCTCAATTATTAACTGGCTTTAATATTTTCTTATGGATCGCAGCAATATTTGCTTTTCTTGCTTGGAAACCATTTGGCGAACCTGATCCTCAAATAGCTAATTTGGCGCTGGGCATTCTCTTGTGTTTGATTATCTTTCTCAATGGTATTCTCGATTCATATCAAGTTATTAAATCAATCAAAATTGTAGCCTCGTTCGCCAAACTCCTTCCAACATTAACAACTGTGCGACGTGATGGTGTTGAACAACAGATTATTGCAGAAACTCGTTCCAGGTGATATTGTACTCATTCGAATGGGAGAAAAACTTCCAGCTGATTTACGTCTGATCAGTTGCGATGGCTTAAAGGTTTGTCTATAGAATTGGTAGGAAGAAAGTTGCAAGTATTGTTATTTATAGGTGAACAATGCGAATTTAACCGGCGAATCGAAAGCAGTTTCGTGTACAACTGAATGCACACATACAATAATGCTAGAATCGAAAAATATTGTTTATTGTTCTTCAATAGTTGAACAGGGTACTGGAGAAGGTCTTGTTATTGCTACTGGAGATCGAACAATGATTGGTCGCATGTCGAAATTGACGCAAGGAAAAGGTGGAGATGAAATCACAGGTAAATTTAGAATTTAAAGAATAATGACAAGCCGATTGATACCAATTTTTATCTCAAGGACTTCATCGCGAATTCAATCGTTTTCTGTTGTTCGTCTGTGTTGGTACGGTCATTGCCGTCGCAATTCTATGGATAACTTGGGGCGCTTGGCTTCAACGGGATCATCCCACGTTTGTTAGCTACAACAATAATATTGTCAATTCCGTTGGTATGATCGTTGCTTTTCTTCCTGTTGGTCTGCCATCGTGTGTAACATTTGGTAAAGAAACGTTTTCGATGGAAAGTTTTCCTTTTGAATAACATCTCATTGAATTTTAGTATTGACTATTGTGGCGAAACGAATGTATCGACAGAAAGTTCTTGTCAAAAGTCTTCAAATCGTCGAAACTTTCAATTCAGTTTCGGTCATTGCAACAGACAAAACAGGAACTTTAACACAAAACCAAATGACAGTTACACATTTGCTTTGGGATCTAGATAGGACATTAGCTCTTCCAAGTATCCACTCGAACGGACCATCGTCTTCTCAACAACTGAATCCTTCCGATCGAAATGCGATAGAATTGATCAAATGTCGAGCATCAAGTACAACGAATGTATCGATTGAAGTTATTCATGATCTCTTACTTGGTGCCTGTTTATGTAATAATGCTGAAGTACAACTTGTTGCCAATGTTGAACTTGGTGGTAATACAGTTGACATGGTACGTGAAACGAAGATTGTTGGAGATGCTGCTGATACTGCTCTGTATAATATGTGTAGTCGTGCTTGTCATATTGATATGATAGAAACACGTTCGAAAAATCGCCGTTTGCAAGTTCTTCCATTTAATTCTAACATGAAGTTGATGATCTCAGCGAACAAACTAGAAAACTCTCCATCGATGGTTTTGATCCTGATGAAAGGTGCACCTGATTACGTTATTCAACACTGTTCCACGTACAAAACAAATCAGGGCGATGTAGAATTATTAACCAATGAGATTCGACAAATGATTGTCAAACGACAAGAAACCTTTGGAAAAGATGGTTATCGACTTATTGCCCTATGTCAACGAAGTCTCGAAGAAAACGAATTTAATGAATATGTCAACGCAAATCATTCCGATCGTTTACATGGATTTCCATCGGATAACTATACCTTCATTGGTCTATATGCACTAATCGATCCTCCAAGAGATGAAGTTCCAGATGCTGTTTTGAAAGCTCGTCATGCTGGTATCCGAGTAGCTATGGTCACTGGAGACCATCCGACGACGGCAAGATCAATTGCCAATCAAGTGAATATACTGTCATCGGAAATCTCGCTCAATAATGGTATTGATACATTTCAATCGACAAAAGATCAAAACGGTAAAATTATCGTTGATCTTTATCGAAATGATAATTTATTAGAAAAACATGAAGTTGCTCACATAACAAAACATGACTTGAATATCAGAGAAGGCAATCATCCGGATGGGGAGAAACTTCCCTGGTACAAACGTATGATTGGTTCATGTAAAAATAATTTTTCCGATCCTACCAGTGGAAATGCAAATGAAGGTGTCAATCGAATGAATTATATACCGTATGGTGTTGTTGTAAGTTGAAAATCTTGATGAATTAATTCAATCATTGTTCTTCTTACATAGGTGACGGGATGTGAAATCGAAAATATGGATGATTATATGTGGGATTGGGTTTTATCACATCAAGAGATCGTGTTTGCTAGAACATCACCGGAACAGAAACTTAGCATTGTGACAGAATTTCAACGTCGTGGAGAAGTTGTTGCTGTAACTGGTGACGGAACAAACGATGCGCTTCCATTAAAATATGCTCATCTTGGTGTAGCCATGCAATCGGGTACGGATATTTCAAAAGATGCTGGTGATATGATATTACTTGATAATAATTTTTCATCGATTATCCGAGCAATTGAAACCGGTCGATTAGTTAGTGATAATCTTAAAAAAGTTGCGATACATTTACTTCCGGGAGGTACGGATAATATATTTAAAATACGTTGCTCTTCTTAATTATTTACTCAATTTAGGGTCATGGTCACAAATATGGCCGATATTTTTCAATTTATGGTTTGGTATGCCGTTGGCATTGTCAGCTTTTCTAGCAATCACGTTCTGTATGATCAACGATGTATTTCTTTCATTAGCAATGGCAAATGAAAAACCCGAACGCGACATTATGGCACGTCCACCATCAATTCGTTCGCAAGATCGAATGCTTAATCTACGTTTGTTATTTCATGCATTCATGCTTGCTGGCAATGCTGCCACATTCGTCGGATTTTTCAGTTACTGCTACTATTGGATTGATAATGGGGTGCCATTTTATTCGTTTATGTTTACATTTGAACACTTCGGTAAAGATCCTCCTCTTCCACAATCACCGGAGGAGCTACGACGAATGACATCAACTGCACAGAGTGCTTATTACTGTTCGACATGCATTTTTCAAATGATAAATTTTTTTGCTACGAGAACACGTTATGCATCGATCATTCAACACAATCCATTCTGGGGTAAAAGTCGAAATTGGTACGTCTTCTTGGCTATTATTGGATCGACAGGCGTTCAACTTCTTGTTACACGTCTTGTCTGGTTCAACAATACATTTCAAACTCAACCTATACCTGTGAAATACATCGTACCAACGATTGGTTTTGGTATGCTTTGGCTTCTCATTGATGAATTAAGGAAATTATGTGTACGCAAATGGCCAAAAGGCATTCTCGCTAAAATTGCTTGGTAAACTAAATATACTAATCAGAATTAGTTTAGATTCTAACTATTAATCAAGTTTTTTTTTGAGTTTATCAATTTATTCCAGAGCTAAACTGCGTATTTTCTATTTCGTTGAATATCTTTCTATATATCAATAAACTCGTTTGAAAACAGATCATTAAATCCATCTAGACATATTAAGTTGCAAGACAAATAAGAAGCTACATGGGAAAGAAAATTTTCTAAAAATATTTCATTTGATTGGGAGCCTGTTTTTTTTTTCTTTTCTCTCTATTTCCAACTGTGTTTGCACGCTTTGAAGTAGTCTGACTCATCGCTCGTGATTGATACGATAACTATGCCGATGAGAACGATTTTTCTTGTTTAGTGGAATTCAACCACCTTTCTCATCCAGCTGCAATAACAACAGCTCGAAGATATTGAATGCTGTTGCTGATTTACTCATCAGCTTACTCATTCATTCAGACTGAAAAGGCTAGTAGAACAAAAAGCCAAGATTTTTCTCTCTATGACACAGAAATAACATGACGAGAGAGAGAGAGTGGGATTTTGATTTTCATCCCTCATTGTGACTCACCGCAAGAATCATTTGTATATAAGCGACTATTTATTGTAGGATAAGCAGCAGAAATTTGGAAATTTTTATACGCTTCAACAAATGGCTATCGTTTGTCTTGGACTAATTGGTATTGCAGCTGTTGTTGCCATCATTGGCGCGGTTCTGCTAGCTATTGTTGTCGGCGGAGTCATAATTCTACTCTTGGTAATGCCATAGTCATTAAAATGAATTTCTTCTATTAGTATACTATTGAAATTTTTATTTTCACAGACTTGCTGTCTCTGTCCAAGAGTCATCGCGATATGTAGAAAACGAAGAAAATGCAAGCTACCACCGCCACCTAAAGACGAAAAGCCTTGTGCCGAACGAATTAAATTTCGAGAGTGTTATATTTGACTGTATTTCAATGGAAAATACTAATAACTTACGACATATAATGTTTGTTCACCCAATCAGTACTTTAGCTTGATAATAAACCTCGTGCTATATATCTATAAATACACAAAGAACAATTTTCCTTTGCTATTTAGTTCTCTAAAGATCGGATTCTTGTAATCACCTCTCCAAGATAATTCATTAACTTCGGAAGAAAGTAAGAAGGTGGTAACTGGTTGAAATTTCATCCAGTTACGACTAACTGTTATTTTTTACCCAATTCTCACAGCTTCTGAGAAATCAGCTAAAATTTCGGCATTTTAGTTGATATACGTAAAATATAACAACATATACACTCACGCATTGTTCGCTACCAGTTTCCTATAGGATATGAATAACACGCATACGTACAAAGAAAGAGATAAGACGTCTATCTCGCGTATTGATCTAGAGTATGAAAATGGAATAGAACGAGCAAAGACACATGGATGTGTAAACGAGTGTCTACTCAACACACTCTAATACATTATATAATCCAAGGAAAACAATCATATCCTTGGATTCTCCATATACGATGGCTACAGCAACGTTTCATAGTAAATCCACAGCACTTGATGTTGTTCACAGTTTGAACGTGAACTTAGATGGTCAGATTGTTATTGTTACCGGTGGTACATCAGGTAAACCAATTATACTGTGTGAAATATGTAGAAAGGGTTAATCGATCAATTTTAAGGTATTGGTATAGAAACAGTACGAGCGTTAGCGTCGACACATGCACATGTTATCATTACTACACGAGATCTGACTAAAGGGAAACAGGCGGTAGAAGATATGAAAAAGTCAACTGGAAATAAATCTATTGAAGCGATTGAGTGTGATTTGACGTCACTTGAATCAGTTCGTAGTTTTATTTCTGAATTTCGTACTCGTCAACTACCAATCAAAATTCTCATCTGTATGTATTACTAATTACTTCTCATTTTTATTGAGGTATACATATGTAATAGGTAATGCAGAAACAAAGGCTTGTCCATATTCGAAAACAACCGATGGTTTCGAATCACAATTTGCTGTTAATCATCTTGCTCATTTTTTTCTCACGACAAATCTTTTGCCAGAACTCGAAGCAGGCAAGCCGTCACGTGTTATCATAGTCAGTTCCGTTGCAAATAAACGTGGTGGTATCAACTGGTATGACATCAATTGGGACAAGAAGTACGACAAATGGCTTGCTTATAGTCAAAGCAAAACTGCTAATATTCTTTTTGCTAAGCAACTGGATAAATTATATGCATCCAAAGGTATCCATGCATATTCTGTTCATCCAGGTGGCATCATAACGAATTTGCGACAGAATATACCAGAAAAGGAACAACGAGCGATGGGTTGGTACAAGGACGATGGAACATTAATTGAAGTTTTTAAAACTGCAGCACAAGCTGCATCAACAAGTGTCTACGGTGCTTTAGCACCTGAATTGGATCATTTTGGTGGAGAACATCTGGAAGATTGTGCGGTTAGTAAAGGTGTCAATCCAGATAAAACAGCATGGGGTATAGCACCGCATGCTGCAGACATGGAAGAAGCCGAGCGTCTATGGAAGTTAAGTGAACAAATGGTAGTATCGAAAATGCATGTTTAATCTCAGAATTTGAGTGTAATGTACATGAACTAGAACTTGGTTTTGCTGGTTTTGTGAAAAATATGATTCTATATAAACAAAATGAAAGAACGAGAGACTACAAAAAAAGTTCGGTGTGTCATTCAGTTGTTATTCTCGTGTTCGACTGGCAAAATCAATTTCGTGATGTACTGTTTTTCATCACGTGGTTAGACACTTAGAAAACGCACTATCTCGTTTATAGGCTGCCTATTTTTCAGAGCTAAGATTAAGTATTTTCTATCCTATTTGATAAATTTTCAAATTAAAAGAGTATTGAATTGATATTTTAATACCCTTTTGTCTTCATTTTCTGCCTAATACGTTATTTTTTTCTCTTTACTGATGTATATAAGGCACCATCAGCCAACGGTTCTCAGTATATTTTCGAAAACAGTGTAAGTAACTGCTGAATTATCAAATTTTCTTTATCTAAGTGTTTTTTTTTCTTCGATAGTTTATCAATTGTAATCATGCTCGCTACCAACATATTCTCGATTTTAGTTTGTCTTTTTCTGGCCCATGCCACTTATGCTTTTCATGCAAATAGTTCCATGACGGATGATGGCATTCAATCACGAGTAATGCTTACAAATTTAGCCACTATCCTTCGGAATGCTGGCCTCGATGTCACAGAAGTTTCTGGTTGGGCAACACGTGGTCATGGTCAAATGACTGCCGTTAAAAGTATCATTTGCCATCATACTGCTGGTCCAGCAACCGGTGATATGCCTTCATTAAATGTCATTCGTGATGGTACTTCAAGTCTTGCTGGCCCACTAGCACAATTGGGGTTAGGTCGTAGTGGTAAATGGTTTGTTGTTGCTGCTGGTCTCTCCTATCATGCTGGTGTTGTTACTAACTCAGCTTTATACTCGAATGCTAATGCTATTGGCATCGAAGCTGAAGGTACAGGTCTTCCGGCTACTAATAGCGGACATACCTACTGGCCGGAAGTCCAATATCAAAGTTATTTGAAGGGTGTTCGTGCTCTTATGAAAGCTTTTAATGTACCAAAGGCTAATGTTCTCGGACATAAAGAAGTTGCCTCGCCATTAGGTCGTAAGATTGATCCAAACTTTTCTATGGATGAATTTCGTAATGCTCTTTAAGCTCTAGATGTTTCTATACTTTATTCACTTTTTATTGAACGAAGATTGACGTACTTTCAATAAAAATGAGCTCATATCGACATTTTACAATCATCGTCATTTTAGTTCCATTAATACTCAAGATGAAAATATGCTTTTTTCTTATGAAATGTAGAATATCACACCGTATATTTAGTCATATAAAAGTAAAAAGCAGTAAATGTAGTTGTAAGCATCCTCAACATCTAATTGCTGCTTTTAAACAATAGTGATGATTTCATTTTTATTTTAAATAGCAACAATCTGTGCTTCGTAATACTTGGTTACAACATCAATATTAATTAGGTCTATATTCAGTTATTTGCCATTCCATAAACACAATTTTCAACTAATATTAACATAGGCTTCCTGTTGTATGTTTCCATCGGTATACAACCAGAAACTTAGAGTGTAGATATGTCTGATTGTGACATTAAAATATTGACGCAAATAATCATAATTTCCTTGACATGCTCCTTCGTAACAGTTGGAACTATTGTGACAATTAGTTTGAACGAGACTGCTTTGTTTGCTAGGAAGACAACTCTGACTACTACATACTATTTGCCAACCAACTAATGACGACATTTCAAAATTTCCGTTGAGTAACATTTCAATACCCAATGCGCTTATATCAATAACACTAACATCATCGAGATGCCAAGTAAATGATGGATTCTTAGCCTTAAAACCAAACTCAAGAAGAGCAATTCCAGTAGATACTGCTGTGTAGTTGTACATTTGTTTTTGATAAGTAGTCGGTGACGTTGTATATGTAGCAATACATGTAGATGATGGCATACATGAAACACCTATGAAAAAATGTCAAAACTAAAGATTTTCATATTATACTCACTCATAGTTGTTAATGGCATTGTCGTCGTAGTGTATAATAGCGTCGTGTCTAGTTAAATAAAGTTTCTTTGCTGTTGAATCTCTCGTTATTACTTACTAGTAGGATATGCCTGAGTAAAGATGATTACTGTATTCTTTTGACTTATAGCACTTAGCTGTAACTTTCCCTCCCATCTAGCTGCTGAGAAAAGTGAACATTTTTGCAAAACACCATCATAATTTGCAAGAGAACAAGTTGAATACGCATTGCATTGACAGGCGCATGCACGGACCGACGGTACATTAGGAACGATCATCAATTGCGAAGTGGAATTGCTTGGATAAAATTGTGCATTGTCAATTCTATTTATACGTATTGATTGCGTGTGCCAATGATGATGACAGATCAAAAGTAGAAGGATCCTCCAAGACATTGCCAACATTGAAAAAACAAATTCTAAGATACAAGATACACCGTGGAAAATACACGCACACTTCACTCTTACTTTCTCCTTCTCGTTTTTGCTTTTCATTTCCTTATAGAGTGATCAATAATGACACATCGTTTTACTTTCTTTCGCCTTCAATATGCAGTTCTATCACACTTTGAAGAAGATGACGTTAAGTTATACTTCAACTGAAGCAAAAATGATTTTAATGGTTCGATGGAAAATGTAAACACATATGCCCTCATTGTTCTACTTTACAATTACGTCAGAAGATATATCAACCGATTATTCGTAGTAAACCATAAATGATGAACGTTCCGATCAGACTGAGTAGAATCGTTGTTGGAAATCCGTACTTGAAATAAGTCCAGAATTGAAATCGATATTTAATTGGACTTGCCAATGCCTTTTGAGCGACGATGAGATTTGCCACACTACCAAACAGAGTCAAATTACCGGCAATTGTTGTAATAAACGCAAGATACAAGATCAAATTGAGATGGTCACCTGTGCGTGGAACTTGTTCGAGAACAAGTAACGTTAGAGGTACATTAGAGAAAACATTGCTACCAATAAGAATAAATATGTAGAAAAGTAATAAAGAATTTAGATCTTTTAGCGTTGCTCGATCGAGTTTAAGTGCTACCCTAAACAAAATAGGATTCTTTAGAGAAATCAGTTGCATTTGAAACGAAAACATACCATAACCAATGAGGAATACCAGTCGAATTCAATCCATCGAGCCAAACAAAAAGGCCAAAGAAGAGAAGAAGAACATTCCAATCAATTCGTGTCAGTATAAAAATGGGAGATCGGCGATTGATTAAAGTATCAACAACGATGAGTATGATCGCTGCTCCAACTGGTATCAAACCTAGAAATAAAATTCTGATGAGATGAAATACATCATGTTCATAGAGGTATACCAATATCAAAATAAATTTTGTCATTTGAGATAAATAATAGAATAATAACGAGAATGAGTAATGCACAAAGAATAATTTTAAAAGGTCGAGAGCGAGATGATTCTAGTGACTCTTCATATTCCTCGGCAAGCTCTTCTAGAGTTGCAAATGATGCAACTGAAACGCATCGATCTACCATTGCCGGTGAAGGTCGCAACGTTCGCATCGACGCTCTTTCTGATGACTCGTTCATCCGTTTCATTCGAAAACTTTCCGTATGCCGAGTCGATCTAGGTGTACTTTGACTAACAACAACTGACGTTTGAACTTGTTCTTCTACTATATGAACAGCAGCTGTTTCACTCGTTGTTTGCTTAGGCGATGTTCGATTTGATCGACATCGATTTAGACGATAGTAGAAGATGAGAAAGAGCAAATTGAGTAGCCAAACAGTTAAAGTTGGTAACCATAAATATTGAACACAGGTTTTTAATTCCAATCGACTATGATGATCAACAAATGCATTTGATTTCGATGCCATCAACGCCATTTGTGGATTGCCAAAAATCGTCAATGTACTTCCTAAATACAACTAAAAGCATAAAGATACGATGACATGTATCACGTTTACCAATATTCGCTTGAGTAGCTATTGCCAACAGTAACGTATCTAATTCATATTTATCTCGTTCTTGTTCAATCCATTTCTTCAATACCAATGGTGTGAGTATCACACAAGCAACATCATTAGTAAATAAAGCTGCGACAATGGAATCGATGATACTCAATCGTAGCAACCACCAGTGAAATGCTAATCCAGGTGGGAAAAGTTTGTTCAATAGATAATCAATTAAACGTTCACGTTCGAAGTACGATGAAATAACCATCATACCCCAAAGAAGAAAGATCGTTTTTAAATTGTTTGCATCGCCGATAACTTTATAAACATGAGTTTGATCGATGACAGTGGTGGTAACCATCAAAAAAGCGCCGACTAGCACAGCGGCGGTACTTCCCAATGGAAACCGCGAAAATGGAATTAAAACAAATGGTAAAACAAGAGCGAACGTTAAACAGCCAAGAATGATTTGGTATGTATGAGCTATGGAAATCAAAGTGTCAGGAATTGGATAAGTATCGTTTTCCATTGCGATGTGACAACGATAGATCAATCGATCAGTGTAGACGAAAAATGTTATGAATACTGAGTCTCTTGAAGAAACAACTTTTTGTGCTTAAACGGTGAAAAAATGTAATTTTATATAAAATAAATCACTCAATTAGGCAATCAAAACGATTTCTTCTATTTTCGACGGTCATAAACGTTAATGTTTATCGACAAATGTGCGATGCTTTTTTTTCTCTTTCTTTTCTTCATAGACTTCTTTGCCTGAACATCTACAGTGGGTACACATGTATCGATGATAGAGTGCATGATGTATCAATAAAATATGCTTGACCGAACACGATAAGAAGTTCATCATTATCGAATTACAAAAACATTGTAATGCCATATAAAATTGATTGCATCGTCTTTACTTTCTGTGTACCATAAAAAAATCAACACGTGTCAAGAGAAATGCCAATGCAGTCTTATATCGCCCTCAAGATAATATGAATCTACTAAAGGGTGTTGAAAATAAAATATCAAAGAGGTACATGATACAAACATCGAGAGGTACATGATACAAACATCGAGAGGTACATGATACAAACATCGAGAGGTAAACAATGTTTATTTTACATATTTTATTTCTCTTGTCTTTTTTTTCCTATGAACAACAAATTGAAATGAAAAGTTCTCATAAAGAAACAAAAATTATGTTAATGAAATGACATTTCTTCATCATAGTATTGATTCGCTTGTTCACAGAGTCGATCAATGGAACGTAGTTGTGTTCGTGTAAATAATTGTGATTGCATATGAGCAAATTCCGCTAGATGAGTTAAATCCATTGAAGCTGTTCGACGATAAAATTCATATTGATTTCTTTCCTCTTCGCTTAACGATGAATGTGATTCTTGTTGAATAACTGCTAGATGCGTTCGAAGTGCAGCAATACAAAGATGAGGAAACAAGTGTTGTAACTAAAATTAGTCATTAAAAGAAAACAATTGATTCGGAATTTGTTCGATGTGATGCCTACCCATTTATTTGATGTTAATAATTGTCGAACTTGTTCATCTTCGTCATAATCTTTTCCGTACGGAAATAGTTTCAATTGTTTTAGAACAATAAAAGCTCGTTGCTGTTGACCAGTTCGCAAATAATAATCAACGAAAGCATACGTATCTAATAACAGAAAATAGTGCTGTTTTTCTTCAACGATTTCAGTATTTGAGAGAATTTGCAGCCGTTGAGCGAATTCATAGACGAATGGCAATGGTGTTGATGTTGATGAAGGTATTAATAGACGATCGAGAATGATTTGTGTCATATATTCTGAAGCAAGTCGAATTGAGGGTTCGTATTCATGAGCAAGTTCATAGAGTGCAGATGCAACAATTAAATGTGAACGGTGATGTTCTTCAATTGATTCTGCAAGTTGTATTAAAATATCGTCTATATCCGAGTCATCAAGATGCGAGAATAATCGATGCAAAAGACCTATTATGAACGAAATAAAGTATGTATCATTTTTTTCTACATGAAAACTTCTTCAATGTGATCATACCTCGTTCAAGTTTCACAGTTTTATTCTCATCTCCATCATCGCCATTCGTAACTATAGCCCATTTTCCATATACAATATGCAAATCATCTAAATTTGTCGTTAAATCAATTAATAATCGACGGAATTCTGTTCCAGCTTCTAAGTGTTCGATCTTAATCAACGCATACGCATAATTAATCAATTCCCAATATCGCCGTTGATCGTGGATTAATTTCTCTCTCAAATACGATTCAATCAGTTTAGGTAGATTCAGTACAGTGCTCGTTTTATTCTGTTGAGAACTGCCTGCGATCATAATCATGCATTCGTCGACCGATGATGTTAAACCAAGTAGGTATTTCTCGTTGAAATAAATTGCTAAGTGAACTGAATGAACTTTGGTCGAAGGAAGCTTAAATAAGAATTCACAAGCAGATTCGAATGCACCACAGAGGAGTAGAACACGTGCATAACGAAATGGTTGTTCATATGCTTTGAAATATTCTTCACCAAGATCACGTAGAATCCAACGTTGAAGTCGTGGAATAGTTAATTGAACATGAGTACGATCTTGAAAAGCGGTTTCGTTGATGATCTGAATCTGTGCTAGTTTTATCCAGAGAAAATCTTCAATACATAATAAAACATCTTCATGGGCATCGACTAAATTCGTTCGATCCAATATACAAATCACGGCACTAAAAATGGATGATTTTCTTTATTTGAGAAAGAATTTAGAAGTTCATCATACCGTTTATAAGGATTTCCTACAAGACTGTATTCAATATTTTGAATATTTGAAGTTTTATTTGATGTCGTCGAGATATTTGCGACTACCGTTTGATCTTTTGATAGATAATTTTCAAGTAAAGTTCGAACATGAGGTAAACTAAAGTAGAAAATATGTGAAGAAACTTATTGCAAACTATATTCTATTTTACTTGGCTTTCTGAATGATTCGTAGAGCCAAATCATTATCACCTGCTCTCAATGCATAGAAAATCAATGGCCATGCTGAAACGCCGTCGACAAGACGATCATCAACAGATTGCAAACCAGAAATCTTCTCATTCGATGTTATAAATGATAATAAACATCCATATAGATCAATATCATTATAGGTTATTTCCAATGCTTGACGAAAACTTCGTTCAAGATAGTCACGTGCACAGAGAACGATAGCGCGCTGTGCTTGAAATAGATCTTTTTTGTCATAATCATAATCAAGGACTTCAGACATCCATTCAGCAGCGTGCCACATATCAGCGACTCCCTAATTGCCAACAATGATCGACAGAACAATTTGAAAGGAAAAAAAAACAGTATAATTGAAGATTACTTGTGTTTCAAAATTCTTGGCAATTTGTTTATACTGTACAATTAATTGATCACCATCACCTGTACCATCTGATGTTCTAGTTGAATTGTATCTGATCAGCTACAAATAGAAAAAGATCAGATCTGTACTCAACTCGGCCTCATTCATTTACTGTTTGAGCATATTGCTGTTCGACGGATGTTAGATCAGTAAATACAGATGATTGATTTGATTGAGATATCCAACCCTAGAGAATAAAGAACTGAATGGACTTCTTTGAAAATATCAAACTAACCGATTTGAAGTCAGATGGAGGTGGAGATGTTGTGGAATCATTTAATATTTGTACAGTCTATAATTTCAAAGATGAATCGATGTGTGTACGAAAGTAAACGAACTTTTGTCGATGATGCTGTATCGTACGAAGAAATTGAACGAGGACGAAGATCATCAGCTAATAGACAGTTAATTAAATTTCGTCGTCGTTTCAAACTATCATCAAAGATTTCTTCCCAGTAATCGGTGTCAGCTTGAGTTAACGACTATGAGGAACAAAAAGGCAATCATACGATGTTCTTGATTTGAAGAGAATGAATGATTACTTGTTGGGTTAAATATTCAAATTGATCATCATTGAAACCTGCTCTTTCACTTTTCAAGTGTGCATCTAACTCTGTTTCATTGTTAACTTTCGTTACTCGATTTGTAGGTTTTACTGTGTACGAAGAAGCCGATGATGTTGTTTCAATTGCTGCTAACTTCTTTTCAATGCTTGTTAAATTGAAAGAAGCTGATGGATTGGAAACAAACATTTAGAACAATATCGTTCAAGTATTTTATTTCAGTACCAATCTTTAAAAAAATTCATCACCTCAATATTCTGATTGGTTCGTCTATCAATGAATCAACAATGAGCGCTGTATGCAAACATTGTATTGTTTGAGATATCTATGGGATTAATAAGATATTTTAATAAAATAGAATTAAGTAAATGAATAATTTATTCGAAAAGAAATTTTCTACGATCTTTTCTCTATTGGTCAAACATTGATGTACAGAGAAACAAATCGATCAATCAACATTCCGGGTCTTCTTTATCATTATTTGTCTCTATCTGTCCGATTGACGTAATAAAGAGATACGAATTTTGTTTCTATATGTGTATGTAATTGTTTTCAGGTTATTTCCCGTGTCAGATCTGATCAAATTAGCGAAACATGTCAGTTGTACCAAATAAGAAATGCGGCCGTTGTGAAAAAATTGTCTATCCAACAGAAGAAATCAAATGTCTCGATAAAGTAAATAATCACATTTTTTTTCCTATTCAGATATTCTTCACTTTTCTCTGTCGTTTTGACATTAGACAAGATAGTACATCACGTATGTATGTATTCATCATCTCTAATCAGTTTTCCCCTTTATCTACGAGTCCAATGCATAGCACGATTCTTTTCACACGCTATCATAACGCTCATGCTTCACATTGTTCTATTTCTAACTATGTACTTATTTTAGTACTGGCATAAAGGTTGTTTGAAATGCACAGTATGTGGAATGACCCTGAATGTGAAAAATCTCAAAGGTTACGAAAAGATGCCATATTGTCATGCGTAAGAATTTCTTTCATATTTCGTTGTTTCTATTCTAAATGAAAGCTTGTTCAGGCATTATCCTCAACCAAAACCAACTGTTGTCGTTGATAATCCTGAAATGCAACGTATTCGGTTATTAACTGATATTCAAAGCAATGTAAGTTACTTTGTTTCTGAGTATAGAACATACATGATTGGCGTTTGTTCAGGCAAAATATCATGAAGATTTCAACAAAAGTAAAGGAAAATTTACAGTCGTAGCTGATGATCCTGCTTTAACACGAGCTAAAGAACAACAACGTATAGTTAGTCAAGCAGAATATACTGGCAAACGAAAAGATAATAACTCTCAAATAATCTCTAATGGTAAATAAAAAATGATTCTACTGTTTTTGGTTAAAAATTTCGTTCCCTGTAGACAACAATGGTTCAATGTCGAAATATAATTCATCGGAATTAAGAGTCGGACGTGGTAATTGAAAATACTTCTTAGTTTCATATCACTTGTTCTACATTATAGTTGCTGATTATGATCCAATCAATGATGATCGTGGCTCCTTGTCACGTGGTTATGAACCAACATCGAAAGCTATGCAAAATATCAGTATGTTCACTTTGTTTTTCGAAATATCTCCTCATCATATCTTGCACCTAGAATACGATACGAATCAAAACAATAATTACAAATCGGACAATGGCAATCATAACGATACTCAATCTACATTGGTAAAGAAACAATTTTCCGAAACAGAAAACTTTGACAAAGAAATTTCACGTATATTTAGATGAAAGTTCGTGCACTTTATTCGTATACAGCTGCTGAATCGGATGAAATCAGTTTTGCGGAAGGTGATACCATCATCGAATGTGAACACATTGATGCTGGTTGGATGTTAGGACGTCATCCTCGAACGGGCAAACAAGGTTTACTTCCATCAAATTATGTTGAAATCATTGGTTGAGAATCAATTCTTCATTGTTATGTTTTCCTATTCTCTTTTTCTCATCGAGAAGATCTTCTTGTGAATATATCTATACATAAAAATTGTTTTTATGCTATGACATTCTTCTACTCTTATCCATTTGTTATCTCTCTTTTGCCGTGTGTGTGTGCTGTTACAGTTCAGGCGAGAACTCTTACAGATGAACAAGGTGTTATGTACTTTTTTGTTCAAAATCAACCAAACCTACTTAATAAAATTGAATAGTTATTCTTCTATTGTATGTCAATTTAGCCATTCGCAAAGTCGTGAAATTGATGGACATCGGCCAGAATTGTGGTTGATAACGATAAAATTTATTTACATTGAATCATTCGATAGATTGCATATACGTGAGAAATGATAATCATTAATGATGATGCCGACTTGTCGATTGCTAGCGCTTATTTATTCGAATGAACTTTGTGCATGTCGGAAAATCCGTCAGTTGATTTCATCGAATCGACATTTTTCTCCGAATATTTGCGATGAATTTGGTTGCAATTTGCTGATGTACTGTCTTCGTTTTCAATATCATCGATTGCTTCATTTATTGTTGGATGAAGTCTCTCTTGATTTGGATTTTTCGGCAAAAGATCAACAAGGGAATACCATTCTTCACTATGCAATCATTTATAGTGAAGGAAATCTTGAAATTATCGATAGATTAATCAGAAAGTACGAAGAATTTTATGTCGAAATCGATCAAAGAAATGCTCTTGGATTCACACCATTACTTTTCGGTAAAAACGATTTCTCTTTCAAAAACTCGCACACGATTCATAAATAATTCTAGCTGCTTTCTGTGCTCGATACGATCTTGTTCATCTCTTCTTAGTCAAAACTAAAGCATCGCCATTTGTTCGCGACTATATTCAATACAAGAACTTATTCGAGTACATCCAACATGATACCATGCAGAAAAAGCATGACAATGGCAAAGCTATTTCAGACATCTTTAAACAATCATCCAACTTTTTCGAGAATCTCTTCTCGGCAATGACGCAAACTGAATTAGAAAGATTACGTTGTTTACTAAAAAAACGATTTAACTTCCAATATTTACCAGTGGATTTGTTACAATTAGTAAAACAACGATATTCGCAAATTCAAATTAATCAAACATTAGAAATCTCGAAAACAAATCATGAACAAGACAACTCGAAGATATCTATTCATTGTATTCTACAGTTATACGATCCAAATCCACGACCGAAAATCCTACCACTAGTTTCGCCACAAGCGTCGAACAAACCGATGAAATTCAAGCAGCTAGGGACTAAAATAACCAAATTAAATGCTTTCACTCGATCTTCAACAAGAAAAAAGTCTTCAGCATAAATATATCTTTCAGATAGTTTCCTTTAGAAATAAAGTACAAAGTTGCTGAACTATAAATGGCCAGGTCTAAATTAAACGAGAAGATTTACAAGAGAATATACTTAAACACGTTACCCTCGTTTTCATAACTGTGTGTATAAGTATAGTTCTTAATTACGAAGAATATGTAAGAAAAGTTCGATGGAGATAGTCATTTCTTTAACGTTAAATACAATTATATGGTTCCTTTCGATCGTATGTAATAACATTAGAATGATAGTAATCATCGTATGCTTCGTATCTATTAAAAAGAGATTGTTTCCGCTTTTGCCTTACAACTCAGAAGAGAAATAGCAAAGAATCGGTTTTTGCTCGTCAGTACATCTTATACAAATGAAAGGATTATCGAACGGGCAGGTTCGTTCGGAACATAGTCGAATGTCAATGTTCTTTCATTGTTCGTCGTGCGAAAAAAAGTGATTCCAAACGGTTGTCATGTTTTGCACTCAGATGTTGGATTGGTGCAAATTGCCTGTTTTTATTAAGTAATTAATAACATTTGTAAAAGACGAGATGATTCGAACATATGCGCGGAAACTCATTAAATCAGTATGATGTCTTATTAATAATCATTATTCACGACTCAAGGTAAACTTTGTCTGATTGATATGTAAAAGTTAGACTAACAAATCAAGAAATCTATCATGAACGAAGAAACAAACAAATCGGAAAGTTTGCCTGTCACGAATTGATATAGGAAAACAATGTGAGATTCTTATCTATGTCAAACATATCCAAACTTTCGATCGTAGAATGTTATTTACTTATCTGCTCTATCCATTAGCAAATCATCTGCTACTCGAATAACCACCTGGAAAACAGCTTTTGACAATGGCTAAATCTTGTATGACATTCTATGTCTTGACAATTAGGAAGATATTCTTTGTACGAAGCTTTTGGATCTGACAGTGAAGATTTGGATTACCCATTGATAGGAATCGTTCCTTGGTTTCTTTTTCTCCCTCGATAAAACGTTCACTATAAGGTTTTATTACATTAAAGCAACCGGTTGAATCGTAAGCGGCGACAAATGGTGAAATTCTATCTATCACATAACATTTGTTGTCATAGTTTGTCGGAAAATAAAGAATTTATACATTGGTCTGAATTTATTCACACCTTGTTATACTAACAGAATTAGAAAAGCATGTTTTTTTTTGTAGAAACATCCAATTAGCATATTGACGTATTTGGTTTAACTTTGTCTGCTGCCTATTTCACTTTTTTTTTCTCAACAGCAAAAAAATCTAGTCAATAATGAGTCACTAGGAAACGTTTTCTTCGCATTACAGTTTATTCATCTGACTTAGAGTGTCATTTGTGTCGATGGAAGTAACATTTGAGAACACCAAGCTTCTTACGCGTTTTTGAATGTAGAAAAACCTTCTTATGAGAGATAAATTCCTATAACACTCGTCATGTTTCGACATTCTTTATAGAAATTTCAGCAAACGTCTTTTTGTTCCGTTGAGAAAATTTTCATGAGGAAAAAAAAACTTCGTAGTTATGCGATTTCTGCACGGATATCATCCTTTTGTAAATGTGATCTACCGAATATAATTCTTGAGAATTTTTTCCTATTCAGTGCGAATGAAAGTAATTATGACATAAATGATTCAGAATTCTTATTCTCTCGTCTTCTTCTTCTTTCTTTTTTTTTCAGGAGTGAGCCAGCTGCTTTTATTCTCATGGAACGTAAAAGATGGAACCTTGAGTATGACTATCTCGTTTTCTTTCATTATATTCAACAGTGAATTATAGACGAAGGTTTTGATACTGCCTTTTGAGTTTTATTTGATGTTGATATTGGACAAGGCTCTTTTTCTAATAGATATCTCGACATACTTCTGATGAGAATATGTCTTAAGGAAATAGGAAACGAAGTTTTTAATTAGATCCCCAGAGGATTTTGTCAATAGATCTGAATATTAATGAGTCATGATATATATTTTGGTTCGTATAATTGAAGATACGAGAGAAATCAATGATTCGAAAAGATAGCCTAATTTATCTTGATATAAATACATAGAAATATTATTTATCAGAGTGTTCGTCGACTGCAATCTCTTTGTCAGTATAATCAAGTTTCTGTCTATTTTCCTCTTCTTCTTCTTCTTTTTCTTCTTTCTTTCTATATTTTGACATCTTCGCTCGTTTGTCTGTCTGTCTATTCGCCTGAGTATGCATATATCGTCTCTTTTTCCTCTCCCTTTACTAATATTTTCTATCGAATACGGATGGCAATAGTGTTCTCTGTTAACAGCACCATCACCGCTCTTATCTTGTGGTGTTGCCTGCTCGNTATGGAAACCCTCAATATACAATTTGGTTCAAATGATCGAGAACGAGATGCTGCTATGGGTACGAATATCTGCGCATCAAACGATTTTCTTTGTTTTTACATACAGAATCTTGTCTTTTAGTCTTAGACAAAATCTCTCGTATGGCCGACACTGAACCATTTGAAAGCGAACTACTCGATGCGATGAAAAAATTATGGAATGATGTTGGCGTTCAACAATGTTTTGCTCGTTCTAATGAATATCAATTGAATGACTCAGCGAAATACTTTCTCGATAAATTGGACGAAATTGGTTCACCGCAATATTTACCAAGTATTCAAGATATTTTACGTACTCGAGTTAAAACAACTGGTATTGTCGAGATCAACTTTACATTCAAAGGTTAGTTTGTTCGTGTGCGCACACGACATCAATCATGACATATGCGAATGAAATTTAGATTTAAATTTTCGAGTATTTGATGTGGGTGGCCAACGATCCGAACGAAAGAAATGGATTCATTGTTTTGAAGATGTAACTGCGATTATTTTTATCGTTGCTTTGAGTGAATATGATCAAGTAGGTTTAGTCATTCAAATGAACTTTTCCCCTTCTAAGTCGTCTCGCCAATGCTTAGGTTCTTGTCGAAGATGAAACAACCAATCGTATGCATGAATCACTTCGTTTATTTGATTCAATTTGTAACAATAAGTGGTTTGTTAATACATCGATCATTCTCTTCTTAAACAAAAAGGATTTATTTGCTGAGAAAATCACACGATCAAGTTTAAGGTATGTCGGAGAAAATCATTGGTCTAACAGTCGCATGGAATTTCTTCTGACTTTTAGAAAATGTTTTCCAGAATATCAAGGTAAAGATGAATATACCGAGGCAAGCGAATACATTCAAGCTCAATTCGTGGCACAAAACAAAAGCGAGCAAAAAGTTTGTATCACAAAAACTCTTCGACAAATTCTGTTCTTATCTTTTTCTTTCGCATCTTTAGGAAATCTATTGTCATTTAACGTGCGCTACAGACACCCAAAATGTTCAATTTGTATTGTAAGTTATTGAATAGCACAACAACCATTTTCTTCATGTTATTTTTCTCTTATTTCTAGTGATGCTGTTACTGACGTCATCATAACAAACAATCTCCGTGCCAGTGGTCTCTACTAGATGAAACATATACAATTACCTATTACGTTTTTTTTCTTTTATAAAAAAAAACCGTTCTCGCGTATATCCAGATACCAAGTATCGCCGTCGCTCAGCTTCTTGTTTCTCTAGCTTTCGTTTCTTTTGTCAATCTCGACAAGCGCCGGTCGATCCTTCTTTTATTCATATTTTCGCTTTTCTTTTTCTCATTTTTTTTTGTTTTCTTTTTTGTTCTTATTTTCAATCTATCTAGAGTGCGACTAGTCAAGTATATTGATGAGAGACGGCTTGATTTCTTTTGCTGTCGTATGTGTGTGGTGTATCTTCTTCTCTTCTGGCTGCTTGTCGTCAATGTTGTTCTTGTTGTTTATTTGACGTATCTAACTTGCGCGTTTCCTTCTTCTATTTCTCTGTAAATGTATGCGTGTGCTTTTCTTCTTCTTCTTTCTTTTCTCGCAATTATTTCATTATTTTTTATTGTATGACTTCTTTATTTTAAATGTCTGAGTTTTCGTTTTTCTTCTTTCTTTTTCGTAATTTAATGCCGAGAGCCAGACTTAAGAAATAATTATGATCATTAAAAGACAGACAGTGTCCTTCGACTCATTGTATTAAGTAGGAGAAAACGAAGTAAATTGAGTGGGAAATATTTAAATTGCTTTCCGTCGTTTCTCAATACACAAAGGATTTCATTTCAAATCTTGATAAGATGTATTTTTTTATAATTGGGTTCTAAAGAAAAGGAACATTTAGGAGGTCGTACTTAATTAAAACCAACAAGATAACTTTGAATCTGTTAAACGAGAAAAACTGTTGTCTATACGTTTGAGCAAAATATCATAGCGCATACTGGAAATGATCTTGTATGTAACCTCGATGAGATAACGACGTAGTTACTTTTAACATTAAATTATATATTTATATATCAGAAACGAATGGTAGCATTTCAAGACATTTTGCCAAGTTCTACGCCTTGAATAAATCAGTTATTAATAGTAACAATTACATTCCTTGCTTGTTTACATTGAAATGATGTTGCTCCCGTAGGAAATCGATGAAAATATTTTCACTAATTTCCTTGAAATTGAGAGAACAATCAGAAAGGGAGAGTTATGTTATTGTTTAAAACAAGAATTCGATTTTTTTTTTGCTATGGTCATGACAACATTGAGCAATCCGAGAAATGTTTTTCTTCAATGATAGATCGAAGCGAGAAGATTTTCTGACGAAAACAAGCAGTTCCTATCAATAAATCAATTTGCATGTTTAGTGTAATTACTCGTTCGAAGTTTGCAGTAGTTTTCCGTGGGCTACAGAAAATGTGTTGTCGATGACGTTAATGTTCATTCGAAAACGAGTAAGATTTCCGAGATCTAATTGACATTCGGAAAATGTTCGAAACCAAGGTCGACATGATCCTTGTCACTTTCGATCATAATAAGACATGATGAATTGAAGAACCGTTGTTTTCTATTAAAAATCCGTCACATACGTGAATAGCGAATGACAGAAGTAAGATAAGATCAACAAGGATTTGAACTTTTGCTGATAATTCTCTTTTCTTCGATTGTCATAGGAGAGATCTGATCTTTTACATTCGTATACATATGAAATATGAAAAAAATATGTGACGTCTGGCTTTGTTTTGTGAATGAAATAGCATTATTGAATCAATCTTCTACTATTCGACATAACAAAAGGAAAATATTTGCAAACTCACATAATTCTTCTGGCATATTACTGGAATACACAAAACAAAAAATAGAGCACTAAACAAAATTAATCGATGCTAATAATAAATGAGGCAACTATATATGATCATATTTTGAATTAGTCACAAATACTTTTCTGCTTTGCTTATGGGGAACAAATAAGTTTGAAAACATTTGTTATGCTTCAAAAGTCAGACGGTTCGGGCACTTTTTTTTATTAACAAACTTATTTTACCACGTCATCACAGCTAGCTCGATTCATAGAATTTATATCAAGGAAAACATTTACCACAGTGATTACTGGAGAAACAATAAATATGACTTGAATCAATCTGAGTTACTCGATGAACGTGAAAATAGTTTTGACCATCATCGACCAGCTGGTTCGGTCGTAAGTTAACTGAATGTTCTTGAAAACACAGCATGAATACATACAGTATTTCTCAAATATGGAACAACTCCAACAATCCTATGCACTTCTTTCGAGTTCTATAAAAGAAAAAGATATCGCTATTGTCCTTCAGTTCAATTGTCTGGCATCCATTTTTGTTTCTTGCTCGATTGTTGAACACATGAACAACAAATATTACATATTCTAAATTCATATTACTTATGGGATAGCTTCGTTGGAAAAAATACTTTCATTGGATTCTATTTTAGAAGTTTCATTATTTCAAAACCCTTGAATACAGTGATAACTTTTTAAGATGATACTGTTAAGAAAAGATTAGTTTATACTATGACGTTGTTTCCTAAGAACATTCCTTCGCTGTTGAACGTTTTTTTCAATTCTCTCGCACATAAAACAAACACAACTCGAAGCTTTTAACAGACGAATGTATCGAACTACGATAGGTTGGCACGATGCAACAAACGTTGAAATATCAAACACACAGAATTACAGGTCTATTCGGTCGCTTGCCAGGCATCACCTCAGCAATCTACTAGACTTTTTTTCACTCTCTTCTTAAGTTCAATTTTGATGTAATCAAGACCAACATTTAAAATAAATAAATAATGATTAACTATACACGAAATAAGAACATTCTTACATTGCCTGATTCAATGTTCCATAAAGCTCAAAAGACCGACAGTAACAAAAAAAGCGGTACTCAGGATATCACAATACAAATCTACATCTTTTGTTAACTTTTCAACTGGTTAATATTCGATATAATCATGTTAGTACTTCTCTAAACGATGAGAAAACAATTTAAAATCTTGAACGAAAAACAGTTGTTTATCTTGCATCTAACATTTCTGCTCTCTCTTATTCCCTCAACTGTAAGGAGGGTCATATGAAATAAAATTGTTTGTTTGTGGCAAAACGTGGGCGATGGTGAGCTACTGCGCGCTAAGTGGCTGAAGTTGCGCGCGTGTGCGGCCAGAGGTGGCCGAAGGTAGGAGATGTGGCCAATGAGGTGTCCAGGGTGGCACGGTGTGATCCCTCATGGCCACTGGTGTGGGCGAGGGCCAAGCGCCAAAAGTGAAAGATTAAAAATCGTTTTTCTCGAAATATTTGCCATCGGAAGAGTAGTCTTTTCCGATCGAACCTATGGTCGACGGAAGAGCATATTTATAGCGTCGAGATATGACTTGAGGCATCAACTAAGAATTTACTAACTCGGCATTTTGGCTAAGCGAATACTGTATTGGGAACATGGATGAAGACTCGCGACATGGTCTCTTGAGAAAAAGTAGTTTGAATGGTGTCTATCTGTGGCATGATTGAAGGCAAAAAATGACAGAAACGTCACGAATAGCGCGTGGAGATAGATGAGGCTGATTGATAATTGTCGCAAATCATAAAATGGATCGATAGCTAGCGCGCGATATCAGACTGTGAAATTCGATGTCTATGATGGATGAATCATGCATTGAGCGTCTTAGATGCATTTGTTATGTGGCCCTATCGATAAGGCGGGTTGTCAGTATCTGATAACGTTCAATAAAGGAAAGACAAGCTTCAGCTCGGAGATTTGTTTATACTGATTGTGTTGAGGCAGTTAAATTGTGTGTGAATGGTGGAGAAGAAAGGCGCCTGTCATTTGACAAAGTGTACATGCTATGAGCAATATCGAGCAATCGGGGGTGGCGGACCGGAGGGACGCCGACGACCGACTGCGAGATAAGAGGGTTGATACATGTTTTGTATAGTTCTAATGACAAGAGTACAATGGGAAGAAAATCAGCCGAGCGTTCAGCGAGAGTACACGACCAGCGTTACTGGTGATAAATTCACAATAAATAAAGACCTTTTATATCCTCACATTTGTTTTACAAAGACAATAAGCTATTTTATTTGCGAGAGTTAATAAATAGTCGAACAGAAAAGGTTTTACCGTTTCATCGTAGGTGAAGTTGCTAGATTGATTCGCCTCATTAATAGCACACGCAGACAGTATATCTGTCTTCCACAGTCGAGGGTGAAGTGAGTCGGCACGACGAACGCTACTTGTTAGTATGAGACTAATTGACAATGTCACAGCGATAATTGTAGCTGCTCGATTTAATTTATTATCATGATACTAACAGATGATGGTTGATTTTAGTACATTTTTATTAATAATGAAATACTTTCAACCGTTTTGGTTGTATCTGAGCATAGACTTCAAAACATCGAGTAAAATTTCGTAGATCAACATGATGCTTTATAATATTGTGAAATTTATTCAGCAGATGAAAAGATAGAACAAGTATTCTTCAGAGTATGAGTGGGAATTCTATGCTGTCATCAACACTGATAATCTCATCCGCAAATGAAACTAATTCGTATAAAATGAGAAACAACTAACGTTGTATTTTTATCAATTTTCAAAGATAACTGTAAGACCATATGGAGGCAGTTATACTAGCTATGTTTCATCGTTTCCGTTTTTTAGTGATAAGCACTAATAGCGAACGTTAACTTTTATCAGAGAACGGAAATTTAAAAACATGCCAACTCATAGAGTGCCACAAATGATAAAATACAACTACCTGTAAAAAGAATAGTCAGCTCGTTTATTCAGTTCTTTGGGCGAGCATAGGAGTGAGATTGCAAGTCAGTGCCTCCAACTATCTACACTCAAACCTTTAAGAAATCCTTCTCTTCAGATATCCACCACATTGCAAGGAAACGAATAAGGTAACAATATATTCATACGTCCGGATGCAAAATTCAGTAGGAACGTCAATAATTTTTGAACATAAGCATGCATTTAGAAAACTGTCTGATGTGATTCTTTGAGCTTGTACTCTTCATATTTTCTGTCTAGTATAGCGATATTTATTCAATGTGAGCGACTAAAAACGGTTCAATAGAAACTAATCTAAGCGTGTAGTATGCGGTATCGGTTTCATATGTAACACTCTAACTTGTTTTCCATTCTTTTTTCTGTTACAGAATATAATCCCAGTGATTCAATAAAAACCATCTGATAAGAATAACTTTTGAATCTTTCACAGTTAATACTATATTGGTTTTTTAGATCAATAAAACATTTATCTAGTAGTTTGAAATTTCGTCTCATATTTACACAAATTTATTCTTATCAGCAATATGAAATGGTTAATCTATATGATTGGAATTCTAATATCATCCGGCCTGCATGGTCAAGGTCAATGGCATCTGTACTATATGGATCAAACAAATAATAATGGTTTGTACTATGATTGTTTATACTACAAAGTAGTTAATCCTGCAAATCAACGTTTTGAGATAGAAAACGGTATAAAAACATGGGATCAAATCATTCCATACTGTATTCGACCATTTTCAGAGACTGGAAAAGTATATAATGAAGGAACAAAAGGAGGAGTGTTATCTACATTCACATTTCAAGAATTAAGAAGGCTACAAATAACTACAATTGATTTACTTTCATGGTCAGCGTCAATTGATCTTGTTGAATTGTATGATGAATATCTTGGTGTATCATCAAATGTTTCATTGAGACTTGAGAACTTCTACAATTGTTCTGTACCATGGTTTGGAAGATTTTGTCAATATACATTTAATATAAGTCTACCACTGAACATAATCGTTAACAAAACATTTACTGACAAGCGTTTTACGAATAATTCGGCTATAACATGTTATTTACATTTAGATTGTGATCGAGGACCAGCACCTGCTTGTCTTGATTGGCGAGAAATTTGTGATAGAAAAGTCGACTGTTTAGGGAATGATGCAGATGAAATGAACTGTTTCGAACTCGAAATAAATGAATGTAAAGAAAATGAATATCGGTGCCACAATGGAATGTGCATACCAGAAGAATTCTTGAATGAAGGTTACTATTATTCAGACTGCATTGATGGTACAGATGAAAATATTCTACTTGCACCGAAGCCCGCAAAGTGTTCAAGAGATCCAGGGTTTTGGTGTGAAGAAAGCACTCGTAGGATGAATCCACAAAATTTTGTTTGTGGTGATGGAGGAATCGCCGATGATACAATTTTTCAATATGCTGTGACTTGCGAGAATGGACGAAGTACTATTATCAAAAGGTCGTTATATTCATACGTTGAAAATTCTGAACTATCTTACAGCTGCTGGTTTTTGCTACTATGCGGCATACAGTCTAGCCTATATATTGAAGTCACTTTTATCAACCATCTTACACCCAGATGTAACGCACTATGTGCTAATGATAGAGGTGAAAGTTGTAATATTAGCATGGTAGATGAATGTCACACAGAATTTGTTATTTTTCCGCAGCGACCTATTCTTCATGGCCATGTATCCTTACTATACTTAACAAACCAAACAATATTTTTTGATCATGGAGACACAAACATATTTCCCGACTATGTTTGCTATGATGTGAGAAAATGTCCTTTTCTTCCATCTAATTCTATATTGAATATAAATGGTACAACTTGTCAATCTACGCAAGAATTAAATCTTTATACATTTACTGATATTATCGATCTTTTCCAATCTTGTCTCATTGTAATTGAAAACGAACATGAAATTAATTATAATCGATCAACACTCTTTCAATGTCCAGGCACGGCAAAGTATATTTCAACGCATCGAGTCTTCGATGGTGTTCCAGATTGTTATAAAGGTGCTGACGAAAAAGATGTTGACGCTTGTCAATGGAATCATAAACATCGTTTTAAATGCCCAAAAGAACAAAAATGTATTTCATTCATTCTATTTCAAAATAATAAGAAAGATTGTCATGAAGGTGAAGATGAAACTCTGGGTGTTTCGCAGTCAATAACATTTCAAAATTTGTGTAATGGATATGTTCACCTACAGCCTAGAATGCTCGATGGATTTATTGAAACAGATGAAACACATTGTGATGATTGGCCATGCAATAATTTATATACTCGATGTGATGGAGCTTGGCATTGTCCAAATGGTATTGACGAACTTAACTGTTTACCATCCACATGTCCTCTCGATACTCATGAATGTATTTCTCCTATAACAAAGAAGCTCATATGTTTACCGTATCATCGAGCCGGAAATGGAATTGTAGATTGTCTTGGATCTACTGATGAGAGAGAATATTGTCGACTGCAAAACCCGGAGCGTTTTCAGAGGAGATATAGATGTTGGAATGACACTCTTTGTATTACGCTCATTGAACTTTGTTTGGACGGGAGAGGAGAATGTTTAATAGAAGAAAACTTAGAATGTTCATCGGATATGACACGTGTCTTGGGTCGTCTAAACGAAGATGCGACACTGAAGTTTCCTGCATATAAATATTTTATGCTTGATCGTCTTAGAACAAATCTTTCGTCATTACCGACAAAGAAAAACGATTCTATTCCATTGACCACAGATCAAGAAAATATAGCGTTAAATAAAAAGTTTACAATTAAACGAACTGAAACATGTCATCGCGGTATTTTGATTTATATTGGAATTTCGTTGAAAATTCATTGTCTTTGTCCTCCGAGTTACTTTGGAGATCGATGTCAATATCAAAGCCAACGAGTTAGCTTAACACTTCAATTCAGTCGAAAATGCACGCCACTTTGTTATGAAGTATTTGCTATTGTTGTTAGTCTTATTGATCAAGATAATATCATTCATGCATATGAACAATTAACATACTTATCAACATATGAATGTGACAAGAAATTTTTCACTTATTTACTCTATCAATCGCGACCAAAAAATATAACAAAAAAGTATAAGGTGATAGTGGATGCTTATAACAAAACGAGTTTAATTTATTATGCAAGTTGGATTTTACCAGTTCAATTTCTTTTTCTTCCTGTAAATCGAATAGCTGCACATTTAAATATTCCATCTCATCCAATTAATTCATTGGAAACCTGTTCTGTTTTCTGTGGTTATGGTCGATGTTACGCATATGTCAATAGTCCGAATGAATATTTTTGTGTCTGTAATTCTAGTTGGTCAGGTATAAATTGTACAATTTCACATAAATGTGATTGTTCAGAAGATGCGAAATGTCTCGGCAAAAGTAATAACCAATCAATGTGTCTTTGTCCAGTGGAAAAATATGGTTCACGTTGTCGTCTTCAATCGATTTGTCAAAATCGAACTTGCAAGAATGGTGGACAATGCATACCAGGAAATGAACGAGTATCAAGAAATAGTTTTATATGTGTATGTCCAATTGGATTTTCAGGCCCAACATGTGAAACAATACAAACAAAAGTTCATATATCATTTATTGATATAGAAATTCCTCGTTCTTTGTTTGTTCATTTTATCACTGTGCAAACAGAACATGATCCAATACGTACAACAATTAATGTCAAAATTCCATTTGATCAAGATAAAGCCATAGTTCAAATATCAATATCTTTTCATATTATTATTGTTCAAATTTTCAAAGAATATTTTTTGACATATGTCAATACAAACAATACTCCCCCATCAGTTAGTATAGTTCAGATGAAGATGGAACAACGATGTTTACATGTTCGACAATTATTTCATAATGAAACAGTTGCAAAATATTCATTATTACGTCGTGTTAAATATTATCATTTACTGTGTAGAGACAAACAGCAATTTAAATGTTTTTATGATGAAGAAGTATTCATGTGTTTATGCAATGAAGAAGGATATGCAAATTGTTTTTTATTTGATTTCAATATAAAATATACCTGTAAAAGATTTGGAGATTGTCAAAATGATGCCCAATGTTTTTCAGATCGTCCAAATTGTCCACTTTCGACGTTCTGTGTTTGTGCAGATTGTTTT